TACAGAAGCCCGTTTTCTGACGGACGCAATAAGCCCCGGACCTGCGTAGGATCCGGGTGTGCGTGCGCGGCAGAGCATGATATCACATAGTGTCCCAATCATGGTCGCCCTCGCGACGATTACACACACTGGCCGAGCAGACCCGACACTGCGCAAAAGAGCAAGGTGCATGGCCAAGGACCAGGCAAGCAGGTGAAGGGCGAGACGGGCAATGTTTACAAAGTGATATATCGAGAAAGAGGGTGGGGGAAACAGGCCGTGCTGGGAGATGACGGCTAAGATGATTCGAAAGACCACAGAAGCACCATCCACGGCTCTGGTGGATGGTAGTGGCAGCATCCGGGGACACGATCAATGCCATGGCGTCAGATGAGGCGCCCGGGGGCCTTGCGTGGAGGTAGAAGCCGTCGCAAAGTCACCTCTCGGTCTTGTCGTCGTCCCCCCTCAACCTTGCTTAAGTGTGCTGGGACAGACCCCGTTGGTGGTGAGGGCAGGGGTGGCTTTCCGTCGAGATACATGTGAAAAGGGGGGGGGGGGGGGGGGGGGGGGTATCGGCAAGCAGGGGGTAAGCCTCGTCTAGAACAGAAACATTTCTGACAGCAGTGACAAGCGTCGTTTTTTCTTTCTTTTTTCTTTTCTAACAAGCCGCCAGCGGGCGAGCCTCGGACGGTTAGGATTCGTGCCGGGGCAAACGACAGTAGCCCTCGGCAATGTCTCTGCTCGGGCACATGTCTCTGGCCGGCGAGACACCCGGAGGACCAAGATCACAACTCAGAAGTTTTTATGACGACGAGTTTCTCATGCAGGCTGTCAGATGAGGACAATTGGCCGTGGACTTTTTTTTTTTTTCTTTTTTTTTCCGAAGGGAGTGCAACAGGCAATGAATAGGGGAGGGGGATGCATGTATAGCGGAGGAGAGTTATCGATGGTACTTGGACAGGCGCGTCTCTTTTGGAGAGACGGTACTCGGCCCTCAGGTGGCGGCTACTTGCGATGGCGGGACGATGAAGTGAGCGAGACTGACTGAGAATCGGGGAAAGAAAGAAAAAACGTACCGGCAGTCCGGAGGCGATACTTGTTTTCGAGAAACAGGGAGGAAGACGCGGTACCCGTATTCGTACAAGCTGATATGGAGAGGGAGAGAGAGAAAGAGTACATTCGTTGCTGACGACGAGGACGACCTAGTTGCCATGTATGGACAATAGGTCGGAGGGCGTATCGGGTCGCTACCAAGACCGGAATCCCTGGCCGCTCGGACTGATTCCTAGGACTATCTATCCGTACCTAGGTACCTACTGGAGCTGCTAGCTATACGACCACTGGCGGTCGAGCTTAGGGCCGCCTGAACTGCCAGCTGGGCGGGAGGCCACCAGGCGCCCCCCCCCCCCCCACCTCTCATGGCAACACAATAGGTCCATGGCGATCTCTGGTCCGAAATGCGTGAAGCTTGGATGGAAAGCAAGAACAGAAGCCAACGCAGCCCGACTAATGGAGTGTCCGAGGGGGGGCTTTGACAGGCACGCCTGAAGTGCCACGGACGACTTGCACGTACAACTACCTAGTGCTAGGTAGGTGCCAGGTGAGTAGTGCATGATGGGGGCACACGGGCACTAGTGAAGCCACGGTACGTACAGATAGACACTCAGCAGATAATCAGGCTCTCTCGGCAGAAGAAGGAGAAGATGGAATACGGCGTCGCGGGTCATGGGTGGGGCGCGCAAGCCACAGCCACAAGAAGCAACGGCTTCGTTTCTGCACGAGGGCACCGAGAATACGTCGACGCTACGGAGTAAAATACGCACTAGTTTCCCGGTTGTGAGGCTTGCCCGCGCCGAAGAGTGGCTTCTGGTGGGGGAGACATGCCTCTTATTCGCCCGGCACCCTCTCGGATTCTGTCATTGAGCATTACTACACATGCAAGTCGCAGCACAGCCCCTCGTCTTCCGCGACCACCCGACTCTCTCTCTCTCTCTCTCTCTCTCTCTCTCTCTTCTGCTCGAGTTGCCAACGTTGTTGGTGTTCTTTGTGGTCTCCGAAAAAACTCCTTTTTTTTTTTTAGAGCACCGCTCCGTTCATCGGTTTTTTTTTGGCTTCGCTTCGCTTTCTGCATCGCCGCTAGACCGAATCAGCCAGGATCTTCTGTGATCGGTGTATCCGTACTACCGCCCCATATGTCAATGTCGGTGTCCTTAGGTACAATACGATGGATGGATCGAGCAAGGGTTTTTAACGGTGCAGAAGGGTCTGTTTAGGCCCCAAAGATGTGGAAAATCTACAAGTGCAAGTGCTAGCTAGAGCTTGGAGCCTTCTCTTTCTCCCAATCCCGTACCCAGGCCCATAGGAGACACTGTCTTTGCCTTGTCATGCCATATCCGCCCCCCCTACAACACCAACCCCAACCTTGCCCAGCCTTACCCGGGGTCGCCTTGAATGCCGAGAGCTGTGTTTCTTTTCTGGCAATATGTCGCCTCCGTGCCCGAGGCTGTCAGTCCTTTTTTTTGATCGCCTTGCAGGGTTCAGCGTTTTCCGGGACTATTACGGAGAAGGTATCTAAGGTCTTGGGAGACCCATGGCCGACTTTGTGGCGCACCGCACGAGGCAAGCCAGACCACGCATACATTCTTCTGTTTGCCGAGAAAGAAGTAAAGAATCGTTGGGGGGGGGGGGGGGGGGGGGGGGGGGGGCTGTCTGGCGAGGCTTATTCCACACTGGGAAACCCCCGGTCTGCAATGCAGAGCTCATTCGACGAAAACGGGAAGACTACCTAAATGAAGAGAGAAAAAAAGAAAGGAAAAAACAGAGGAGGAGGAGGAGAAAAAGGAACTGAGCGAGAAACAGACGTCCCGGCTGGGCGGGCAGCCAGAGGCTAGGTACCACGAACTTGGCTAATCGTATCGTAGCTAGGTAGGTACCTGTAGGTAGGAAATCAATTGGTGTGTGCATGCAGCCTCTCAGTCAGCATCACATCATCCCATCGGTTACCGGCGCAAGGTTTTTTTTTTTTTTTTTTTTTTTTTTTTTTTTTTCACATTCTGCCTTGGTTTTATCAAACCCGCAGGTGGGGGGAAAGCATACACGGGGAGCAACACTAAAAGGAACACCGAGGGTGGCCTTTTTTGGAGAGAGCGCATGAATACGATGGCGATAGCGACTCTCGAGAGACACTGACGCAGGTCCATCCATATCCATGCCTTGCCTTGCCATGCCATGCCATGCCATGCCATCCATGCCTGTTGGAGTCCTCCCATCCCATGTAAACTACACTACAGCACGATCCTGTACACTACCGACCGACGTGGACGTCTCCATCGCATTGCATCGGGACGACGACCAACACGAACAGAGGCGCCCGGCGTCAACACCAGCGCCAACGCCAACCAACGCCAGCAGACATTGCCCCCCCCCCGCCCCAGGGCCCAGTTGTCCCCCGCCGCCGCCGACGACGCCGGTGGTCTCAGCTCCACAACGATGCCTCCGAGGACGACGACGCCTCCCCCCCCCCCCCCCCGTTGTAAACTAAGCTGCTATACCTAGTACACTACTACCATACACGTGTGGTGCTACGTACCCTAGAAACAATAGAGCTTCGGGTGAGGCGACAAGCAGATCTGGAAGGGGGGGGCTGTCATGTCTTACCCTAACCCTGAGGCCTAGTGTACTTGCACGCCCAACTGCATAATGGTTTGGTAACGTAGCGTCAGTCTTGGACTACGACGACGACGACGTTGACGACGATGGCAAGTACCGGCCCGCCGCTGGACATGTACCCTGCGGAAAGTACCTATAGCAGGTACCTACGCTGTATGTAGGCATTGCGTACTACCTACAGGTATGTAGCGTTACCATGTAGTCTAGCCCCCGGTGCCTTGGGGAGATCCGATGCTACTGCACAGAGCGCCGCGCTGCCCCCCCCCCCCCCCGCCGGCGTGCATCTCTCCCAAGGATGTCAGTCTCTGCCATCCACTGGGCAGCTACCAACACTGCCGTCTCTCCCTCGCCTTTGGGCTCTTGGCTCTGGGCTCCGAGTTCAGAGTTCTGGTTCCGTTCTCTCTTCCCCACCTTGCTTGCTCCTCCCCGTGGCTCAATGTTCCTCTCCCTTTTGTCCCTCACTCCTTGCTCCTTGCACATGTATCCGTATACCGCACCAAAAGGACCCTCACACACCCCATCCCACACCCCCCCCTTCTTTTCTGCTTGCTTGCGCCTTCCGACCTCCTGGTCCATGGCCCATGGCCGAAAGCCCACTGGCATGGTAGAGGCGAATGAGCCGGGGGGGGTGGAGGGTGAGAGTGAGAAGCAAAAGAGGGAAAAAGGGTGAGAAAAAAAAATCAAGACAGCAGCACCTAGTACCCCAGTACTTGATCTAGCCGCCCATGGCACCCCTGCCCGACATCTTGGTACAAGTCTCTGGTACCCAGCCTTCGCTGCAACCCAGCCGCAGCAGCGGTCAGTAGGTACCTTGCCCTTCCGTGATAGGGCCTGACTGCGCTGAACGGGGTGACTGGACAGAGTGCACAGAGAGAGAAAGATAGAGAGAGAGAGAGAGAGAATCCCCCCCCCTCCTCTCGACGGGGTCAATTATAACACCCCACCACCCTCGCACCACATCCTGCCTCTTTCTCACCCTCCCTCTTCCTTCTTCACGAGCTCTTCGTCCATCATCTTCTTCTTCTCATTCGCGGTAGCAGGCGTGCAAGCCAAATAAACATCCCTTGCTGTATATCTTCTCGGGACCGTCCAGCTCCGTCATCGCTTGTTTCCTTCATTACTTCATTTTTCCTACCCTCCCCCATCTGCCCACCCTTCCCCCGGTTATCGACGAGTCTAACAGACATAAAAGACGAAAAGACCAACATCCAGATCAAGACGTCTTAACAGTCATCTCCGACCACCACAAAAAGGCTCTCTGCTACGACACGACACGACCCTTCACGACAACCGCCACCTTATTTCTTCTTTTTGTCTCCCCTTCAGCAACAACCCCTCCCCCTTCCCGCAAAATGCCTGTCCAGCTGCTGCCAGCCTCCGCGGCGGCTTTTGCCCCAAGAGCCTCATCGGTCAACGTCGTGCTAGGATCCAAGGTCGAGCCGTGGTTGACCCAGACACTGAAGCGCATCAACCGAGTCAAGCGTCCCCTCAACAGCGTCCCCCAGCACCAAAGATGTCTTACCGAGACTCTGTCCTCGCCCAACGCCATCTGGACTCTTACATCCATCATGCTGCCCAAGGCCCCGGAATCCGACTTGCGCCAGGACTCAAACCCCCTCGTCGAGGCCCTCTTCAACTATCAGCTTCTCCACATCGAGGCCTACATCGTCCACGTCGACATGGTCCTGCGCAACGAGGTCGCCTTCAAGCTGACCTCGGACTCAATAGACGCTCTTGTCGAGTACCACAAGGAGATCCACTGCGTCGACTCAAAGGCAAACACGTACGACTGGTCCGAGAAGGACCAACAGTGCAAGAAGCTGCACGACGATTTCGTCCAGGCCATTAACAAGTTTGTCTACCGCACCCACGTCTCCGCTCTCGAGGGCCTCGAGGAGGAAGGTGCCGGTGAGCTGCTGTCCGGCAAGAGCGACGAGGTCAAGAACAGCATCATGAGCTTGATGAAACCCTTGCTGCCTCCTCCTCCCCGTGTTGTCGATGTCATCAGGCAGCCTCCCCTGCTCCCCAGCTCGCCCGCAAGCGGAAGCATCTGGTCGCAGCCTCCCACCCCCGCCCACCTGCCCGCCGTCGACGCATGGAGAGTTCTGCCTTCGAGCCCGAGCATCGCATCCACCTCTCAGGAGTCAACACCCATCTGGGCCAACATTGGCATGAGCGACGTCCAAATCCCCTCCCCCACGCCCTCGTTCAGCCAACCATTCTCCACCGCCGGCTTCTACTACAGTGCACCCGCCATCACCGCGCCCATCCCGGCCCTGCCGCTCCCTAGCATGTTCACCCCGCAATGCGGCGTGAGCGTCGGCTACGGCGGCTTCGGCTGGGATCGCTACCAGGAGTACGCGACGACCATGTGACAACCAACGCCCGTCACGTCTGAGAGCTACCCTGTCGTCACGACCACATAGCACTGTCAAAGGCACGAATGGTCGCCACACAGTTCCTGGAGAGAAAAAGTTGAAGTCTTCTCGGTTTGCTCGGCATAGAAATCTTCCTCACAAAGCATATTGGCGTTTTGCATCAACGGGGGGAGCGAACGGTGTTGGCGACATCTCGCGAGACCAACGACACAAAAAAAGACATAATCCGGGGTTTTCCTTTTCGTCGGCAGCAAGCGAGCGTTTGATTTTATATTTCTTATCCTGTCTTTTCGATATCCGGGGAACAACAACCATGACTCACTCCGCCGCAAGCTCGGCCACCACTTCGTTTGAATCATATCATGGCTGGGCCCGGGGCGGGCATTTGAGTGCATTTACATTTGGGGTGGTTCTTGATATGGGCGGCTTGTTTTCATATCCAGGTCCTTTTTCTTTCTTTTTTTTTCTTTTTCTTTTTTCCTTTAAGGTCTTCTCTCATCTAAACAAGAGGAACACGCAGCAATGCAACACCCCCCCCCTAGCTCGGCTCCAGGCCTGGAGCCCGAGACAGAAGAAGCCGACACCTTGGACTCTCGATTCCCCCGTTCTGGACTTCAAATCTTTTTCTCTCGTTTCCCTTTCTGGTTTTTTTTTTTTCTGGTTCAAGAGGCTTTCTTAGAGATACCCCCATCGGCATTACATTGGTTTGGAAGATACCAACCGCTGCTGCGCATTCGCTTTCTTTCATTTCCTTGGACTTGGGTTCCTGTCTTGCGGATGGTTCACGACGACCATTCTATCACGAATGATGAAGGTCCACGACCGCGCGACGAACGATACGGATCAAGAACAACGTTGCTCCGGGGCTCGATGCCACGACACACGCCAACACTCTTGGTTTTCTTTTCGCTTCGCACAGGGTTTCGGATTTTCGGTTTTGGCGACAAAGACTTGCAACCCGGACTGGATCCAATAATGGCAACGCTCTTATCGCAGAAGGTCGATCTGCGAAGCCATCATCTCGTAGCCGAGACTTGGCCGTATCCGGAATACGGCCGTCGAGGCAGGCACCGGCTTGCCGACAGGATCTTGGCCGACATTGAAATGAAGGAAGAGATGGGATCAAATCAACAAAACTAAAAAACAAGCTGGGCATCGCGAAGACGACATCTTGCTGCGCGAGAAACGATGCAAAAGACCTCTTGCCGACGCCCATAGCTCTACCCTCACGACGACACCTCCCCCCGCTCGACCTGCGCGGGAACGACGAACCCACACCGGGCCATGCTGATCACCCCACCCGGACGCCCAAGTACGACACGACGGATCCTGCTAGCCGGGACCGTATGTGCACGGAACGTGGCTGCCCGGGATGGGGGTCATTGTGTGGATTCTGGGGAAAAGGGGGGTCGCGCCCGTGACAGCCTCGGACTGGGGAGGGATGGGGTCAAGGGGGACCAGAAGCTTGAGGCGACATGTAGCTCGCTCTCCTGCGTGGGGAACCCGACCCCTAAACCCTGATCCCCTTCTGCCGCCGAAGAAGATTCGGAGAAGCATTCGGTTGCTTGGCCTTTTGGGTGGGGAGGGGGGAGAGGTTGAACAAGCCGCCCGGGACGTTGACGTTCCGGGCGGCAGAGGGCGCTGGGAAACAGGAAATGGTTTTATTTTTGGCAGAGCGCGGATGTGGGGGGAAACGTTGGCAGACTCGGTAACCCTGGAGGTTCCGTTCACAAAAGTCTGGCCTGAAGACACACGCAGCTCAATGGGTCTATCTTATTTTGCATTTGAAGCTATTAGTTAATCCGAACAAGATTTTCTTCACCAAAGTAAGCATGTGGTCTGCATGGTCCCTTGATGTGACTTGAGAGAGAGAGAGAGAGAGAGGGAGGGAGAGAGCATATGTGATGTGTGGTTTGTTTGCGGCTTGTGGGTGTGGTGGGAGGATTGAGTTGTGTTGATCTCCCCTGCATGGTGATGAATCGACCAAGTGCCTTGGGACTGGGGGGGAAGAGAACAAGATTGGGCGGAGGGCGAACCCCAGCACCGCGGGAACAGAGTTGGGTAATCTTGGGACAGATGCAGAGAGAGAGAGATGGATAGAGATATGCGCCCCCTCCCCCCTCCAATATACTTGGATAACCCTCATTCATCACGGGAATCCGGAGATGGATTGGGCTTGTCGAGCTTCGTTGGCATCATGCTTCTTGTCCTCTCCCCCCTTTGCAGTCAGATATCCACTCCCCCCTTATTCAACCTTATGCACGATGCGCGTCTATTTTATTTCTGTGCTATCTGTTTTATCTCCGTTCCTGGCATCGGGCCTCGACGGGATCGCGCGCTCGCGCCCGCGCCCGCCCATGCACACACACTCACACACACACACACACACACACACACACAACATACACACCCCTAGCTGCCGGGCGGACGGGAATTGGGTTAGGGGAAGTTTTCCCCTTCCCCCTCCCCCCCTTCGTCCCAATTTTTTTTTTCTCCCTTCTTCTAATTCTCTTGGTTTCATTTGATTATTTATGGAAATAAAGGCTTTGACGACATTTCACGTCGTTCGGCAATTGATTTCTCTCAAGAGCAAAAAAATTATCTTTTTTTGTTTTGTTTTCTATAACCACAGTTTGCTGTTGGGGGTGGGGGGGAGGTGTCATAGAGTTTGTTTGCGGTGGTTTGTGCTAAGACACATCCATCGGGGACCAAATATTCACCCTCATCCGCCGCCCCTCTCCCACTGGAGCGGCGTGCTCCAACGTCGCATTCTCTCTTCCGCCCTTCCCTCTCCCTCTCTTTCCCGACTCGGCTACACGGAAGCTGGGGACCACCCGCGCGTCGCAAAATATTCGACGTCGTAGCCTCGGAAGATTGAAAAGGGGGGAGGAGCGTGGGTGGGGGAAGAAGACGGGCGGAGCTGGTGGTAACCGGCATGTAACCGTCATGATCCCAATGTACGGTTGCAATGCGGGCCCCTCTCGAGGACCTCGACGTGCCCGAGCCTTTTCTGCTTCGGAACGTTGATATCTCAGGGATAGGGGGGCGGCGCCGCGTCTGTTTAGGCTTGTTTCCCAAATAAGATGTGGTCAAGTATACCGCAGTTCGAATACTCTGCACTGCCTGACAAGAGAAAGCAAGCCTCTCTTCCAGGGCGGTTGAGCAGCACGCGCGCAACGATGGGCGGCAGGGTTCTAGAAGACGGGACCGGGTTCATGGATCATGGCCAGCACCCGTCATTGATCACCGGCCGTGTCTGAGCGCTTGCTGCCGATGGACGTGAGTGATCGTCGCTGGCCCGAGTCTGGGTATGGCAACGCCCCCCACCCCTGCTCGACAAAAATTCCCCTGCGATAAACTACCGTATATATAGGTAGGTGGTAGTACAAGGGGCATGCCTACACACCACCCCTTCGGGAAACGGTCTAATAGCTACGAATTCGGCCCTTTGAATGCCACGCTGGCGCTCGCACGGACGTGAACGCCTTCATTTGATGAGTGATTCTGGCCCTGTCAATGTCGACAGGCACACCAAATGTGACGGCGGCCATATGAGTTCAGCCGGTCCCCGAGAAAAGGGGGCGGAAACTTTTGACGAGACGAGTTTCAACCACCAGCTTCGCCCACCTGCTAAGTTGCGAGACGTACAAGCTGCCCGGGCAGTCAGAGGGGGAGAGGAAGAAACGCGCCGCGGGCTACCGAAATCCGCGAAACGCCTTGGCATCTGCAACCCAGCCGGACCGAACAAGTGGTGTGGAGATGATGCTCTCCGTCGAGCACTTGATGTACAAGATTCGGGATGACATCTAACATGTTTACGGGCGACGAGGTCTGCGGTGACAGACAGGGTTGCCTTCACTGACGGCTTCTGTCCTTGTCCTTGGCTCTATCCGACGTGCGCTGACATGTTTGAGGCTTCGCGAGTTACGCGGCCTTGCCGGGAAATCGCCTTGTAAGGCAGCGCACAAGCGAGCTATCCAGGGCCGTTTTCTTTCTTTCTTTCTTGGGGGCAAGGTTTAGTCTCGAGGTGCTTTGAGGGGAAACATAACACCAAATCTTGGTAGTTGCGCATTTGACTTTGGGCGTCGCCAAGGCTGGCGGCATTGTTTCTGCAACCTTATAGGCAGTCCGCGGCTCGCCGCGCATGCTGCACGGGAATGACACCCACACATGAACAAGGGCATTCGCCTCGCGTTTATTTGAGCCGGGTTTTTGTTCTGGCTTTCCCCTCGAGCGAAAGCCCCATGCCCGACCGCAAAACTCTGCACCGACCGATGTCGATGAAGTTGAGTTTTGGCAGGCCACGTCTAGCTTCTCGCGTCAGCAATCTTCCGTGTGACGAACCAGTAATCGCAGACGGGAAAGAAGAGACGGCTGCAGAGGCGAGGTAACAGGGCGCTGGATACACTCCAGGGGGTAAGCCTGGACATGGTGCAAGACAGGGGTGAGTGTGGCTTGCCAGTGCCACTCGCAGCTGGCAGGGATGCGGACCAGAGTTGCGGCTGAGTCGCCAAAAGGGGTTGGCGGCGCGCGTGTTCGCCATCGCCTGTGTCGCAGTAATGCGCCTTTTATCGAGGATGGACGGTCAAGTGTGGTACCGTAGTGCGGGCGGCTGTTGCTGTTCCGTTGCGCGCCCATTCAGTCCTCGTCCTGCCTCGAAACGAAACATTGTGTGGGGTGGAAGTGCGGAGTCGCCTCGCGCCCACATTGGCTGACATACGAGTGCGGAGTGTAGGCCGGATCCGATCCGGGGGACATGACATGGCCTTGATTGACACTCGGCCAGGTGTGCAACTCCCGCAATATACATCGTAGGATGGCCTGCAGTGCCTGCGCTTGTGACGATCGAGACTCACTCCTTGGCCTTGCCTAGTCCGTCTTACTGCACTGTGTCTCTCTTGTACGATCCGCATGCATGCGGAAAAGGTATAGAGTACCGTTGGAGGGGATCCGTGATGCCAGGTTTGGGACGCTTGCTAGATGGGTTAATTCGTTAGCCAAGTCCCAGAAGGGGGTGGCAGATCGCACGGGCGGCTTGGTGCGCCTGTCTGGGAATGACACCGTACCAAGACACTATAAGTGTTTGCGATGTGACGGGCTGGCCGACGCAAGCCTTGCTTGGCAACGGGCTCGCCCGGCCAACTTTCAGCGTCCGAATTCGGCTCCTTGGCCCGGAGCTCAGCGCTGACGGTTTGCAGACGGCTTGCTGTAGTGCGCAGATAAGGACCTGCATGCAGGCTGCAGGATCTTGACGGATCCTCCATCGCATTTTGACAAATTGGCTGCGGTCCTCGATCCGACCGAAGTACCTAGAGTGTTGAAGGCGGCTCTTGCGGAAGCTATGCCCGGGCGACGCAGTCTGACAACAACGCTCCGATCCCACGCGCGGGTGATTCAACGTGCCTGGAGCGGCGGCAGTCTGACTGTATCGGTAGAGTCCAGCTATTGCTAGCCATACCGGGCCATTGCTGATGCAGGCATAAGCAAACAAGTCCCCGAGCTTCCCGTCGCTTAAGCCGCTGGTAACCACAAGAACCAGATGGTCGGATTCGTATTGCCTCTCACGTTAGCAGCGCAGCAGTCGGGGGACGCCAATATCACCTTGTGAACAGGGCACCCGGATCACGGGACCATATATCGATTGGGCTCATTGTCCTAGAACGGGGGTAGCGGGCCGAGACAATTTGAGGTCGGCTATGTGACTGACCTCGGCACTGTGATAGTTGTTACTCTATCGAGTGACGGCGACGTAGGTGCTCTGGGAAAGACGTGTCCTGCTGCATTCTGATTATGTTTGAAGATTTGAAGGTTTTAGCCATGGGAAGACGCGAAGGGCGATGTGGATTGGCCTGTCGGCTTCACTCTCGGGAGAGCAACAACGAGTTTGGCTCCTGCCAAGAACAATGGTTGAGGGTGTGTTCTGAGAAAGAACAATCTGAAGACACTTGCCGTCCCGCTCATAACCAAAGGCAAGAGCAGCTGAAGAAGTCCTTTCCAATTTGCTACACCCGCAGGATAGGGAGGAAGTGGCGAACGTTTCCTCTTCACCACTGCCTGGATCATGTTCCTGACACTAGAATCCACAGCTTTCTCCTCGTTAGTAATATGAGGCGAACCAGACATGTTACAGTCGTCATGTTTCACAGAATCACGAGCAAACAACTTTAGGCCGCTGCTCGTATAAAGTGGGTGTCCCTCACATCTCTCATCTTATACTGATTTCATCTTTAGGTCTTTGCAGCCTTTTCTGGTTTTTCTTAGAGAGAACTTTCGCGCTAGGAACCCATGCAAGATACTTCAAGACGTTACTCCCATGGCCACTGTAGTTCTTCCATCCGTTGATCAAGGCGTTCGAATTCAATCTCGACATGATCCTCATTGTTTACTCTTGTCTCTTCGGTCCGGAAACCAATGGACGAGACTGTGAACTTTCCTGCTCCTCTTCACCTTTAGTGACGCTTAATGGGGTCACGCTACACGTTGACGGGTATGCAAACAAGAATTAGACGTAGGGAGATTGAGATCGGAGGCAGCGCCTCGCGCTTTCTGCAGGGTGTCAAAGACGTATCAGTATCAGTAACTAACTATCTGAGCGGAGACACGAGACCTAGCAGTTTGAACACCGTGCATCCAGGATAATGAGACTGCGACAGGTGTTGACGAGTAATAGGCGAAGGCGGCACCTGGCCCCAGCAAGAAAGGTCCTACAACTGCAGCAGAGTAGAGTAAAGGAATTCTCTTGTCTATATAAGAACCAAGCCGCTTACAATTTCGTAACAACCGCAAACAAGAGAGGCCTATGATGATATACGATACAACTCACTTAGCCTTCTGCCTATAGAATATGAACAACGCAAACTCTCGGACTTGGAATATGAGGTATAAGACAGGAAAAAAAGGATAGACCGCAGGTGAATGCCAAGACAGAAGAAGCAATATATCCCAGCCATCAGTATCTGTACAGAGAGCTACATTCTGTATATGTCTGATGAGGATGTATCTTTAGGCACTGAGGCTAGAATACTCCACTTCTGACCTTGGCATTTCGGGCAACGACTTTTGACGGGCTCCGTAATTGGTGACCTGATATGCCGGCGGTAAGAGAAGGCCAATCAATCGCATCATTGTCAATATTGGATGCTGACTAGCCGTTAGAATGCCACGTACATCTGACGAGGCTTTGCACACGTTACAAGATACGTGTATGAAGCGGCGCAACCCCGATACCTACTAGCGTCCTTACAGCCTGATATCGTTCGCAGATCTATGAACTTCCAATTCCAATGAACATTACCGAGAAAACGGTAACAGCAAGAGTCGGTGCGAAGAAGTTAAGCTTAGGCTTTCGCAATGTCGGAAAGATTAGAATCGGTAAGTGATGCCGCCTAGAGGACTCAACTGCGATACGTCGCTACGGCAATCAACGTAAGTTCCCATTGACAACTCCCATATCAAGCCGTCAGGATTCGGGTCCCCTCTCTACGAAGGTCACGAACCCAACCTAGAGTAAGGCCCTCTATAGAGCGTTAGCATTAGCCGTGCCGAGGATGTCTGGTCGCTGAGTCTAGCTACTCGTATAGAATCATCGCGGTTCATGGCATCGGGGCTCATAGAGACTTCACTTGGAGCTACCAGGGCATCAACTGGCTTGGTAGAAAGAACATGCTGCCGAGCTGCTTCCCGAAAGCTCGTCTCATGGCTTATGGATACGCGTCCAACTGGCTTGGCCCACAGAGTATTGCAACTAGCCTCGTCGCCGTAGCTGACCGACTTCTCAACTTACTGCACGATTTGAGAAAGGTAAGACGTGCTAGTATTGCTTCTAGGTCGTGTTATGTCTGAAATTATTTGGCTCTTTTCTCAGCACTGTCCTGAAAGGCAGACACTCTTCATCGCGCACTGCTTCGGAGGTATCGTGGTTGAAAAGGCAATACTTCAAGCTCTAGCACGAGGCACAGAATATGACAAACTTCTCATGTCTTCTATCTCAGGTATTTTCCTCCTGGGAACCACCCAAAGAGGCTCGTCATCGGCGGGACTCGCACACATCGTCGCAGCCATTGCCGCGGCCGTCCATCAAGCTTACAGGTTTCCCATCTTGAGCACGCTCAGCGAGGACTCGCAGTTGCTGGAGGATACGGTCAGGAACTTCACAATACAGGCGCACCGCCTGCAATTCAACATTCACTCCTTCTACGAAGAAGGAGAGACCAATATCGCCCAACTGGCTCATTCTTCTCTGAGGAGGTTCATTTCGCCCGCCTCTAAAGTATGAGTTTTTGCGTTCGGATTGACATATAACCATGCTCACTTTTATGCTTCATTTAGACCACACTTGTCAGAAGAGACTCAGCCTGCCTTCAAGGATATAATGGCACAGCTCTGACTCTGGATCATTTCCACCTAAACAAGTTTAGCGACCCAGAAGACGCAAACTACATCCTGGTGAGACACGTGCTGGAGGGAATAATGATCAAAGCCTCAGACCGATGTAAGAACACTGGTCATCAACAATGCCCGTATCATGCCCGCTAGCTAGCCAGAAGTGGACCATCAAGTGATGAGATACATGGAGGAACTTTACGTTGTCGATTCAGAAGACCAACTGCGCAACATAGACGAGCGGTGGGGAAAGCGATATCCAAAGCCAACAAGATCGAATACCAGCAATGGCCCCTTTCACGATTGGCAGAGCGACGACAGCCGCCGGGTCCTTTGGCTTACAGGCGGCACCCGGGTCGAGCAGAGCATTGTCGTGTCCGGTATCGTACGGAAGCTCATGCGAGATTCCTCCCACCCATTGGCTTGCTTCTTCTGCGAGAACGGGCGCGACACACACTCAGAATCCGTGTTCCGAACTCTGATTTGGATGTTGGCCAAGACACACCGCCAACTCGGAAGACATTTGAAGACTCTAGAGGTACCTGAAAGGCGTTTTACAACCGACGTGCTGAATACTCGGCTTCTCTCGTCGGTTCTCTCCAAGATGTTGCATGACCCGGCCGTTTCGACGGTATACTTGGTCGTCGACCAAGTTCACATTTGCGCCGACCAACTGGGTCTGCTCCTCGAGTTCATTTCTCTCGATGCTGCTGACGAAAATTCCAAGGCCAAATGGACTCTTTCCTCCAGTCTTGGGTTTCGGATGCCTTGGACGCATGGGTCACTAACGTCAGCCTGGAGCATTCCGCGCAGACGCCAGCAGCCATACCCTTTAAGGCCTTCACCATAAAGGATATGGCCTTCGAAAGAACGGTATACTATCGGAACCAGGGGTTTGGAGCCTGGTGCACCCTTGAACAGGCTAGAGATACCGCCAGCGCTCTGTTCTCGGTTGAAGAACAGCACACTTTTGATTTGTGCTCGAGTTTGGTGCCGAGTTATGAAGATGGCAGTGCGAGTCAGACGGTATTAATGAGAACAGACTGCCCCCCAGCTTTCTTGGCATGCCTGGAGATTGATCTGGGCGCGAGCCTCTGGATCGACACTTCGAGAGGACGACTCTGTTTCGATCGCCATTTCAAAGGTTTTACGCAGCTATACGAAAATCCTCATGACAAAGCCATTACTGCCGAGTGAGAGCAACAAGACTTCCAATCTTTCCGAATGGGCGCACGGCTGACGGTTTATAGCATTGTTGCCATTCCTGAGTTATATAGATATGCGTGTTCCTCCTGGCGGGCTGAGGAAAGTACCCATGGGATATGGATACAGGACTTCTTCCAGAAGGACCTGTCTCAGTTCCGTCTGCTCATATATGGCTACATCCCCAACTTCGCCGTGGAGGGCATCGAGTCAGTGAACAAGTACTGTGACGAACTCTTGGAACGGCTGCACTGTGTCCGTCAATCACCCGAAGAAACACACCGACCTTTGATTCTCGTAGGCCACAGAATTGGGTGTTTCCTAGCCTCCCAATTGCTCCTCAAAGCTGCTGGCTGCCAGGAGCCCGGGACGATGACCGGTTCTCTAGCGGATAGCATCACCGGGATGATCTTTTTTGCAGTTCCCCGCAGGGCCGATATCGTCGATGAAATCCAGGACATGCTCAAGGACGGGGCGGACTGTCCGAGCCACCACGTCGTCGAGATGGTCAATGGTGCCTTGGACGCGCTGAGAGACAACCTTTGCGACTTTGAGGTCTATCTCGGAGACGGCGAATTCCTGAGGTTGGAGCCATCACGTCCGAAAGAGACGTTACGAGGGACTCTGACGCCCTGGTCAAAGCTTGTCGAGCTTTTCGACCTTGGCTCGCCCATGATTACCACTCCAGTATTATGTGTAGAGAAAACTCCTGGAGACCGATCCACGGTTGCCGAGCTAGAAACCATATCCTCGCCGGCGTACAAGCGCATACTCAAGTTCCTTCGGTCTCACGAAAAGGATCTGGTCAGCCGTCGTAAACTCGAGTGGTTCGAGGCAGCGGGAGTTCGACAGCTTGGTATCACCGTCTTGCATGATCCCATTCCGCCATAGTGGACGTGGCGCTGGTTCCGGGCCTCGGCGGAGATCCGTGGGAGACTTGGTCATGCACCCCCAGGAGCAGAACCCGTTCTGGCACTCTCGGTCGGTTCTGGCCACGAAGGTATCTCCCGACAACCCTCAACGACACGCGCATAATGACGTGGGGTCCCAAAGCCGGGTCATCGGACCAGCTGGAAGGCTTCCTGTCCAATGCACCAGGGCTTCTACGGGACTTGTCATGCATGAGACCGTTGGGTCGGACGTTGATATTCGTGGCGCAGGACGAGGGGGGGCTACTCGTTACGGAAGCGCTTCGGCTGTCGGAAAAGGGGGAGTCAGAGAGCGAGAAAGGCCTCATCAGGTGGACGTCTGCCGTGGTGTTTCTGGTATCACGCCGCAGCGTAGGCAGAGATGGCATGTCCTTTGACAACCAGATCCGGCCAGACGCGGGTTCCTTTCCACAGCTGCAGCGGGACTACTGTATACATGCCAATTACTTCTTAGAGAGCTCGGCCTTGGAATTCCGCGACCCCGAGGTACGATCTCAACTACATCAGATGGATGCATCAACTCTGCCGGCAACCTTTGCGACATCGTCGAACGCGCTGTCGATCGTGGAGAGGATCAGTGCAAGCCCTCAAGGGTTGTGCCGCTTTAAGAGCTTCCTGGACATTGGTTACGTTCGTCTCGCTGAGGCTCTGAGATTGCATACGGACCGAGTGAAGGACATGGGTCTGCACTCTCGAGAAGCGCTATCGGGGTCTTTGCACTTCGAACAGCTCCATGACAGGAAGGAATTCATCAACAACGCCGCCACTGACACAGCAGCGTGGCTCCTCGACCACTAAACTATCTCACCTGGTCGGAGTGGTCTTTTGGGCCCGGCGGCCGCAACCTCCTCTGGATTAAAGGCAAGCCGGGCTCTGGAAAGTCGACACTATTGAAGAAAACACTTAGACGCCTGGAGGCTGCCGGCCTGCCCTCTTCTGTATTAGTCGCTAGCTTCTTCTTTACGGCTAGGAGTAACGTCAAGTTGCAAAATTCAGCGCTCGGGCTGTTCCAGGCAATACTCTACACCCTCCTTACAGAAGACAAGGCCCTGCTGTCCGCCTTCATCCCGGTGTACCGTAGAAAGTGCGCCGCGCACGAGGGCCGGAGGAAGTGGCAGGAAGAGGAGCTTCGAGCGTTTTTCAAGTCGGCGTACTCGGGGGAATATCCCGGCATCAAGAACGCCGTGGGCGTTATCGATGCTCTCGACGAGGTCCGCTCGGAAAGCTACGACGAAGCGTACCGAGTGGCTCAAGACTTCGTTAGTTTCTTCAAAGACCTGACCGAAAAGGGGAAACTGAAAGTATGCCTTTCGAGCCGGCATTTTCCCAACTTCCAGGTCGCTGACTGCGATCAAATCGTTGTCGAGGATTTCAACAAGGACGACATTGTAAGGTTCGTCAACGGCAAGTTCCCCAACCCTCAAAACCCTGCCAGAGCCAACAGGCTTGCGGAAAGGGTCGCGGAACAGGCTAACGGGGTCTTCATATGGGTCACTGTCGTCGTTGGGAGACTGAAATCCGGCTTGGATAATGGGATGACGGACCCGGGACTGGAGCGGGTCTTGGAAGAATTACCTTCGGAGCTGGAGAAGCTGTTTGAGGGCGTGCTTGACAGTGCCATGAGTAGGGCCAAAATGCGGAAGGCCGAGGAAATCTTCCAGTGGGTTCTGCTGTCCCAGCGACCACTGGAAAAGGACGAGCTACAGCATATCCTAACCATTAGCCGCCACCAGGACGATGGATCGGCGGCGACGACGGCCTCGATCGAACATTGGTCTACATCCAAAGATTGTCTGAACGGAGACCCAGAAAAGTTCTTAATGCAGCTGCGGCTGCATACCAGAGGCCTTGCTGAAGTCGTCCTGCTGCGCGAATCGTCTGAGTATGAAGAGAGCCTGGAGTCTCTCGAGGAGGCTCTTTGGCAGGATACTGATGACTATGAAGACCCTATGGTTTCGGGTTATGGAATAAAAGCGCCCTGGAGAAATGAGTACACCGTCCCTGCCAAGCGCAGGCGTACTGTCGGAAACACTGGATCGGAGCGACAATGAACTTTCAGTTGGTCGCCCGTTCAGTTCATCCACGAGTCCGTCCGTGAATTCCTCCTGCTAGACAACGGGCTGTCCTTCTTGCAGGTCGACGGGATTCAACGTTCGCTATCCGAAAGACATGAGATACTGGCAGAGTGCTGCGTGGCCTGCATTCTTCAGGGCAGTCACTTCCTACAGATATATCAACCGGGCAAAGTGCAAGGAACACGCGCCCTTTCCGAAACTGACCTTCCTTTTCTTCACTATGCTCTCTCTGGCGTCTTCTATCACGCCCGGCAAGTTGAGCGTAGCGGAATGTTAGCGGAGAAGGTGATGCGCCAACTCGCGGACGTGCGGCGGACATTCTGGATGGCATGGCAATTCGTTGCATCCATGGATAGCCAAGGAGAAGACGCCTGGAATTCTCGTACTCCCACCCTGCTTCACCTGATCGCTCATCACCGGATGTTCCTTTCCGCCTCTTTTGTACTGAAACTGGGATTCGACATCGGCGCGCAAGACGGCCGCGGTGATTCGGCTTTGCACTGCGCAGCTCGCGGCGGAATCGTTGAGACGGCCCAGTTTCTGATAGGCGACCAAGTTGGCAATGGACTCGGCGCTGCAAACGTCAACCTGGAAAACAAGTGCGGAGAGACTGCTCTTCACCTCGCCATAAAATCCGAAGAAGTCGGAATGGTTGAGCTACTGCTCCGGCATGGAGCCAACACAAGTATCCAAAACAAAAGAGGAGATGCCGCCATGCACATCGCTCTCGGAACGACGGGTTGTTCGATAGTACAAATGCTTGTCAAGTACGGCGCCGATGTCCATTTGCGGAACCGCACCGGAGAGATGGCCGTCCATATAGCATCTAGGATACCAAACGTCTCGATACTGGAGTCGCTTATTCAACAGGGCGGCGACATTAACGCTAAAGACAGACGTGGAATGACTCCGATCCACCACAGGATCAAGCACAATTTTGAGATGCGACCCCTCGTCCGGTTGGGAGCCGACGTCCGGGCCCAGTGCTTTGAAGGGAAGACGGCCGTTCGGACACGCTCAGGACCTGATGTTCATCAAAGACTCCCACGGCATGACGGCATTTCACTACGCGGCCGGAAAGACGTCTGCCGCGATGATGCGGCGGTTCTTAGCCCTTGTTCAGGGGCAGAGCAAGCGCTCCAGGCTGCTGTCATCACAAGATCGCTTCGGACAGACGGCGCTACACTTAGCTGCCAAGAGAGACAACTTGAATATATTCCGCGTGCTCCTCGAAGCAGGCGCAAACCTGGAGCTCTGTGACAAGAACGGAATAAAACCTGTCGACTATGCAGCAGACAAGGTATCGCGGGAGCCGTCGCTAGAGCGGCAGCTCTTTCTCTTAGGGTACCGGCGAATACTGAGGCGCCAGAACGGCCGAATGGTTTCCGGTTTTACGAAGTAGGAGACGACTAGTGAAAGGGACAGCACTACCTAGAAGGTTACAGCAGTTTGGAACTACGGGAACTGCAAAGCCCAACGTTGGCAGCGAGTATCCGCACCTGCACGCACTCTCCTAACGGCGCGGATAAGGTCAACCCGAGGACCTCGGCCTTAACCCGGAAGGCTACGCCCTGTTTATGGCTGACGTATTGGCATTCATCCACTGGTCTGCCAGAGTCGACGCCAACGACGTCGAATTCGTGCTGTCACAGAACCGTCCCCCCGCAACACCGGAGGCGGAGGCACCGGTCTGCTTCCAATCCGGTGCACTTGGACTGCACAGCATGTGGATCCTGGACACTGATTGCTGCAAGAGACGACCATGGACGAGGCTTGAATCAAGCAGGCCTGCAAGAGCTTCTGGCGCAACGACCTGTACTACCCTCGTCCAGGCAGCGATAACAAGAACGACCAGAGGCTGTGGGATATCTTTCAGGGCCGCTTTCTTGAGACCAGCGGTCGCCTCCTGGAGGAAGAGCCCGATGCTGTGAGGCAGCTGCCGCAGCGGCTTGTCGAGTTGATTGGCCAGGCTAGGGGGAAGTTTTCTAGGGGGATAGACGTATGGTGATGGTTGTTACAGGTCGAAGATTGCTTGACGCGAATTGCTGTCAAAACGAATGGGGCTCATGGAAGAATCAATTTTAATCCTGCTCAGTGTAATCAATCCGCAAAAGCCCAACATGATTGATTCCTCAACATCTTTGTTGTCTAGAATGCAACCTCTAGACTTTGTCTTAGTATCCTTCTTTGATCACGTCTAGGTAGACATGTATATATATTTGTTACATGGAATGGTTCTAGTCATGATGGAATGCAAGCAGTGCGTCATTCCTAGGCTTACTGCCACGGGCGAAGTCACATCGAAGACGAGTGTCTAGTTCTTCTGTTGCGAGTGTGCTATACAATCCTATAAGTGATATGACGCCCCTGTTATGAACATTTCTCATTGAATTCTGGTCTCTAGTGGTCGTCGTGAGTGCTGTGCAACAAGTCCTCTGAAGGATAGGCATACGAAGACGCTCGACACAGTTAATAACGTAATTCTACGTCCTATTCTCGCTGACCCGCCGTTCTTTCTTGTCGGATATGACATCTTAACCCGTTTGCTCAAGATGGCGCCAAGCAGTGTGCCATTTTGCCCGAGTGCTCGTGAATGGCTTCCACTTGACAATACATCGGAGTCACATGCAGAGCCAAGAGTGGATCCAATATGCAGTCCTGGTCCGCCAAACATGGACCGCCGTCCAGTTCCCTGCTGCAGAAACGTTTGCCAGCCGCCAATAAGTACTCGGAGTATAGACTTCATTTGCATCAAAACAGCAAGCATCAGAGGCTGCATTGATGGATTGATGCCCCGCTGTGTCTGTTAGCGAGACGTTTGATTAGTCTCCAACCCTGGATGTATGCGAGGCGCTTTCGCCACATCTGGAAGATGGAGCGCCGGCGTGCATTCTGCATGCATGCGCAACAGACTTGCACCAACAATGGGTGCCAGATGACAGGGGGCCGCAGGATGGATTTAAGCAAACAGTGAAGACGGTCTCCCCTCGCCATCTGGACTCGGCCTCTTTTCGTGTTCCCCTCACCTTCCAGACTTCACATGTTGGCTATCTTTCAAACCTCACAGACAATAAGCTGAGATTATTATACCGTGTAGTCAAAGCAATACCACCAGTCTTTGCGTGGACTGATACCAAGATGGCCGAACCAACAACCAAGGAAGAGACCGTACCCCCAGCCGGGTCCGGGACCGCATCTCCCTCCCAGCCCACGACTGCCTCCCCAGCCGTACCGGATCCGCCTGAAAACGCCAATGAGGCAGAGGTGATCGAGCACGACGATGTGGATAATGTTCGTTTTACCCGAACCCTTGTTTACCTGACCGTTGTAGAATCGCTCGCTAACTATAACGATAGGCCTCCGAAACTGCATCCACGGTTGATGATCGATGGTGAGGAGCTTTCCCGTCTCGCTACTCTCGACGCGAATCTAATTGAACAGGTCGACTTACACTGGATCTCTGACTTCGAGCGTGTTCGACTACCCTACAGAGCATGGCCGTCGTTACCATGCTTTCCGATCTGGATGTAAGCATAATGGTCGGTCCCGCTCTGAGATTCACAAATCATTAACGTGGAGCAGCATACTGGGGTCCAAACGATGAGGTATGGCCATGGTCTTGGTCGTTGTCGGGATACTCTCTGCTACTTACTAACCGTGCTCATTGCGAAAGACTGAGATGGAACGTCTGGACTTCAATCACATGCTTATTGTCAAAGTGATCGGTAACAAGCTCTACCTGGCCCCCCTTGATAAGAATAAGATCCACCGAATTCTTGACGTTGGAACTGGGACGGGAGTGTGTAGGTTGCTCCTTCTTCGCACACTTTGTATATTTGTTGACTGATCAATCTCAGGTGCGATACAAATGGGCGACGAGTTCCCCAACGCACAGGTACGGACGTCACTGAAGTCTATTCTAGTTACGAACCAAAACCTCATTGAAAAAAAGCTGACAGCCATGGGTCTGTCTAGATCATTGGAAACGACTTGAGCCCCATTCAGCCGACTTGGTATATACAGTTCTGTGCACCCTTCTTTGGCAAGCAGCCAAGACTAACACAAGCTCAGGGTTCCACCGAATGTCAAGTTCGAAGTCGATGATGTTGAGAGCCCTTGGCTCATCGCGGAGAAATACGACTTCATCTTCTGTCGATACATGGCTGGGTCTCTTGGAGACTGGCCCAAACTCATGCGAAGAGTTTTCAGGTACGTCCCGTGCTACACCAAACATGGAAAACATATAGTCGGAGCGACTGATACTTATGTTAGGAATACAAACCCTGGTGGCTGGGTTGAATTCCAAGACTATAACCTCCGGTGGAAGTCGGATGATGGCTCATTGACGGAGAAACACTTTACCAATGAAGCTGTAAACAACTTCCTCGAAGCCTGCAAACTGGTGAATCGTGAGCCGGCCCCGGGACCCAAGTTGGAGGGCTGGGTCAAGGACGCAGGCTTCGTCAACATCACCCATCAAAAATTCAAAATTCCCGTTGGGGACTGGCCTAAGGACCCTCACTACAAGGAGTGCGGCTTGATCAACTTGATGCAGACCCTCGAAGGCTTGGAGGGATTCACCCTAAGAATGTTTACTAGTGTGCTCGGATGGACGAAAGAGGAGGTTATCGTGCTCCTAGCGGAAGTACGTCGCGAGTTGAAGACTCGAACTTTTCACGCCTATTTCGACTTGTGAGTCTTCCTACTCCCCCACCCTTTCAACTTGCACCGGTCTGGACCTCAGCTGACCATACACAATCACAGTCATGTGGTTTATGCCCAGAAGCCAGAAGTGGAGGAGGAGTAAGCTTTCTCGTCGAATTCGACAAGGCAAACCATTTGATTTGTGTTACCGTGCGGCTCGCCTTCCCTTAGTCAACAGTTAGCCGTTCGACTCGGCATAGGAAGAAATAGGTCCTGCTATGATATTTTTGTTCCAATGACTTGTTAACTGCAAACCGTTCTGGGGCGAAATATTCTCCGTGTCTTGATTGATGTTGAGCGCCCGCTGCCCCGCCGGGCACATCGGGCCGCTAGCCCGTCAACGGCCCGGCCCCACCCGGCGATGCTTCCGCGGCGCGGGGGCTTCCGCTAGCTCCAGGTACCTCATCCTCCCATCACATTCCATGATCTCCACTCACACAGACACTGGGGTCATTTGCTGCCGACCTTCTGTTTCTGGCCTTCTTCCCTCCTCCCCCTCCCAGCCAAGGGTCAGAACCTCACCTTTCTCGATTTCCGACAATCAATAAGCTAAGCGCGTACAAACCCAGAAAAAGCTCTTATCCGGTGCCCCGCTCCAACCAGCATGTCTAGAGACCATGACGCCGCCTCGCGCAGGGTTGAGGATCGCAAACAATGCACTCGGCAAACTTCCCCGCCCGACTGCAGAAACCCTGGCGGGGCGAACGATGTAGCAGGCTTTCTCTATTACCCAGGTAGCATTTGCTTCCGATGATGGGATGTCACGTCGCCGTCTCATCTTCTCGTCGAGCTGCGCTTTCCATCGAACGTGACTGGTTCAGACGACGAGAAACTGATATAAAAAAAATGGCCAGCGATTCAACCCCCGTTGCTCTGCTACTGGCTGTCGCGCTGGTGACGGTCCTTTTCGTCACCGCGAGATCCAAACACGGCAGCCCATCCCGGAAACCACTCAAGCTCCCCGTCATCGGCGACCTCCACAGCTCGCCGCCCGAGAGGCCGCTCGCGAACTGGGGCCGATGGGCCAGGTCCAACGGGCCGGTGGCCGCGTCCAAGCTCTTCGGCATATTCCCGACGGTCGTCCTCAACACCTCCGAGGCGGCCACGGAGCTCTTTGGGAAACGCGGGGCGCGCTACAGCGACCGGCCGAGCTCGGTGAGCATGGAGATGATCACCGGGGCCGCCGGCCCGGGCAAGTCCAGGTTCACCCTGATGCACGACTACGACGCCGACCTGAAGCTGCAGCACCGCATGCTGTCGCCGAGCCTCGGGGCCGTCGTCGCACCCCGGTACCAGCCTCTGATGGAGCTCGAGTCGAAACAGCTGTTGGTCGACCTGCTGAGCGCCACCCGCGCACAGGGCGAGGACGACGACGCGGCCATGCAGAGCACCGAGATCTACCACCTTCTCGAGCGCACGCAGGCCAGCGTCATCCTGGGGCTGCACTACGGCATCCGCGTCCCCTCCACCGGCGACCCCCTTTTCAACCAGATCATGGACGTGCACAAGGAGGTCACCTACGTCGCCGCCAACCCGGGCCTCGTCGACTTCGTCCCGCCCCTCCGACACCTGCCGGCGCTCGTGTCGCCCTGGCGCCGCGCCGCGGACCGGCTGTTCAAGTCGCAGAGCGCGCTGTACCTCCGCCTGCTCTGCCAGGGGATGAACGCGCCCGGCTGGAACGCGACCAAGCAGGCGCGCGCCGTGGCCGCCAAGCACGCCGTCGGTGGCGACTCCGTGCCGGAGATCGATCTCGCGTTTGCGCTCGCCACCAGCGTGCAGGGAGGCATGGAGACGGCCCCGCGGCAGATGATGTGGCTGCTGGCCGCCGCACACGAGAACCGGGACTTTGTGGCGCGGGCGCACGCCGTCCTGGACAAGTTCGTGGGCCGCAAGCGGCCGCCGCGATTCGCCGACCGGCCGAGGCTGTCGTACGTCGACGCCGTCGTGTCCGAGGTCGTGCGGTGGCGGCCGGTGACGCCCGGGGGCGTCCCGCGGAGGGCGGACGAGGAGGACGAGATCCGCGGCACGCGCATCGCCAAGGGCGCGACCGTGTTCGCCAACGCGTGGGCTATCGGGCGCGACAGGGAGGTCTTTGGCGAGGAGGCCGGGGACGTCGCGGCCTTCGTGCCGGAGAGGTGGCTGAGCCTGGACGGGAGCGTGCGCACCGACCTGCCGCTGGCGGTGTTTGGGCAGGGCAGGAGGAGCTGCCTCGGCAGGCGGGTGGCCACGGACAACATGTTCATGGTGTTTGCTAGTCTGTTGTGGGCCTTTGACATCGTGCCCGTGCAAGAGGTCGATACGATGGCCATGGACGTGGCGGGCTTCATGACGATGCCCTCGGCGTTCATGCTCGGGATCAAGCCGCGCGGGCCGTGGGTTGAGGAGGCGGTGCGGAGCAATTGGGAAGGGGCTGAGACGGACATCGGCAGGATCATGGGTAAATGGGCAGACGTCGACACATGATGATGTGAAGATCAACCTCGTGTGCTCTTTGGGCAGCAAAAGACGCTCTTATATTGCGTGAAGGACGGGATGTGCTTCGCTTGATGTATTCCACACTTTGTTCAGACCAAATCGCCTGAATCCATCTGCTGAGTTGCATCAACTTAACAACATCCACACACCTACCCGCACGACTAAAACGAAGAGACGTGCTCCTGGACCATGACCCTGACGTGCGATAGGACGCTGTACTCATTAAAAGCCATTCGGTTCGCCCCGCAAAGGCCAGTCTGTCAGGTCTGAATGACCGGTGTCAGAACCTCGAATGAACACGCGCCAAGATCCAAAGAACCTGACCAACAAGTATCGATATCAAATCCGAGGAAGACGCCCCTAAACACGCACGCCATCCAACTGCTTCACCACGTCCTCGTGGAACCGCATCGAGAGCCGCGCCGCCACGTCGTCTTCGGTCTCGGAGTCACCGTCCGCCAACCCCAGAGCCTCGCCGCCTGCGATGCACTTCCGGGCCGCCTCTTCGAACAGCTCCCCCATGCTGGCGCCGAGGTCGGCGACGCGGTCCTCGGCGAGGAGAGCGTCTCTGACCCTCATGGCGAGGCTGGGCCTCCGACTGATGTCGTAGCCGAGGACGACGTCCACCGGCGCCCAGTGGGCGATCTCGACAAAGAGCACGCCGAGGCTGTATATGTCGAAGCTCTTCTTGAACCGCTCCCTCTTGGCGGGGTTCATTACCTGCACATGGGGGTGACGGTACAGGTTGTACTCGGCATCGTCCTGGGGAATGTCTGTTGCCTCATCGCTCCGGGAGGGGCGGGAATAGTCGAACCCAGTTAGGTATGGTTCCGCATAGTTGACGCGGCCGCCCTTGGTCCGAAAGAAGACCACGTTGTGGCTGCGAAGCCCCTTGTGGAGCCAGTTCACGGCGTGAAGGTACAAGAGACAGTTGCTGATGGCATGCGCCAGTTTGACTCTCTCCGTGACGCGGGGTTTCCTCTCGAGTAGGAGGAGCTCGCGAAGCGATACGGGAGGCAGGGACGGGTGCAGCTCACTGCTGCTGCTGCTGCTGGGCCGTTCAAACACAAGACCCAGCTTCCGGTTAAGGCTGTCGTCTTCTGGCGCGTCATTTTCGGGGCCTAGCATGTCGAAGAAGCCGAGGCAATGCAGCGTTCGGAAGGCCTCGGGCTTCGGACTGTGGCTCAGTAAGGCGGCAAGCTTGCCTACCCTATCAATGATGACCGTTCTCGGGGGCGACTCGTCCCCGGCTTTTTGGCGGTCGTATTCCTTCCATTCTATCCAGACTCTCTTGCTGGACCCGTCAGCGGTGCGAAGGGTCGCCTCGCACCTCGGCTGATCAAATTCCTCGGGTTCTTCATCGAGCAGTGTGATCATTCCTCTGTCTAGGACGAGCTTATCCCGTTGCGCCGGTTTCCCTAGCTCCAAAGACATGGCCGTTGCTTCGTCCCACGGGTGCTGCTGCTGCTGCTGCTGTTGCTTCTCCGACTCTATCGACTCGTTGAAAGCCTTGAACTTGGCTAGCTTGGAGATGAGCTCCAGGTCGTCCGCGTTCTTCTCCCGCTGAGCTTTGGACATGGACGAAATGTTCGCCGGCGCGGTGTTCTCGAGCTTCAGGTTCAGCGCCATCACGAGCCGTCCCAGGTCTGCAATGCGATGATGCAGCTGCAAGACCCCTCGGTTTGTATCTTGCACCGTATCGCGGATCTCCACCTGCAGGCGGGCGTCCAAAATGTCAGTCATGTTGTCGTTCAGGGTAGCAAACCGAGACAGGAGGGTCTCGAATGCGCTTTTGTCGAAGGAGACCCAGCTTAGCCTGAGAAAGGTCTCTCGTGACTGGCTCTTGAGCTTTCCCATTGCTCGCTTTATGAAGTCCCTCCGCTTCTCCGGCAACGGAAAGTTGGCGGCGGCAGCATCCTTCTCGGGGTGTTCGAGGACCGTGTCCGGGTCCGAGGCCGGCTTCAGCCGCCCGTTGCGGCGCTGATGCTCTTCGAACTCTTTGAACAAGCACTGGACCTGGACCAGGAGGTCAAGAACCGTGGTCCGGTGGAGCATGAAGGTGTTGGTACCGAGGACCTTTTCCTGCTGATTCTTGTCCAGGTCGAGAAGCCCGGACGTCTCACTCCAAGCAAACAACCTCTGTTGCTCCATCCGCAGCCGCAGATTGAGGAACTTGCAGTCGTCGGGGAAGTTCCTGGCTGTGATGAGCAGCTGAATGCCTGAGTCTGATTAATATTCAGATGCACATGTGGAGCGGACGGCGGGTTGTTACCTTGTACGCAACCAGTGTAGACCTGTAGACCGATGGATGCAACGCTGATGGCCAAGCCGGCGGCCGATACGGGATCCATGACGGAGACGGGACTGATCAGCTGCCTTCCGGTGAACCAATACGGTTGGGGTTGATGAAGGCGGAGGCTGACGGTCTGAATTGCCGAGTCGAAGAATTACGTGCTTGATTTTTTCTCATTTCTCTTCTTTTTTTCTTTTTAGTGCGCATTTCCCGCCACGCCACGGATGCATGCTTGTCTACATGTACGATGTGCAGCTGTTGAGTAACCGCAGTCACCCCTCCTATGTCCCCAATGAATCGACGCGGGTAAGTAGATGGCGAATGTTCAACGCCCGTAGCCAGCTGGCACCATGCTCTTGGCATCTGCGTGCAGGTGTGGTGTTGGTCGCATTTCCCTTCTTCCTCGTTTCTCACTGTAACACACATGACCGTTTTATCTTCAACGATTATTGAAGTTTGAACTTTGGAGTGGCTTTTTATTTCGTCTCTGCATGTCTTCATGTTGATTCGAAAGGAAACCGTTGCTTGTTCGCCTCATCCACCGCCTTGCGCACCCCTGTCACGTTCTGAAGTACTGTCGGATGGTCGGAATGAACGCAGATGCTGAAGGGCTTGCCCTGGAACCCGAAGCTGAATACACGGTTGTTATTGTCTTTGCCCGAATCATCGAGCAACGCAGAGAGTGCTCTTTCGTAGCACAACTCGGGGGTAGCCACTTTGGACTGTGCCACCGGTACGAGCCGGCCGTCGGGAGAGTAGTCGATGTCGACGTACACTTCCCCCTGGAAGGGGATGCCCAGCTCCTTACACATGGCTTCCTGGGCAGGGTTTTGAGAGGCGTAGACGGGGACGTTGCTTCCGAAGGTGGCGCAGGCCTCTAAGACGGCTCTCATGATGAGCTCGTCCCTCTGCATATAGAAGAAGAGCTCGCCATGCGGTTTGATGTGGGACAGCTCGACACCTTCAGAGTCCAATATGGCCTTGAGGGCGCCTACCTGATACAAGACCATGGCGTACACATCGTTGGGGTCGATCTCCATTTTCCTGCGGCCAAAGCCGAGCATGTCCTGAAGCCCGGGGTGGGCTCCGGCCTTGACGTTGTGCCTTTTGCACAAGCGGACGGTCTTGAGCATGATGGCTGGGTCGCCGGCGTGGAATCCGCAGGCAATGTTAGCGGCATCGATATAAGACATCAACTCTTCGTCCGGGCCCATCTTCCATGGGCCGAAGCCCTCGCCCATGTCGGCGTTGATATCATATTTGCGTGCAAGCCCTGAAGCCATCCTGAGGGGTAGAACGAACGACTGCTGTTTCGTGTGAAAAGAAGGAAGAGGGCGCGGGCAGTGAAGCAAGAGAAAAGGAGAGAGCACGCGGCAAGCAGCCATCTCGTCTTTCGATCCGTGTCGGCCGACCTTGTCTCGGATAGCAGCTGGAAGGACGGTCAAGAGGTGTGTCAACGCAGGTAGGTAGGTAGGTAGGTAGGATATGGCATATAGGTATCTAGGGAGTTGGAGTAGCTCCGTCATAGTTAGGTAGGTAGGGGTTGGGGTTACTCCAAGACGAGGTGGTACGTTGGGAAACAAGCTTCGCAGTCGCCTTGAACCATCAAGTACCTAGGTACCTGACTAGTTAGGTAGGTACTTATCGGTAGATACCTGCCACATGTTGGGGGGTAATCGGCACTTGATAGGGCCAGGGGAGGGACGCTTGATCGACCAAACCTTCCTTCAACTTACAAACCAAGACTCACATGCAACCCATCAGCAATCCGTTATCTGGAACCGAATCCCCTCCTTTTAAGGTATCAGCCGCTGAGGTAAAGCCGTGAAGCTTCGACGAGAATGGCAACGGCGCGATAGACCCAGCCAGTCCTCATGATGCTGCGGACCAACCTCTGAATCCGCCGGTCCATGGAAGGATTGAAAAGAATCCGAACCTTCCAAGTATCCTACAGTCTTTCCTCCTCATTCATCACCCACCAAAACTGCATCCAGCACATTGTTGACAATGTCGAATTCTAGAGGCGCCGTGGAGCCCAAACCTCTTCGAAATATCAACAAGGTCTTGGTGGCCAACCGAGGCGAGATAGCCGTCCGCTGCGTCAAGGCATGTCGCGAACTCGGCGTCCTCAGTGTCACTGTCTATACCGCTGCCGACGCAACTTCACTGCACGTTCTGCAGGCGGATGAAGCAATCGCATTGCGGGGTAACAAAACCTACACCGACATGTGAGTACTCCATGTCTTGGCCTGAGTGCCATTGGCCGCCTTGGGCACCTCGCTGAGCACTGCAGCAGCGATGCCATCCTCGACGTCTGTAGAAGCACAGGCGCTGACGCCGTTTTCCCTGGCTATGGCTTTCTGAGCGAAAATGTCGCCTTTGCCGAAGCCGTCGCCACCGCAGGCCTCACCTTCATCGGCCCTTCGTCGGCATCAATCCGGGCAATGGGCCTCAAGCACGAGGCGAGGTCCATCGCCCAAGCTGTCAATGTCCCGGTCGTCCCCGGAACATCGCTTCTGTCGTCAGCACACGAGGCAATCGAGGGCGCCAAGAGACTCGGGTTCCCCGTCATATTGAAACCCACCGGGGGTGGTGGTGGCATGGGCTTGCAGATTTGCCATGACGAACAAGACGTCCCAAAGGCCTTCGCCACAGTGGAGAGCCGTGCCGGCGCCCTCCTCAATAACACCGGAGTCTTCCTAGAGAAGTACTATCCACGCTTTCGGCACATCGAGGTGCAAGTATTTGGAAACGGTACCCAAGTAGTCGCTTTCGGAGAGAGGGAATGCTCCCTCCAACGACGTCATCAAAAGATAATTGAGGAATGCCCTAGCCCGTTCGTAGAGCGGACCCCCGGTCTCCGCGAGAAGATGCTGCAAGCCGCAGTCAGTTACGCCTCACATCTCAAGTACAAAAGCGCAGGCACTGTGGAGTTCCTCGTCGACGACGAGACGGCCGATTTCTTCTTCCTGGAGATGAACACGCGGTTGCAGGTTGAGCATGGCATCACCGAGATGTGCTACCGAATCGACCTCGTCCATCTGATGCTCTACCAGGCCGACTACGAACGTGGCGGCCAGTTGGGCATACCTTCAGATGAGCTTCGGGGCTTCCAACAAGCACTCCCACGCGGTTCGGCCATCGAGGCAAGAATATACGCAGAGATCCCTCTGCTCGACTTTACTCCCAGTCCTGGCCTCATACAGAACGTAAGCTGGCCGCAAGGCGACGGCGTCCGTGTCGATACCTGGGTGGAAAACGGCCAGCATATCACGCCTTTTTACGACCCATTGATTGCCAAGATCATGGTACACAGCCCTGGCGGCCGAGCCGACGCACAGAGAAAGATGGTTGCGGCGCTAGCGAAGACAACCTTGCAAGGTACTCAAACGAATTTGCAATATCTGTCGCAAGTCCTTCAGTCTGATAACTTCTCCAAAGGCAATAGCCTTACCAATTTCCTAACCGCCTTCCAGGTCGAGGTGTGCGCTATGCAAGTTCTCAGCCCCGGTGTCTTAACCACGGTCCAGGACTACCCTGGACGAACGACCGTGGGGCATGGAGTGCCCCCGAGCGGCCCGATGGACGATCTGAGCAGCCGAATCGCCAACATCCTCGTTGGCAATGATCCCAGCGTCGAGTTCCTCGAGATCACCATGACGGGCCCAGAGCTCAAGTTTCATGAGTCAGCCATTGTGGCCGTCTGTGGTGCCCAAGTGTCCGTGACCATCGACGACGAGGAACAGCCAATGTGGTCTCGCATCGTTGTGAAGCAGGGACAGACACTCAAGATTGGTAGCGTTTTCGGCGACGGACTCAGGGCCTACCTCGCTGTCAAGGGCGGATTCCCCGAGATTCCGCTCTTTTTTGGCTCCAAGTCCACAGCACCAGAGCTTGGCCTTGGTGGTCTGCAGGGACGAAAGTTGCAGGCCAACGATATCATCGCTCTCTCCCCGGAGTCAGGTGCCTGGGCAGCCGCGGCTACGCCCTTCTCGCTACCCCCGGGGGCCATGCCGGACTACAGTGTCTCCGAAATATACTGCCTCAATGGTCCGTTTGGCTCGGAAGATATTCTTACCCCAGAGGGCATGGAGATGATTACTAGTTCCCAATGGACCGTTACCCATAACAGCAGCCGCAGCGGAGTTCGACTGGAGGGCCCACGACTAAAGTGGGCGCGTACTACCGGTGGAGGAGGCGGTTCTCATCCATCAAATGTCTTTGACTATGGATACCCAAACGGCGGCGTCAACTGGACAGGGGAGTACCCCGTAATCTTCTCGCGCGACCGCCCAGACCTCGGAGGGTTTGCCTGTCCTGTGACCATCTGCTCGGCCGAAATGTGGAAGGTCGGCCAGCTGAAAGCGGGCCATGGTTTTCGTTTTCAAATTGTCACCTTCGAGGACGCTGTGGAAATTACCCGCAGAAACGAGGGGTATTTGAAGTCTCTGGCCGCTCTTGTGGACGGCGAGGAAACCGAAGTAACCCCTCCCGTACGGACGTTCGGCCCTCAGAAAACCACTTCCATCCTACATATGACGCAATCCCTTGGCGACCATCCCCGCGTCACTTACCGGCAAGGGGGCGACGCGGCTATAGTTGTTGAGTATGGCGAGCAAGTTGCCGATCTGCGGAACACCGTCTGCGTCAAGATGCTCAAGGAGAAAATCGCGGCCCGGGACATTGTCAGCATACGCTGCGAGCCCAATCTTTCCACGCTCACTGTGCACTTTGATCCGCTCCAGATTCACCAGTCGGGGGTTCTCCAAAACTTGATAGAGCTTGATGGGAGCATCGAAGAGGTTGTAGGCGTCAAATTGGCGGTCCGCGAACTCAGACTCCCGCTGTGCGTAGACCACCCCACGGTCAAAGAAGCCACAGAACGATATATGGAAAGCATTCGGCCGACGGCCGCCTACCTCCCGGATAACGTCGAGTATCTGCGGAGGAACAACGCCCTGGAATCCCGCCGCGACGTTCTCGATTCCCTAGTGAGAACGCCCTGGCTCGTCGTCGGTGTGGGCTTCTTCGTCGGAACCCCGGTCATGTTTCCGCTTGACCCCAAGTATGTCTTTACGGGTCAAAAGTACAACCCCAACCGCACATACACGCCGAGCGGCGCGGTTGGTTTGGGCGGCTCTCTGTTGGCAATCTACCCCGTCGCCTCTCCAGGAGGGTACCAGCTTATGGGCCGCGCTTTGGGTACGTGGGACATGATGGGTACTCGACCTGGCTTCTCGCCTTCGCGGCCGTGGCTGTTTGAGCACTTTGATATGGTGCGATTTCGCGAGGTTTCGAGGGAGGAGTTTGACCAAGCCGAGCGCGACTTTGAGGTTGGAAGATATATGTTTGACATTTCGGACGGGGTTCTTTCCATGGACGAGCACATTGCCAAGTTCGACGCGGCAGCCCGGGACCCCGCACACCAGGAGTGGCGGAAGCGTCAGGCTGCGGCGGCCAAGGAGATGGGCCAGCTCGAGCAGCGTCTTTTTGGCGAATGGATGGAAGCCAAGGCAGCAGATGCTTCGAGTCAGAGCGAAGAAGATGGCGATGCAGCATTGGACGATACTCTCACGGTGGAGTCGCCCATGAGTGCCAATGTTTGGAAGGTGCTGGTGGAGATTGGGGATGTGCTGGAGAAGAAGCAGACGGTGGCGATCCTGGAAACGATGAAGATGGAAATCAAAGTGCTCACTTCTGACGCACAGGCCGGGGCAGTAGTAACCAAGATTGCACGCACACCCGGCAGTGTTGTCAGTCCGGGAACACCCATCGTAGTGTGCCAAAAGGTGATGTAATGCAGCTGGTTCTTTTCACGGAAGGGGAACGCGTATCTAGGCAATTTGATTGAATGAGTTGATGAAGACCCAAGAATCCATCTCGCCGAACTTGGCAAGGGTTGGTGTATGTGTGTTATTGCAGTCCGAAAAGGCGGCCGGATATGCGGGGCCCCCACTGTTTCGGCCCCCAACCGAGCGCCGGGCCGGGTATGGGTCGGTCCTGGTTCAGACGGAAAACTCGCGTCTTGCCGCGCGGTCTACCACGAATTGTGATGGAGGCCAAGCATGTCTGCAAGCCTCCGAGTCCTTTCTCCCCACCTCCTTCTTTTCTTTCCAGCGACTACGACATCGGCAGCCGGATACTTGAACCTTCTCCCCCCAATCCGAGGGATCATTTGGAAACGCGAATCACACAAACTCAATCCACCCGCCGTAGCCGCGGACTGTGGCTTCATCCCATATAGGTACCTAGGTAAACGAACTAGGTAGTTTAGGTTCCCAAAATGGCCGGGCAAGCTTCGGACGCACGGCCTTTATGGGATGGTGACGGGTAACCGTGGTCTTGGGCCGACGGCAGGCGGCTATATGCAGGGTTTTATAAATAATTTTCAGCCTCTCCAACTCCTCAACTTGTCATCGGCGACCACGATGGCTTCGAATCAGCTACCGCATCCCCGACGGTGTGTACACATAGTAGAGGACAGACACATGGCGACTATCATTCACCCAAGTACGAATACCTACATTTGGCTCCCAAGCACGCCCCTAACCCGTGTCCTTCCCCCGCACGCACGGGACCCGCCCGCTCCTTTCAATAGGTAGTGGATATCCATCCCCTTGGGCACCAAACATTTGGCAGGTGGAAAGGGACCGCCACCTAAGCATGCGCACGACCTCGGCCTCATCTATCGCAGCTTCGCTTGAAGCTGACATAGCAGACGGCCCCATTGTTTGCGTGGACTCTGTGCACAGAGAGAGAGCGAGAGAGAGAGAGAGAGGCATAGAGGAAACAGGACTAGGATAGGTTTAACAGGCCAGGCCACCCGTCCATCGTATCAGTGCGCTGGGGTCCTGTTTGGGGGCGCGTAACACGGCTGCACGGTAGCAATCAAGTTGATCGCTACTACTGCCCGTCTTTGTTGCCGACCACGCACGTCTGTTTTCTTCCTCCTACAAACATCCGCCCTCTTTTGTCGCGACGCACGCCCGATCGCGACCAAGTCTCGTCCCCTCCCCGTCCACCGGTTCCGGCAATCGGCCGCTCGAGCCGTCGACATGGAATTCTCGCTGACGCCCGAAGTTCCCCTGTCTTCGGGGACCGCGTCCAGCGACGGGTCCCCGAACCCTCTGAGGGTGGTGCCCGACCCAGAGTCGTCCACCGATCGCGACTCGCCGAATGCGCGCTCCTCGGCGACCAGTGAAACCCGCTCCCAGACCGCCCAACCAGTTATAGCCGTCCCCGCTGCCTGTCTCGGCTGCGTAAGTGACACCTCGTCTCACTACACCCCACCCCTCCCCCCATTCCTCCCGTCAAGCCGATGCTGCAGCTAGTTGACCCGATCCCCTCTTGTGCGGCAGCGTGGGAAGCACCTCAAATGTGACGGACAGAACCCTTGCTCGAGATGCCAGAGCTCGCAGTCCGAGTGCATCTACGTCGCCTCGCGCCGCGGCTACAAGGGTCCGAGGAGGAACAACACCGCCAACCCGAACAAGAGAGCGCGCTCCTCGTCTCCCACGTCCACCGTCGGTGTCGGCGACAGTTGCCCTATGCTCTTGGCCGCTAACGGCACCACGGCGCCCTCGACCATGCAGAACTCGGCGGCCTTTGGCCCCATCGGCGTCGGCCTCCCCGACACCCCCAGTACCACGTTTGCAACGACGCCCAACTACACGAATATGCAGCTCTACCGCTCCTTTGGCGCCGCCACCGGCTTCGGCTCGAACCAGCTGGCCCTGGGCGTGCCGCAGTCCGGCGCGCCCGCCCAGGTCCCCGTGCCCACCCTTGCCGAGCGGTGTCTCGACTCGTTCTACCACCACTTCCATGCCTCGCACCCCTTTGCCCTCCCCAAGGAATGGCTGCTCCGCATCATGAGGGACACCAACGTGGAACCTCTGCTGGCCACCATCCGCTGGATCGGCTCTCTGTTCCTTGAGGCCGGGCCCGCGCGGGCCGGGTTCCTGGACGAGGCACTGCGCCTGGTGCAGAATCCTACCGTCAGGAGAGACGGCTTCTTCGTCCAAGCCCTGGTCCTGTTAGTCGTCGGGCTGGACGGCAGCTGTGAGCAGGATAGGGCTCGGGACCTGCTCGCCGACGCCGAGCGCACCGCGCTCGAGATAGGACTGCACACGCGCGGGTTCGCGACGCAGTACGGCCGGGGCATCCCCGTGCTCGAGGAGAGCTGGCGGAGGACGTGGTGGGACCTGTTTGTCGTCGACGGCATGGTGGCCGGGGTCCACCGCCAGACCAACTTTCTTCTCTTTGACGTGCCCGCCGACGCCGCCCTCCCCTGCGAGGAGCATCAATATCTATCTGGGGTGAGTGCCTGTTGGAGCGTGACCCTTCCCCCTCTCCTTGGCCCATTCAAATAGCTAAAGTTGCGTCGTGGTTCGTACAGAACATCCCGCCGCCCATGAACCTCACGGACCTGGAAGACCAGGACTTCTCCGGCGAGGACCGGCCGTTCTCGTCGTTTGCCTACCGCGTCCTGGCCGGGCGCAACCTGGGCAAGCTCATGCGCGTCCCGCCCATCTTCGGCCCGGACGACGAGAACCTGGCGCGCATCGAGGCGCTGCTGACCAACTGGAGACTCCACCTCCCGGCGGCTAAGAAGAACGCGCTGGACCAGAAGCTCCAGCCCGACGAGATGATCTTCCAGGCCAACATGATGACCAATGCGTAAGGCCCCTCCTGCCCTGTTCCCATGCGTCCAGTCCTTTTCAAGCAAAAATGGAAGAGGAAAAGAAAAAAGAAAAGAAAAAAGGACGCCAGGCACTGACGCAAACACAAAGGACGTCCATCATGCTTCATCAGCCGCACTCGCAGCTGGACTCGACGCCGGCGCGGTCGGTCACGTCGTGCGCGCCGCACCGGCCGGTGCCGTCCGGGGACCTGTTCAACGCGCACACGAACCACACGGTGACGTCGGCGGCCGAGATCAGCAAGATGATCACGCACCGCGTGCCGCTGACGTCGCACACGCACTTCTTCACGTGCGTCGTGACGCTCTCGTCCATCGTCCACCTGAGCAAGTGGGCCCTCTTCTTCGTGCCCCACGACGACGACGAGCTCCGGCAGCAGATCCGGCTCAACATCGGCGCCCTCAACAAGCTCTCGACCGTGTGGAAGGCGGCGGGGCGCGCCTCGGGCCAGGTCCGGGCCGTTGCGCAGGACATCTACCGGTCCAAGAAGACGTCGCAGACCAGCCCGTCCTACTGGCAGGGCTACACCCAGGAGGAGGTCATGAACAGCATCGCGGCGGACGAGACCATCATGAACGACATTGAGTCGGGCCTGGGCGGCATCTCCATGCCGCCTCTGGGCGGTCTTGGCGGGTAGCCGTGGCCCTCTAATTGCTATCGGTGCTTCGAGGGGGGGGGGGGGGGGGGGGGCGGGGGGGACATAATGTAACTTGACGAGGAAGGACAAGGGAAAGCTGAAGCTGTATGATACTTATCCTCTAATATACGCCAAGCGTGACGGCTAGCCGTGTGCTGTCGTCAAGCCAAAACACTAGTTTCCGCAACCACCTCAGTCCGGAGACCCTTGTGGCGCTTTTGACCGCAGAGGTTTTGACTTTAGCGTCGTCCATGACCCTCCCCAATGCCGCCCGTGGCTGAGAGGAGAGAGCCGGCCGTGCTAGCCGGATCCCAGACGTCCTAGCGGTCCTTGGAGCTGTCGATGCCGAACACCCCGACCAACACCGGCGGTGCAGAGGATTTCCCCCGTCTTCCCTCCTAAACGGAAGAAGCCCCCGGGTCACTGGAACGGAGACGGCTGCGCGGACGGGATATCTTGCCCGGTCTAGACGCCGGCCGACCTGAGGACCCCCCTTCCCCCCTCGACAAGCGAAACCTCCGTCGACCCCACGCGGTGTGGGGTCGCAAGGCGTACAGTCGCGTGGCAACGCAGGGTCTCGAGTCTGTTGTTTCCCATGTTGTCCGGGCACACCCCACCCACCGGGGAGGTGCGGGAAACCGTTGTTGCACGCCCCGGGGATATGCACACCACGTGGGAAGGGGAGGAGGGTGCGCGACGCAGGCTTGGCGGACTCGGCGTCCAGGGAACCCGTCCAGCGTCTCGGGGACCATAATTCAAGGGGACTCTCCACCCTCTTCTTCCCCGCCGTGGGATTCTCGAACTTGGAAATCCGGCCACTGCTCCTTCCGGCTGTCTGACGGGGAATGCGAGGAAGAAGATGCAACGGAATCTTGATCATCTCCAGATGCGAGGGTGGCATTGGCTGGCTGATGGTGGCAGCACGGGAAGCAAGAGCGGACAGAGCCGTCTAATTGTCGGCATACGACAGTCGCACCCGTTCGGCACGGTTTGGATGTCCCGCATCGTCATTCTAACCATGCCGATATGATCCATGCTGATGAGTTCTCCTTAGGAGTTTTTCTCATCGCCGGCCATACCGATCCAGCAAGGAAGTGCGTGTAAGTGAACAATTGGTCGGACGAGGTACACACGTCTGTGGGGGTACACACACCCCACCACCCCCTGGTCTCGGGGCCTTTTTTTGACTGGATCTTGGGGACTAAAAAGGCAGCTTACATGGTGGTCGCCGATTACCGCGATCCTTCTCAACCGTCCATCACTTGCATAAGTGTGCTGCTGCCTGCATCGTAACGGGGCAAGCAGGGTAGGCTACCCGATTCAGCCTCAGATGCCGCCATGCAGCGCCAGCAAAGCAAAGGAAAATAAAGCAAACCGAATCAAAGGAGCGCATCCTCGTGGCTGTGCCGGCCGTGGTTGGCTTGCGGGCCCGGTGTAAGTGAAGAGCAAGAAGATAAAATCTGTGCCGCTCCTCTTCTGCTCTAGGTTCGTGTCCTAGGCGCCCGTTCTACATGCTCATGCTTCCCTCGGAACTCGGGACTTGTATACCCTGCTTGGCCAATTGCAGGCATAAACACACACATATAGGCATAAGACGTAGCCATGACGGCTCGCGACAACTACGCATCGGGGCGCAAGGCAGCGCGGTGCCAGGACCACGGCTTCTCCAAGCAGGACGCCGAGCTGGGCGCCGCCGACGCCCACCTGCTCAACACCACGGTGCAGAACATCTCGTGGAGCGGCATCGAGGTAACCGTCAAGGACAGAGAGACGAAGCAGCCCAAGGACATCGTCCACCGAGTCGACGGCCTCGTCAAGGCAGGTGAGTTCCCTCGCCCCCCTTCCTCTCCCTTGGGTGTACTTCAAGACGGCGACGTCCCTTGTGCTAATACCCGCCCGCAGGTGAGATCTGCGCCCTCATGGGCCCCTCGGGCAGCGGCAAGACGACTCTCCTCAACGTCCTCGCCGGCCGCCCGACCAACGCCGCCTCCGTCGGCGGCTCCGTCCTCGTCAACGGCGCCAAGGCCCCGCGCGCCGACTTCCGGCGCATCAGCCGCTTCGTCGAGCAGGAGGACGCCCTCATCGGGTCCCTGACCGTCCGCGAGACCCTGCTCTTCACCTCGCGCCTCGCCTCGTCCTCGCTTCCCGCCCGGGAGCGCGCCGCCCGCGTCGACGGCCTGCTGACCGCCTTCGGCCTCGAGGACCAGGCCGACGCCCTCATCGGCACGCCCCTCCGCAAGGGCGTCTCGGGCGGCCAGAAGAGGCGCGTCGGCGTCGCCAGCCAGCTGATCACCGGCCCCAGGATCTTGTTCCTCGACGAGCCGACGAGCGGCCTCGACTCGGCCGCGAGCTTCGAGGTCATCAGCTACCTACGCAAGGTGGCAAAACAAAACAATGTAAGCCGGGGCGCCTGCCTGCCTTCTCAGAACCCCCCGCCCCCGATTCGGCCTTGGAGGAAGGGGAAACGCCGATTGCTAACAGCGCCCCGCAGCTCATCGTCATCGCGTCCATCCACCAGCCCTCGACGTCGACCTTCAACCTCTTCGACAAGCTGCTCCTCCTCTCCGGCGGCAAGACGCACTACTTTGGCCCCGTCGACGGCGTGGCCCCCCACTACGAGGCCATGGGCATGCCGATCCCGCTGCAGGTGAACCCGGCCGAGCACGTGCTCGAGCTGGTCAACACCGACTTCGTCCGCGATAAGCACCGGGCCGCGGAGCGCCTCGAGGCCATGCAGGCGGCGTGGGACGCCTCGCGCGCGGCCGGGGACCTGCGCTTGGCCCTCGCCGACGTCAAGGAGCGGCGGCGGCGGCGCAGCAACAACAACAACAACAACAACAACAACAACAATAACGGCGCCGTCATGGTCGGCGAGGAGACGGAGCCGAGACCCGGCACGGCGGGCCTGGTGGTGACGCTTCTGCACCGCGGCTTCGTCAAGAGCCGCCGCGACGTCGTGGCGTACGGCATCCGCCTCGCCATGTACGCGGGGCTCGCCCTCATGATGGGCACGGTGTGGGCGCGGCTGCCGGCGGAGCAGGCGTCCATCATCCCGCTGACCAACGCCATCTTCTTCGGCGGCGCCTTCATGTCCTTCATGGCCGTCGCCTACGTCCCGGCCTTCCTCGAGGACCGCGGCCAGTACGTCAAGGAGCGCCGCAACGGCCTGTGCGGCCCCGCGGCCCTGCTCGCCGCCAACTTCCTCCTCGGCCTGCCGTACCTGTTCCTCTTCGCCCTCTCCTTCTCCGCCGTCTCGTACTGGCTGTCCAACTTCCGCCCCGCCGCCGACGCCTTCTTCGTCTGGGTCCTCTGGCTCTTCCTCGACCTGCTGGCGGCCGAGGGCCTCGTCGTCCTCTTCGCCTCGCTGTTCCCGAGCTTCGTCGTCAGCCTCGCCCTCGTCGCCTTCGCCAACGGCCTGTGGATGAGCGTCAACGGCTTCATGGTGCCGCCCACCATCCTCAACGCCTTCTACCGCTACGTCTTCCACTACTGGGACTACCAGAAGTACGTCTTCGAGGGCATGATGCGCAACGAGTTCGCGACCAGGACCTACGCCTGCGCCGAGGGGTGCCGCTGCATGTACCAGACGCCGCTGGCGGCCGAGTGCAGGATCGCCGGCCAGGGCGTGCTCGACACGTACGGCTACACCGAGGACCACTTCGCGAGGAACGTCGGCATCATGATCGCCATCATTGCCGGGTACCGCATCGCTGCGTGGGTTGTGCTCAAGCTCAAGAAGAGCTGAGCGCTGGGTCCTGCCGCCGGCCGGTTCCGGGGGTGGGTGGGGGCGAACGATTTCCGGCTTTCCCGTGATGTCGTTATATAGTATTTGAATGTCACTGTTCGCATCTCAAAGGTCTGCTCTGTTGGCAAGGAAGCGTGGGACGGTTGGCTGGTTATCGGTGGATTGGTATTACATGGTACATAGAACATACAGGCACAAATAGCAATGCCCCCATTTCATAAATACATGAACAAGCGCCCGGCCCCATACAACACAGACATGCCTGTCCCCTTTTAACTAAGCTTCGTCCTTTCGCTTTTTGAGCCGGCCAGAGTGGGTGATACATAAAAAAAACAAAACCAAAAATGCCGTCAAAGGCGTTTTACAAGCATCGTACAAACCCGACTTCGTCGCTATCTTACACTAGATTCTCGAGCTGGGTCCAAAACGGCCCGCGCCCTTGTCCTTCTGCCACGTCGCCCACCGGTTCTTCGTCTCGAACCGCGAGCCAAACTTGCTGTGGCCGAACGCGTCCGACACCGTCATGGTGGGGACCAGCTTCGCGTCCGACTGGTACGGCAGCACGCTGCGCTCCTTCTTGGGCCTGGGCGCGCGGGCCTTCTTCTCCTCTTGCGTCTTGAGCGACTCTCTCCGGTCCTTGAGCACCTGGCCCAGCTCCATCTCGGTGCTCGCGATCTGCGCCCTGAGGAAATGAGGATCGGTCGACGTCGAGTCCTCGAGCGTGTCCATGACGGGCGTGCGCGGGACGTACTCGATTCCCTCGAGCTTGGGCGCGTGTGCCGGGTCAGGCACGATGGCGGGGTCCAGACGGGCTTCGGCCCCTTTGGCGAGGAGGGCCGTGATGTCGAGGCTCTCTCCCGGAGGGATGGCCGTCTTGTGGCTTGGTGTCACGCAGTCCATGTCGACCTCCTTGCGGAGGACGTGGTCGATATCGATGGCGGAGAAATAGGCCACTGACTGCGGCAGGTCGTTGATGCCCACCTGCTGGGAAAACATCGCTCTCGTCCAAACGTTTGCCACCTGAAGTGCCATGGCGGCGCGATACTTGTCGTGGTCCTTGACGAGATATCGGATTTCGTCGTGGACGGTGATGGCCAGACGGGCCTCGATGTTGAACCGCCGGGTGAGGTAATCCATGCCTACGATCAGGAGGTGGAGATAGTCGACGCCCGAGGACTGGATAGCCCAGTTGATGCGCGAGGTCAGGTAGCCGTTCTGGTTGATGAAGCGGCGCATCAGGGCCTCCGTGATGCCCGCGCCCAGGACAAACGTCCGGGGTCGCTCTTGTGCCGCGAACTCTTCCAGCTTGTTGAAGAGGAACGATTCCGTCCCGCCGCGCCAGAACGGCCGCTTGCTCAGCACCGATCTGTTGGTCTTGGTGCCCTTCGTTTTGGCGTACAGCCTCGCCGCGGTCTCGTTCGTTTCCTTCTCGGACAAGTTGGGGTTGAACTGCCTGAGCAGCTGGCCGGCAAACTTGAGCCCCGCGCCGTAGATGCGGCCGTAGTTGAACACCTTGGCATCGTTTCTCGTGATGCCCAGGATGCTCGCCGTTCGCGAATGGAGATCTGTGCCGGCGGCCTTTGTGCCCTCCAGGGTCATGAACCCGATGGCGTTGCCGCCGTGAAGCTTGAACGTGGCGTCTCCGACCAGGCTCGCGATCCATAGCTCCTCCGAATCAACGTCGGCACCGACGAAGCTGTAGCCAGGCGGCGCCTTGACCATCGATTTGAGCTCCGACCCGACTCGGTTCTTCTTCGCGTTGCTCGCGGTAAGCCACGTGTTCTCCACTGCCCTTCTCGTGATGGTCCCCATGGGTATTATTTGGGGTAGGATATAGCCTTGAACTTGTTCTGGGTCCTTCTCCTTCCCGGAGCTTGCCTTATTGTCTCTGCCTGGAATGTCGTTCTCGTAGACAACCATCTGCGACATGATGCGGTCACGGGCGCTGATCCAGTACGAACACGACGCGTTCATTTCCAGGGCTTCCTTGGCGTACGAGTACTCGGAGGACAATGTTCCCTTTTCAAAATAGGATAGGTACCCTTTGGCCATGGGATTGACACACCGTGCCGTTGGGCCATCCTTGTGTGGCAGCTTGAAAAAGACGCCATGCTCTTTCCGCAGCGCGGCATCGCTCTCCGAGTCGGAAAAGTCGCATTCAATCATCTGCTTCTGCTGGTAATCTGATGCTTCGCTCCGTTCCACTCTGAACGTCCAGCCGTACTTGTCTGACCAGAACAGCGGGTGGTTGTCCCACGAGAGCTTGAGCAGTATCGGTGCGATACGAGTCCGTACCGTGAGGTTGATGGGAGCGTCGTTCTTCGGGAACAAGTCTTTATACCACTGCGGCATACCGGGCTTCTTCTGTCTCGCGGCCGGCCGTGGCAGATCGTTCTTCTTCTTGCCTTTGACCATTTTGATTTCCTGGCCAGACCAATCGAGCTGCTTCAACCACGGATCATTGCCCCATTTCTCTGGGTCGTCCTTGATTGCGAGAGCCTGTTCGGTGAGCCCGATCAGACGTTCCTGAACGGCTTCGGATAGCGCACGGTAAGTGGCCTCGGCGTTGTGAATATAAGCGTCCCAGGTCTTGTTCACAGGCAAGATGACGGAGGAAAGATGTCGCAGCGCCGCAAAGCTGACGGGGTGCGGACAGGTGTCGAGGAAGTTGGGGAAGACGATCTGGTACACGCGGTGAGTGATGGCGACATCCGCGGCGCAGTAGTCCAGGAGGTTGTCCAGCTTGCCCAACACGCCAGCTCGGTCAAGCGTGCCAAACTCATCGCGCACAGCCTTGTCGATGGTGACGTCGAGATGGAACTTGGCCACGTCGCGAAGCGAGTTGACCGAACTCCGGTCCACCCAAAGCTCCTCCTCTTCTTGCCGCAAGGCGCTATTTCCCAGCAGCTCGGCCAACTGCACATCGTCGGTTTGACTTGCAATCTTATCTCTTAGTTCTCGGCTCTTCTTGTGCTTCATCCACGTCGGCCTCTGCTGCGAGCACATGCCGTTTACGGCCACATGGAGCGACATGGTGTCCATGAAGTAGTTGCGCGTTTGCTTCACGTCATACTCCTCCAATATCCTCGCTCTGTCATATCCGATGTTGTGGCCCACTATCACACGTTCTTTCGTCGGGTCGCCCAACGGAATCAGGTGCCGGTCAGACTCGGACTCGCCCAGCAGCCACGGCGACAGCCATGCATACCAGGCTGTCGGACTCGATGCGCAGGCCATGACGGCGAACGAGCTCTCCTTCCACATGACTTCGGTGTCAAAGCACAACATGGACTCGTCGGGCGCATCGATGGCTTCAGTCCTGCCGTCGGAATAATATTTCGTCCAGCCACTGCGGCGGACCCATTTTCGCGGCTTCGGCGGTGTGTTGGCCCTCGCAAACTGTTTCGCGAGGGATAGATACGGTTCGGCAGAGTCGACGGCAAGCTTGTGGAAGTGCTCGTCTAGCGTTCGTCCTTGAAGATCGGGGAGGTCGAAGGCGATGGGTTCGCTGTTGTCATTGTTCTTGCCGAGCAAATCATGGCGGCGCAAGTGATCCCTAGCGAGGTTTACAAGCTCGGGCGGCGGCGGCGTGTTTCCGTCGGGAAACAACTGGCCGTAAACATGGGCACTGAGATGCTGAACGCCGATTTCGTTGTAGCGTGACTGCGACGAGACTGTGATGATCAGCAAAGGGCCACAAGACCGACTGATTGAAGGAGGGCGCAAAGCTCATACGATTCAGACCGTGCTGTCGCTCCTCGGTCTTCTTATTATCCGCAGCCTCCGATGTGACTGCAGACTGCCAACGGACATGCGAGCGCCATGCAAGGCGACGAGAAGCATGGTGACGGGCTAGGCGGACGAAGCTCGCAGTGGAACCCCTCAGGACCTGGTTTGCGATTTCGACCATGGTCTTGGTCGAGCGTGCGGCATGTCGCTGGAAGCGAGAACAAATGGGTTGACGAGAATACGGGCTCTCAGCACATGACACGGAATATGAGGTGAATATTTTCCCAGTCGCAAAGGCTGGGGGCGGGCGAGCAGGACGACGTAGAGGGAGATAGAGGAAGACGGAAGAGAACCAGCATGGGAAAAAAAAAACTAGAGAGTTGCCGTCACCACTTTGACAGGCGTCGCGATGCGATAGGGGGCGGAAGAGAGAGGGGCGCGTTAGCTTGGGTCCTCGTGCGGGGCAGGGATCATCAGCCAATCGGCGAGCTTGAGCTTCCGGCATCTCGCCTAGGTAGTCGTCTCCACCTTTTAAGGGTCTCCCGCCCGCCTGGGTTCTACATAGTAAAAGAATTTCGGCACGCCATGCCCTGCACCTTTGGATTTATGGCATCGAAATGGCCGTCTGAAAGTAGCCAACTTCTCGTTGAAGACTTCCAATGAAGTTGCACTGCATTTCAGGGTTCCTTGGCGTGGTGAATATTGTTTGTGTCTTTAAGAGGAGGAACAACACCAAACGATGAAGCCATAGGTACCTAGGCACGTATGCTGGCTGGCCTGAGTATGGGTACGGACATATACAATGTACAGGGTGGCAGGGGTAAGTTTTTTCCCCCTATGATGTTATCCCACATAGCTGACATCATGATAGAGGGGGAATATTCACCAAAAGTGAAGTTCTGTAGTAGGGGGGTGAGCATTAGTTACCTAACAGGGGGGAAAAACTTCGGCCGGATACCATCGTACATGTAAGACCCGTTGGAGCAATTGAGAGCCGATGTCTTCTGCCGACTAGGGTAAGTACCTGGGCCAAAGTCTGAAAGCTGCACAAAATCGTTGTGGTTCGAGATGCAGAGCCCGAGACGGGGGTCTGTTGAAAGGTTGCTCTCAGTGTCGGCGTGGGTCTCAACCAGCTGCACATTTGAACCACCGTGACTCGGCCAGACTGTACTATAGTACGTGTACTACTAAGGGGCCGCCTCACAGACGTATGTACCTTAGTGGTACACGCACTACCTATGTATGTACTATGTAGACACGTATCTAGGTACGTAACCCTTGGTACTGTGTAACACCGGAAGCACCCAAGATGCAGTGCGGTGCAGACACAGAGATGGACACAGAGAGGGAGAGAAACAGACCTGGTTACTGTCGTATCGTTTCTTTTTCCCGAGTCTCATTTCGCCCTCTCCGCCTCGTCGCCTTCGTCTATTCCGAAGCAGAAGCAGGAACAGATTGGAGGGAATATGACACCCTTTCCCTTCCGTTCTGTGCCTTGTGCACACCTGGGTAACTGAACGGCTGGCCAAGTGTTGCCTAGGTACCTACTCCGTATGCACTTGCTGGCTGTCCTGGTTTGCCCTCCAAACCCCACCCCCTTGGGTACAGATACTGCCGCACCAAATCACCTCAATCCCCGAACCTATGCCTAAACCCCGAAACCACGACACTGCGCACTGGTGACGGCCATCCGTCATCCCGCCTTCCTCGCTCCCCTCCATCTCTTTTCCTACACAACGTCGACATGGCCAAGGCCCCTTTTGCTGACGACCTAAAATCTCCCTACCCTGGATACTTGTCTGTTGATTAATTCTTGTCTTTCTTTCCAATATTTTACAAATTGGACTGTATTCCCCCCTCCCCCGCTACGATTTGCCTCGGAACTGCTTGTTTTTAACGCCCAAATCACTTCGTCGCGCCCAAAAGACAATCGGCGCTTCCTCCCACTTCCCATGCCGGGCCTCATCTCGTTTCTGTCTACGCCGCAGCCGACACGAACCAACTCTTCTTTCACCCCAGCCCGGCCGGTCAACAGCTACCTCGGGACAGATCAGGGTGTTGCACGAGGCAGCAACTGTCAAACACCCATCCAACTTGACAACGAACCCGAGCCCGTATCCGCTTCAGCCTCTCGAAACGCCACTCACACCCAGCAACACCAACAACACCAACATCAACATATCGATAGTCTTGTGGCCGCCACTGCACCGGACAGCACCCAAACCCAACAAGCCCTCCCCTCATTTCTACACTTCGCCGCCACCCTGGATTACCAACCCTTCGACGCAACTGCGCTACAGCAGAACGGCGCCCCACAGACACCCAACCGCCAACCGATTACCGACGAATACCTCTCCGCACTAGTCGACGGGAACTTCTCCTCACCGTCCTCATATCCCCGACACATCCAGGACTCTGCAGACAGCTTTCAGCACCCGAACCTTGCCCAAAGTCCTCGGAACCCCCCCCATCGCCACCCTTCTGGCACGCCGCTGCGGCCCGACCGCCCAGCTAGGTACAGCCGCCAGAACACGAACGCTGCGCTGAGAGCAGCAGCAGCAGCAAGAAATCCAACGTCGCATCCCGCGTCCCGCGACAACGAGCTCGAAGACTCGCTTTTCGTAAGCTCGGACGACGAATCCCGGGCCACGATGCCTGTTCAGACCCGCCGGAGGGCTTCCACGATCCCCAGCTCTGATCATGACCCCGACCCAGAGGAGATTGTGGTCTCCGCCACGCGAAAGCGGGCGGCCCCTTCGTCCGCCCCTACCAGAGGGACTGCCGCTCCCAAGCGACGACGAACGTCGCAGCCTCAGACCGTACGCGACCGGACGACAACGCCCGGCGCCCTGACGCTTGACGACGACATTTTTGGCGAAGACGCTGTAGATGTCAAGAAGGGCAAGGGGAAGGTCGAAGAAGTCATTGATCTTGCCGACACGAACGAGGTGCCAGAGGATTTGAAGGCGCCCAAGGATGACAACAGAGTAAAGATTTCGGCATTTCAGTGTGTCATCTGCATGGACGATGTCACGGCCTTGACAGTAACACACTGTGGTACGTTGTGGTCTGCAGGTCACTTTTTTTGTGTGTTCGGCATAACTAACGCCGCCAGGCCACCTCTTCTGCTCCGAGTGCCTTCACTCAGCGCTGAACGTTGACGCAACCAAGAACAAATGCCCAATCTGCAGACAAAAGGTTGAAACCAAAGACCGAAACACCTACACGTCCAAGACAAAGGGTTTCTGGCCCCTGGAGCTCAAGCTGATGACAGCCAGCCGCAAGGGCAAGCAACGGGCGTGAGCCACGCACAACTCTTACAAGGCACATATCCGAAGAGTCTGGGGCAGGTTTGCCACGGGCTGCACATTTATTTTCACAGCGAACAGGAGGGAAGGGCATATAGGAGGCATATGGATCCGTGGGCTTTGCAGCATTTTCAGTGCGTTTTGTTGGTGGAGGGGGGGTTGTACGGGGAGTAGGCAATGTTATTTTTGTGATACCCGTCCAGCCAGCATTGTGTTCAATAGAGCGAGGGCAGCAGAGGCGCTGGCATCTGTGCCATAGCGTGAACATAGACGAACAACCCCGTTTCCAAGGGTTGACGAATTCAACGTGTGGCTCATGTCTCTGTTTGTCTTGCGTTGCCCGTGCAATGTTTTTTTTTTTTTTCTTTTTCTGTTTATCCCCTTTCTTCTCGTAAGTGGTCGGGTCCGTGGCAACCCATCGCTATGAAGTTTAGCCCCCGCCCCCCTTCGGCCTCCTTCCGTCCGTAGCTATCAAGCAGGGGGTCTGACGGCAGGCCAAGGTACAGATACTGAGGAGGGATTGTAGCAGGTCTCGCTCTCCATAGCCGTGGGGGCCTTCTGCTTCGCGTGGGGGTCGGTTGCGGTGGCACCTCTACAGTGGTTTTTTTTTTTTTATGTACTGCGTGTCGTCCTCGAGGGGGGTAGGGGAGCGCAGCGCATCCCCGCCCCCAACCGAGACCGCTAGGTATGACCTCCCAGCCAGTGTTCCGTTTCCTTTCCGGCCCTTCACTTCTCCCAAACGCCTGGTTTATATGCACAGATGACATCTACGCTGATTTTAGGTCTTGCTTATGCTCCTTTTTCTTTTGTATTCCTCCGCTGATTATGCCGCCGCCGCCGCCGCCGTCGTCACGCCTCTCTCTCTCTCTCTCTCTCTCTGTATCTGATTCCTCAAGTGAATAAGACAGGGCCCTGCCTTTTAGGCTCCGGCATCACCTCGTTCTCAAACTGTAGACGTTGTCAGCAAAATGGCCGCTGAAACAGCGATTAAGAAGTGTTGCGATGTGGTACATACCTCGAGGAAACCTGTCGCGGCGATCAGAACCATGAAGCCCTCGGCTAACTCCTCGATGCGTTCCTCCAGGACACCCTCCCCTTCAATCGTGCCGATGCCTGCACTGCGCTTGAGGGTATGCGTCACCAGCATACGATGCTCCGTAAGAAATCTGCGCCCCTGAAGCACATTGCTGGAGCCGCGGCTGACAATGGCCGCGCTGACAACTTGCGTGACCTTGGCGAGCAGCTCGTAATGCTTCTCCAGAGCCTTGGAGTTCGTAGGGTCGATCTGCAGTTCCGGGTCCGCCGCGAAGAGGCCAGAGGCCTCGATGGACCGGAACAGGTTCGCGTGCAGAACGTACTTGGCGCCGGGCTTGGTCTGTACGAGCTGCAGAAGCAGTGCCAACTTGGCTGCCACGTACGTCTCCTGCGCCGTGTTGCCTGTGTGAACGACCTCGGTCCAGTCATGCAAAATGGTCCGTAGCGAGTCGACGAGGATGCCGATGAAATTGAGCCGATTGAGCGTTTCGACAATGTGCGGGTCGTCTTCTTGTCGGCCCAGATTCACGAGCACGGTGAGGAGGACGAAGGCGGCGGTCTGGCACGCGGGGTCACTACTGTACGCGTCGTCGCAAATGACGTTGATGAGCCTCTCGCCGTACATCTGGATCGTTTTCAGCGTCTTCTGCCGGCCGGCGACGAGCAATCCTTGATCCACCATCCCCGTCAAGTAGCGGTAGCAAATGCTGTAGTAGATTGCTCGGAGCTCTGAGGAGCCGGTCCACTTGCCGATGGCTTGCAGGCAGACCTGGAACAGCTGGTAAAGCTTGTCGCTCACGAGACTACCAATAGCCTGACTTTCTCGGTCCAGCGAAGGCTTCGAGCTCAAGTCGAGCTTGAAGAGGAGGACCCTGGCCAGCTTCGCAAGCTCCATCGCTTCCTCTGGCCGCTCGAACGCCGAAGCCTCCAGGCCGGGCAAGATAGCTTGTAGCGCTTGCAGGTAGAACGAGGCCTCGGTCGTGCCCCTGAACTCGTTCGATGCGACCATGACGAGAAGCAGATTCGTCCATGTCTTTAGAACACCGAGACCTTGCGACGCTATCCGCTTTCGACGGTTGGTGAAGATGAGGTAGTTGACGATCAACGTCTCTTCCCGCTCCAGAGTGGCAAAATCCTGCGCCGTCATGACGACGCCATCATGCTTTCTTTCACTGCGTTTAAGCAGCAGAATCTCCCTCGCTCGGTCGACGTTGTAGATGGCGTTTCCGTGATCGTCCTCCTCGAGACAGGTACTGAGATCGAGGTCCTTGTAAAACTGGAGGGCAGGAAGTGATTCATCCCAGATACCCTCGGGTAGTGAAAAGTCGTACAAGTCGAACACGGTGGGAATGGGCATTGGCTCGTTGTTCTCGCCCACGATCTGGCCGTTGAGAGCCTCGAAAATCCGTCGCTTGAGGGATGGCATCCGACTCTGCGATATACTGCAGAGCTCCATCGCGATATACTCTAAGCTCATGCTGCGCAGAGCAAGAAACTCGATAAAAGTCGGCGCACCTTCAGTGAGCGGGAAATCAGGGGAGCTGATATCTTGGTTTTCCCAATGCAATTGGGGCTGGATAACTACCTCGCGGAGCAGGAGGTGAAACAGGACCTCGTTATCTCGGAGCTCGTCGATAACAAAAGGGGCCGATAGAGGTGATGTCCACAAGACCCTCAGGATATGCATAGACTTGCTCTTCAAGGACACAAGCCAATACCGCATACCTTGTGCGTCACCAAATGATGTGTCTAACAGCAACCTCAGCATGTTGTGGAAGACCGACGTCCGGGAGGCAAAAGTCCCATTGGGCTCTATAGACAGCGAGTCAACGCCACAGTGAAAGCCCAGCAGGAGATGAGCAATCGAAGGCTTGTCAGGGCTTGCTGCTAGGCAGCTTGAGAGAAAGTCGAGAATGTATGTTTTGGTGAGATAGCTGGGCGACTCGGCTTCCCGTCCCCAGTCGAGGGGCGTCATCAGCTCCGCGGCGAGCGATCTGGCTATAGTCTCGTGCTCTCCATTCGCCTCGAGCGCGACAATGGCTTTGTTGCGATGGCTTTTGCGGCCAGGTGTGGATGACCATGCCGAAGTGATCTTGAACGATGCCGTCATCTTTTGTAACAATCTCAGACAGGACAGTGTTAGTTCGGGATGGCCAAGACCGCAGTAATTTCCCAGGTCAACTACAAGGCCGAGATGGCCGACGAGGCCGTCTTCGAAAGAAGCGTACGCAGCGTTGGCAACAGGGGGGCGCCGGTGATTAGACTGCATCTTGATCAGGGGCCGGACAAGATCAAGGAAGGTTGCCTGGAGATCCAGAACCTTGGAGATGACCTCGACAGCTCTGAGGATACCCAGGATGACTGGCGAATCGGGCGGTGCGTTGCCGACATCCACGGCATCCTGATGGATGGTCTGGGCGAGAGCCGCAATGACCTTGTCGTTGAACATCCATTCCATGACTCGGGCAAAAGGGTGTAGCTTGACATAGGTTGCCAAATCCGTCGCCGCCATCGCCGAATCAATGGGAATGTTGGTTTCGTTTGCGATGACAATCAGGTTTTCATTGAACGTTGAGAGACAGGTTGCTGCAAACTCAAGACAGCTCAGGCGCAGCATCCTTAGCTGGTTGATGTCATTCACTTCGTTGGCCTTGTTTGCAAAAACCTTGCCCAGAACAGTGTCAACGTAGATTTCGATCCCAGGCATGCGATTAGCCGACCCGAGGTTCTCCGGGAAGGGCAGCGAGTCGTTGAGTGGGCTACTATCCTCGGGGGGCGTGATCAGTGCGATCAAGAGCTGGGTGAAGGCATGTGGCTCGTCGAAACCGTGGCAGATGTCGTCGCTGACCGTGTCCATGGACACAACCGGTGAGCTCTGGGGGGATCGGTGCTGACTTGGGGTCACTATGTAAGCGCCGTTCATCCAGGCCTCCAGACATTGCCACATGATGTTGGCTTCCTCTTGTGTTTTGCGAGAGATCAATGCGCGCAAAGCCAAAAAGGTGCCTGCGCGCAGGTCCGCCGGAACTGGACTGCTGGCGAGCTGGAAAAGCATCTCCACAAGGTTGAAGCTGGGCTCCTTCAGAAGGAACTGCCTTGCAGTCTCGCTCTCTGAAGCAAGCTTGGTGATGAGCCGCAGGTATGACTGCAGCATCATTGTGGACTCCGGCTCGGATTCGGCCTGGTCGCTGCTGGGACGACCGGGTCGATACGTTGACGAGACCTGGGGGGCCGTGGCCTTCTCTCTGATCTTGTTAGAGAAGAAGACAAGCTCCCTAAAGATTTGGTGCCAGGTAAGGGACTGCGACCGCCTCATCTTCCCCGAAGCATGATGTCCTTCATCCAGTAAAAACTCGTGAGCAGCCGTCGCGCATTCATCGTTTCCAGAAATGGCCTGCAACATCTCACAGAACGAACTAACGAGTGGCGTTGAAGCTCTCCGTGACGCCCAATGCATGAAACCCGCCAGATTGCTGTCAGGGTCCGACCAGAAATTCATCGCGGCATCAGGACGGCCTTCGTACGCGTAGGCTATGATGACCAGAAAGCGCTCCAGGTCTAGGTCTTGTTCGTGTGCCTGGCTGAGTTGGCGTTGCTCATCTTCCTCGACGCGAAGCTTCCTGAGAACGTCGGGAAGATTGGAGATGAAGGCGTCGACGAAGACCTCCAGCTGGTTCATTAGTAACTCTTGGAAGTATTCGGCAAAAACAATCGAGTCGGAGATGAGCGGAGGGGCCTTCCGCTGAAGCCAGTTGCGCATGGTAATCCTTGAGGGGTCGACCCATTCAGGGGTCTTGACATCTGCAGCAATGGAGAGGATGAAGTCGAAAGCACCGTCTTTCAACGCCTCCATGAATTGCTTGGACCTCTGTCGATCCTCTAGGCGGTCGTTAGTCCCAAATCTACAACCGGACGCCATCGAACTCACCTTGATCCAAATCCACACCTTCCAAGCCGCCGAGAAGCGAGTCATCCAGATACCATCCACTATACTCAGACAGCCACCAAGCTTTCACCGCTGCCTGTAAGTAGACTAGGCGCCAGGGGCTCTCGTCGTTCTGCGGACAAATGATCGGATTGAGCTCTCTGGCCATGCTCAGGCTTGATATGCCTTCAGTCGAGCCGTAGAGTGTTATGTATGCGCCCAGGGCGGGAAACAGATGCGCTAGACACGTCAGCGGACAAACAACATTCAAGGGGGCCCGTGGTATTTACCGAGCAGGACATCGTATCTGTCGGTATTCCTCAGATGCTGTAAGAAAGCTTTGAAATCGCCAATCTCAGCCTCTCGCTTCTCAATTGTGCGACAGAGGATGACGGCTAGGATCTCGTGTTGCTGGTAGAGGCTGACACGAGAAAACTCAATCGTCTCCATCTCCTCAGGGACCTGACCGCCTCTGCCGTTGATCAATACGGCCGCTGCTGTCATCTTGTCGGCGATCTTCTGAAGCCAAGCCCGGACGTCTTGCATCGCTGACATGCACCTTGGGAGTAGTCTCTTTTGTGACGAAGCAGTTTCGCCGGGTAAGTTATGGAACACGGTCGCTGACAAGCACATTTGTACGACGTTGAGTATCTCTGGGTCGACGTCTTCCTCGTCCAACGCGTCAATTTCCATCATCAGTCGTACAATGTCGAGGGTGTATTTGCGTTGTTGATGAACTCGAATCAGTCCGCACTCGAGCAGCGAGCGACCCAGACTGGCGGGGTCATCTTTTGCGTCGAGCAGGCATCGCGTCGCTTCGATTTCATTAATCTCAGCCTCATCGGCAAGGTTGAGTACAATCTGCTGAAACTCTTCGTTGAGGGCGTATTCTTCTTCGTCAATGACGAGCTTGCCTGGCGCATTACCCTAGGTCAGTGTCCGAGTCGTACTGACGTTTTTGCAAGCTATCGACTAACCGGACTTGACGGCCTGCCGACTCTTCTCATCTCTCTGAGGCCTTTGCCATGTTTTCTCGAGTTCCGTTTCGAACAAGGCGTGGATCTCGGGGTTGTCCAAGGACTCGACGCCTTCAGGACGTCCGTTGCGAACGGCAGCTAAGTCGCGGTGGAAAAGCTGCAGCGCATCGAGGGTAGTTACTTCGGCCATTGTGAGGGGTTGGGCGCGCTATTGCATGGCCTCTAGAGCTGGTAGTGTCATGGGCTAGGAGGAAGCCGCGAATCGGTCGCGTTGGCGGAAAGCGACGGGGTTTTGCCCGATTGCTTGGTCGTGGCTGTCGGCGCAGGCGATGCTTTTCGAGATTCCGGGAATTTTAGAGTGGATCAGAAGTTATACCTCACACGCACCACCATCAGGTGCGGTGTCAATCCAAGTAGTGGGGGTTGTTAGCCGTGCTGCAGGCGCGTAATCTGGGCTGGTTGGTGCTGCTGGCTGGTCCAATCAATTGCGTCTCTGGTTGCTGTGTCAGGAGAATTCGCGGGAATCATCAATATTCCGCGCCGAAGTCAACAAGACACGTACCGAACTAGTCCATGTCTAGCAGGTGGTGGGGGGGTTCTGCCGCCACTTTTTTTTGGGAGGCAGGGATCGGGTGGGAGTTAAGGAGCTTCAGGGAGCTTCTGGGAAGAGCGGTGTTGATTGCATGTACAGGCTGTGAAGTGCCGCGTCTGACGTTGCGATTCCCAAACATGCAATACCTAGCCGCCTAAAAACATTGCCCTTGAGCCCTGTTCCACAACTCACAACTACAAGAGGGAGGGAGCTCAAAGCATCGGGGATCAGATTTCCGTAGCTTAGCCACACCCTAATCTTGGACTTGGCAGTGTCAGTGTCAGTGTCAGTGTCAGTGCCGTCGGCTTCAAGCTCCGTTTGCGCGAGGGCGACCATCGCATACCCATTACATACCCGATCTATCACCGCGTCACACTTGACTACGTCCTCCCTGATTGATGCATCGGGCAAGTGGCAATCTGGAAAATCATACTGCTCATATCATTAGTTAGGTAGGTACTTATACCTAAGCATTAAGGTAGCAAGGTACATTTGGACATTTGGACCCTCAGAAGGTGCCTGATCTGCCGGTGTTGTCCTTCATTGTTCGCCCCTGCCTAACACATTATGCAATTCCATCTGCGTCTTCCTCCTTCCTTCTTCTTGTATAAAACCAGTCAGCTCTCTCTTCCGACATCCGCTGACCAGAAAGCCAGACGCCACAAACCGCTATGTCAACCAGCAGAGCCGGTCTATAGTAGCAAGGATGGCGCCCCCGAAGATCAAGACGGGCGAAGTCACCGTCCACGTTGCTCTAGGTTAGCCTCCCCTCATCGTGTACATGTCTGCCATATTTGCTTACATCCGGTGGCAGATGCAATATCCGAAGGTACTCTCAAGGAGCGCGGGGCAGGTCTGGATGGTAAGCCCTCGCTTTTTATTTCCTCTTTGTTGTTTCTTGGCTCCAAATCCCCCACGTCTGTCGCGGTTCACGCCGCCTGATACCAGAAGTCACAATCTTTGAGCATCTATATTCTTCTGGCAGAAGCCTTAGTTGAGAAGACCCTGCATTAGGGGAGACTAACAACCCGTAGATCTGATATTCCTGCTGGATAAGAAAGGGAAGACCGCAAGCCTCTCCTCACTGGGCGACAAACACTATCATCGCATATTTGAGAAGGTGTTCCGGTGTGTAGTACAAGAAAAGCAGAGCTATTTCGGAGGGAAGAGGACGGCGGCAGCAGGGGCAGGGGCGAGGCTGGCGAAATGTTCCGAGGCTGTCCGGCTCGCGGTTAGCCATGGGGCTACTAAGCTAAAGCGAAAGACGATGCTTGCCCTTGTTGACCATATCACGCAGAGCCTCCCTGAGCCTGGACCTGGTCATGGCGACGAGGCGTACGTCGAGCCGCTCCTGAAAGACTACGTCAAGGCCCTCGTAGCGCTGCTCTCCTATCAGCCCAACGCCGAGCACCTTGCCACGTTGGGTGCCGACGGTTGGCTTGTCTGTGTCGACTTTTGCACCGGCGCCCTGGAGCGTTACCTCGAGAATGCTGATCGGGACCGAGACTCCGGCTCTCGTGCTTCCCCGGCGCCGGGTACGGCATCAATGGCATTCTCTACTGCCAGGAGCACCAACGCGAGTCAAAGAACACCGGGGCAAATCCATCGCGGCACCGTCCAGGACCTCCTCCACTGTGTCTACCTTCTCCTTCTTCCTCCCAACGCGCCGCTGGGTCAAAGATATCGAGACCTGTCCAAAACACTCACGCAAGTTCTTCAAGTGCGTCACCTTGGATTAAGTCAGGTGATCCAGCTAAGCTTCGCCTCCATCAATATCCTCTTGGCCGGAGTCCAAACAGATGACATCTCCCAAGCCAGCAATTTGGCCAGAGACCTAGTGCCACTAATTAGCCACTGGTGGCAAGCTAGAACCGTTTCTCAGGATGAAATGCTAAACTCGGTCAGGGATGAGATGCTTAAGACAATATTCATCATCCACTTACACCTCGAACATCTTGTTTGTCACGGTGAGAACGAAGCTGTTCAGCAGGATATTCAAGACCTCGTCGAGTCTCTGTGGCTGGAATACTCCAGACGAAACCCAAGATCTCAACTCCAACTAGATGACCTCACATTCGTCTCTAGGCTGCCAGATGATTACTTTAGAGTGAGTTTGTTCGGTCTGCGCGTTCACAATCGCGACGGTGAGAGAAGATGGGCCCTAGTGCAGAATATTGCCATCCTAGAGCGTATTCTCTGGATGAGCCACAGACGTGCTAGGTCCCAGTCACCAGACGAGCAACCCCGCAAGAAGCGCAGAACTCAGGGTCCAAGGACGCGGTTACAGGAGAAGTTACAGTCGCCCAGTTCAGCCGTACAGAGAATCTCTTTGCAGCTTGTGCCTTTCCTGCTCGGACTCGGCACTTTCTCTTCGGGAGAAGCCGCAGACATTTTCTCGGACGTTGCAGCTTTTGTTGGCGACAAAGATACTTCTGTGTCATCATGGGCTATGCTGGCTTGTGCCAGGTAGGTCAAGTCAATGAAGGCTGGTCGCAACGATTACTTACTTACGATGCTCTCAGCTGCGCTGTATCCCACGTCGAATTAGGCAACGCACCAACTTCGTGGAAGCATGTGTGGCAGATCGCTGCCAGAGCAATCAGTCTTGCCAGCACCTGTCGGGCGGCTAGTGTTCTCCTGCACACGATCCTCGAAAGAGAAATAGTCCCTTATCACGACATCGCGGACGACATCAACAGCATGGTTACCACTGCTGATGTCAACGGCCCGGCTCTTCTGGTGGACTCTTCGATCATCCTTATGCTACATTTGTTGGCTCTTCGAAATGTCAAACTGCCGAACGCTAGTCAATCTACAAGCCATCATATTATCCGTTGGACCTTTCTGAAATGGAATCCAGGTGAGTTCGCTGTGTCCAAGAAACACTGTACATAAATCTAACTGCATGATAGCCGACCCGAGTTACGCTTCTCTCTATTCAATGCACGCTCCAGTCCCTGAATTGGTCAACCTCATTCAGGCATGTTGCGGTGCAAACCTTGTGCCTCTCGCAGCGCCAGTAACCGTATCTGGAGGACCAATTTGCCAAACCTGGAAGGCGCAATGCCAAATTTCGGCCCTGACGCGATACTTGCTACTGCTGGAGCAACCGCAGACAGAAAAAACAGTCATGGCAGGCTGTAACCAGGCTCCGGTGACTGAATCAATCAAAGTCAGTGATCCGGCAGCTTTTCATGCTTCAAGAAAACTGGTGTTGGAACTTCTGTTCCCCAAGCTTGAGGAATTGCAAGAGCTCTGCGGCTTGTGGAACAGAAGGGGACCAGAAGGGGGCGCCCCAGTCTCGCCAGACAGGCTTCACAGTCTCTTCGCAGCAAATACTGTTGGCACAATGCTTGCCTCTCAGCTCGTCGATCTCAATTCAGGACAGTCGCGAGATATCGAGTCGACACTTGCCAAACTTTCGGAGACCAGCATCAGTGCGGCTCTCGAGTCTGGCGACAACCAAGTCTTTTTTGAAGTCATGCTCAAAATCGTACGCACTGTCCTTCCAGCTCTCAACGCAGCAGAGATAACTACGTTGTCGAAGGAAAACACTCCCTTGTTCCGTCTCTTGACAATTCTAGCAGCAGGCAGTCACGAACGAACCGCAAGGCAAGCATCTGGGCAAAGTCACGATATCATGGACCTGGACGATGAATTTGATTCCCAGGAAAGCAGGACAAGCGTTCCCACGAAAACTCCCGATATTCCTCGATTGAACATTCCAATGGCTCTAGATTCAGCCGCCTTCTGCCAAGACACCATGCAACGCATATATCTTTTTGAGACGATGCACAAGGATGCTTCGCAGGTCGGACTTGTTCCGCAAGAGTTTCTCGATCAGTTACTGCTCCTCCCCAATGACGAATTCCTCCTATGCAGCTCAATGCTATCGGAGCTCTTTGCCTCCGACTTGCCCATTAGCCTAGATGATGCTCTGCGAGTCGTCGAAAAGCTTGGAGACATCATTGGCGAATCAGAATACACGTGCTGCGAAGTGGCCCATTCGACCAGCCTGAGGATTCTTGAAGGTCTCATACGTGTCTGGATGGACGAGAAACACGAGGTGTTCTCATTCGTTGGCGACCTGTACAACTACTTTGTGAAGGCCTCTCTCCCCAAAAACAGTCTGTCTCCCAAGTCACAGATGTCTCTCGCAAGTTTACTACTTGCGCTTCTGCGAATCAACCCGCAGTACGGAAGTGACCTTGGTCTTGACTCTTGCCGCACGACACTACTGTTCGTCATGCAAAACGGGACATTGGCTGTCAAGCACTTCGTTGGGTCTGCCTTGCCAGACATATTCGGCATCTACGTCCTCAAGATGCATGACGACATCTTCGTAGATGTCCTGAACAGCCTTCCTACCGATCCGGACGCCATCGAGGGTATTGCTTTCCGACTATTTGTGTTGTCTCAGCTGGCGTGTCGTTGGCCAACGCTGCTAAGACGATGTACTTATCACATTTTCGAGACTCCAGGCAAGATCATGCAGTCAACAAAGTACGCAAAACGATGCCTAGAGAGGGTATCCAAGGCCCTTAGCTTGTCATCTCCCCAGGAACTGTTCAGCATTTTCAGCCCCCAGCTTTTGTATACCTGGCTAGAACTGGATGCTATCGAAGACATTCCGTTTGAAATATTTGGCTTCCCGAGCCTGGATTCCCTCCTCCGGGAAGGACAGGCCGAGACGACTGCATTGGAGATCATGCGAGGGCGTTATGATAGTGTTCGGTCGCTCGCACAGCGACTTGGAACTCCTTTGGTTGACATGGTCAAGCAAGGGTTCACCAAAATCATGGCCTATACGATTGCACATGAAACAAGTACATCTATCCCCGAGAGCGACGGCGGTGAGACTTGGGTGCGCAAGCTTCTTGGCAGTGAACCTTTCCTGGATCACATCTATCTTAACTTTGCGGACATTGTGGCGTTGTTCTTGGACCTCTTCGATCAAGAAGATCCCATTGAGAAATACCTTTCAAGGGACAAGACTTTCCAGTACGCAGCCAACAACCTGGCCGAAATCAAACAGTTCTCTCAGTCAACAACAGTCCTGCCGCCTAACCAACAGCCTATGTTCAGAGCCAAGTTTCTCACCAGGGAACTATTCCATCTGTGCAGCAAGACGGAATATGAGCTGCACGCACTATGGACACCAGCGCTTGTGGTTTCGGTCGCCCGAAGACTGTTCAATACGGTTCATCCAGCGTTGGGGTCGCTTCACGCATGTTCCGTGCTACGGAAGGTTCGAGTGGTGATCGCCCTCGCTGGTCCCGTGGCGTTGGAGTGTTACCCTCTTGAGATGCTTCTCTCGTCTGTTCGACCATTCATCGTGGACTCGGAATGCGCCGACGATGCACTTGGCGTCAGTCGATACTTGATCATGAAGGGAAGCAGGTATCTGGAACGAATCCCGTCGTTCCTTGCTGGTCATGCATTATCTACCCTAGCTTCACTGAGGGTTTTCCTCGAGTCTAGTCAGTCAAGCACTACTCAAGAGAGCCAATTCCAGGCTACCATGAGCAAGGCACAGACTTTCCACTCATGGTTCAGCTCATATCTCACAGGCTATGACTCACCTAATTTCGCAGACGAGCAACAAAGAGAAGCGTTCAAATTGATTACTCATTCGGCTTCGAACATTCGGTCCTCGGGAAACGCCGAAAAGGGGACACCCGAGAGCACGCTTCTCTTGGAGATTCTCAGAGATGGCGAGCGCGAGGCCAGACTCCTGAACGAAGCAGCGCGAGACCTGGCGCTCGGGATGCTTTGTGGAGATTTTATAGTGCCTACTGTTGGCCATAAAGACGTCATTGAAAACGATAACGAGGCACTGCGCCATAGTGGTCTCGTCTGGAAGAGCTGCAATGCACTTTCATTGAGTGACGAATATCTAGCCTGGGCGGGTCGCGTGGTGGGCAGGTCCTTCGCCGCGTCGGGAGAGATACAGTCCGAGCTGCTGAAAGAGTCGGAGCTCTCGCGGTACAACAGCCTTGCGCCAGGGACTCATGACTCCGAGCAGGCACTGCTCAATCTGCTGCAGCAACTCACACAGAGCAAGGAGTCTGAAGTTGCCGGACTTGCCGAATCAGCATTGAGAGCAGTGGTTTCGGAGGCAGCGGCCCAGGGAGATGAGGCCCTCCTCGTGGCAGCCCAGAGAACATTGACAGAATCGTTGTGTCTAGCTTCGGCTTGGGACCAGTACCGTACGCCACCTTCGGACTTCGTCCTCTCACAGACTGTCCCCGACTCTCAGGTCTTCTTCCGCGACCACGTGGAGAGTTCCAATTGGGTTCAGCAGCTAGCAGTCCATCTCGCACAGTCAGTTCCTGAGTATATCATCCTCATTGCACTGGTGCCGATCCTCAAGAACGTGAAGGGCTTTGCTCAAGACTCCTTCCCTTTTATAGTCCACCTGGCTTTGTACAGCCAGCTCGACAAGCAACAGCTCATCAAGCGCAATCTTTCTGAAGCTGCGAGAGAGTGGCTCAAGATCCAGGATGACGGTGCGCAGACCAATCAGAAGCAACTGATCAACACAATCCTGTACTTGCGGACACAGTCGTTGCCCAAGGAGTCATCCATTGCCGATCGTGCCTCATGGCTCGACATCGACTTTACCGCTGCGGGTGCCGCCGCCTGTCGGTGCGGTATGCACAAGACGGCTCTTCTTTTCACCGAGATAGCCGCCTCACAGACTACTCGCGCGTCCAGACGATCATCTGCAGTTCGTGAAGAAGACAGTACCGAAACCCTTCTTTCGATCTTCGAGAACATTGACGATCCTGATGCCTACTATGGCTTACCACAATCTGCCGATCTTTCCAGCGTCCTAGCCCGTCTAGAGTACGAAAAAGATGGCTCGAAGAATCTGGCTTTCCGAGGAGCCCAGTACGACAGTCATATTCGAAGACGGAACCCCGGATCACAACTAGATAGTCACTGTCTCGTGAGGGCTCTCGGTACACTGGGTCTAGCTGGTCTCTCTCACTCCTTACTCCAGACGCAGCAGAGCCCTGATGGAGACGCGTCTTCTCTCGAGAGCACATTTCAAACAGCACGCCGATTGGAGCTGTGGAACCTGCCTGTTCCTGCAACGGCCGGCAACTGTTCTGTAACGATATACAAAGTGTACCAGAACGTACAACATGCTATAGGGAAGGCTGCAGTGCGCAGCGCGATCTACGATGGCTTCAGCCAGACAATGCGGGGCCTTGTCAACCGTGGGTTGAACGCCGCTAAACTCAGACAGCATCTTGGAGCTCTCGCTGTCTTGACCGAGCTAGACGATGTTGTTAACGTGAACGACTTCTCTGAGCTAGAAGGCATGCTTGGAAGATTCAGAGAGCGTGGCCAGTGGATGAGACGCGGACGGTACGTTGCGTTTATCCTAAATAACAACACGATGTTTCCGTTTCCCCGGACATCTGAGGTCCCCCCAAGATGCTGAGGCCCATTACCTTGCGGTATCTTGAACCAGTGGAGCTTCGACGCTAACTTACCACAGATACGAAGACGTCAGCCACCTGCTGTCTTGTCGACAGACAACATTAAGCTTGATGAGTCAACAGTCGAAACTACGAAATCAAACACTGTCCACTGCCGAAGCTAGACAAGTCGAGATTCGGTGCATGCTGATGTCTTCCGGAATATATCGCTTCCATCAGGCTACGCAAGAATCTCTTAATATTTCCACTTCACTGACAGACCTGGTCGGGCCTTGCGAGGATTTGGGTATCAAAGTTGATGCTGCCATCAAGATCGAGGCGGCCAACTCCTTGTGGGACCATGGAGAGATGATTCCTTCGATTCGAATGCTCCAGAGCATCGATAACGACTCTTCCCTCAAGAAACAGACCATCCCTGTGAGCCGATCGGATCTACTATCTAAAATTGGCCACCAGGTGTCGGTGGCCAAGCTGGAGAAGCCCCATCACATACAAAAGAATTACCTTGAACCTGCCCTCAAGGAGCTCAAGGGCAAGAGTGAAGGACAACAGTCCGGACATGTCTATCATCAGTTCGCTATGTTCTGTGACGAACAGCTTCAGAACCAAGACAGTTTGGAGGACTTGGCAAGATTGCAGAGCCTGAAGAAGGGCAAGAGCGACGAGGTCTCCCAGCTACAGAGTCTCATCTCAAGCAGCCGCGACTCGCAACTGAGACACAGATACCAATCGCACTTGAACCGCGCTCGTCAGTGGCTGCAGCTAGACGAGCAGGAGCTTCGCCGCGTCGAGCAGACGAGGAGCGAGTTTGTTCGGCTCAGTCTCGAAAACTATCTGCTTTCTCTTATCGCATCCGACGAACACAACAACGACGCCTTGCGTTTCACCGCTCTCTGGCTTGAGCGTTCAGAGGAGACAGCGACCAACGAGGCTGTCAAGAAGCATCTTGAAAAGGTACCGACAAGAAAATTCGCCACGCTGATGAACCAACTTTCCTCGAGACTGCAGGATCAGCCGGCTTCAGCCTTCCAAAAGCTCCTCATAGGTCTTGTTTATAAGATCTGTGCAGAACACCCGTATCACGGCATGTATCAGATCTGGTCCGGCACGAAGGTGAAGACGCGAAAAGAGGATCAAGTAGCGGTGCTAAGACTTAAGGCCACGGAGAAAGTGGCGGCCCTCCTACAGTCAACCAAGGCCGTGGCCGCGATCTGGCAAGCGGTCGATAGAACGAGCGCCTACTACCATCGATTGGCCGTTGACCGAGACCCTGCCAAGTTCAAGGCCGGACAAAAGATTGCTCTCAGGGATATCCACTCAGCCCAGTCGCTGCAGAATGCGTTGATGAAATACCGGATTCCACCACCAACCATGCAGCTCGAGGTGTCGGCAACAAAGGACTACTCGGACGTTCCGATTATTGAGAAACTGGAACCTCAGATGTCAATCGCTTCAGGCGTCAGCGCCCCCAAGATCATCACGGCCGTCGGAAGCGATGGTAAGAAATACCGGCAGCTAGTCAAAGGCGGCAATGACGACCTCCGTCAGGACGCCATCATGGAACAGGTTTTCGCAGCAGTGTCGTCCCTTCTGAAGCTACACCGCTCAACCCAGCAGAGGAATCTTGGTATCCGCACCTACAAGGTTTTACCTCTCACCTCGGCGTCTGGCCTCATCGAGTTCGTCCCAAACACTATCCCACTACACGAATTCCTCATGCCTGCCCACGAGAGATACTTCCCCAAGGATCTTAAGGGGTCCCAATGTAGGAAGGAGATTTCAAACGCGCAAGGCAAGACCACAGAGACCCGGATCAGCGTCTACAGAAAAGTGACGGAAAGATTCCATCCTGTTATGAAGTACTTCTTCATGGAGAATTTTGTTGACCCCGATGACTGGTTCGTCAAGCGGCTGGCATATACGCGTACCACTGCAGCGATCTCGATGCTCGGCCACGTGCTCGGTCTCGGGGACAGGCACGGCCATAACATCTTGTTGGATAACAAGACTGGCGAGGTCGTACACATTGATCTGGGTGTTGCGTTCGAGATGGGTCGCGTTCTTCCTGTACCAGAACTCGTTCCGTTCCGATTGACCAGAGACATTGTAGACGGCATGGGTATAACAGGAACAGAGGGCGTTTTTCGCCGTTGCTGCGAGTTTACACTTCACGCCCTGCGCGAGGAAACGTACTCAATTATGACAATTCTCGACGTCCTCCGTTACGACCCTCTCTACTCATGGTCCATTTCACCTGTGCGACTAGCGAAGCTGCAGGGTGGCGAATACGACGGGGACCGGGAGGAGGGGGAGGGAGAAGGCAGAAAGGAAAGAAAGGGGCAACAGGTGAACGAGCCATCGGAAGCGGACCGGGCGCTGGAAGTGGTAAGGAAAAAGCTCTCGAAGACGTTGAGTGTGACAGCGACGGTCAACGATCTGATTAATCAGGCGACCGATGTAGGCAATTTGGCGGTCTTGTACTCGGGTTGGGCAGCATATGCGTAGAAAACTATCCTATTGCTCTGATCGTTCCCTTCTGGGTGTCTTCCAGTGACAATCATACGAGGCCAGGCAGATATCTACGTGAACAGCGGTGCCTCGCCGGCACAAGATCCCGATCCAGCCTCTCTCCGGAAGGGATTCAATATTTCCTGATACGCAGAGGCAGTTGAACACAAGTTCATGTATCAGACTAGACGCAAACTCCTCTATCAATGGATTGCATGATAGGATGTCCATGACGTTGTTATAAGCTATTTATCGCACTTTCTGCTTGTTCGAGTCGAGGTGAATGTCAATCAGTCCAGAGACGTACAGATATATATGCATGAATACGAAATGCAGCTACTCGGGAGATTGCTATAACAGAAAACGTCTCACTCCGAGGTCGTTGCCGTGGTGGGGGGTTCTAGTCTTATCTAATCCCCGGTCAGCGCGATAGCCGCTGCAGGGTACCTGCTAAATGGATGATGCGAACGACCTGGTGGTGATTTGTTCATGGCATTCATAGCTCCGCGTTTAACTCCGCGACAACTTTCCCATGACAACGATCTCTGTACTCGGGTTCCCAACCTCCTGCCAACAGCCGTTCTGCAACCACCCGACGACTTGCATGCACGTAAACTGACCAAACGCCCGCAATCCTAGCCGCCGGTCTGCCCTTCCCCTGCCCATTTTCAACAAGAGCGCATAGATCTGTAGCAGCTTGGACAGAAGTTGTTGCAGGGCCACCCGGTCCATGCCGTCGAATTCACCCCCCGTAGTCGAGGGAGCTTTGCCAACACGGGCGACGGGAAGGACAGGCGGAACAGCAGCTCTAATCAACGACACGGACAGCCCCCCGCGACGAAGACCCCGCGTGGATTCCGACGTCTCGCGCTCCAGCACTCTCGCTCCGCACCAGCAACAGTCAACCCAACAGTCAACCAAACCGAGTCCGAAGCGGTTCAAGTTCGGCGCCGACGATTCTTCTCCCTCCCACTCCGCCATGTCGACCAAAATGAAGGGGAAACTCCCCGAGGTCATTGACCTCACGCAGTCCAACTCGTACCGGCCGTACACGGGCGCCAAGAAGCTGGTGATCAAGAACCTGCGGCCCGCGGCCCGGAACGAGCAGCTAGAGCAGTACTACAAACGGACCAACCAGGAGCTGGTTGATGCCCTGCAGGACATTTTCAACGGGGGCAGGCCGCGAGTGCCCTTGGAGAGGCTATATCGGGCTGTCGAGGATATCTGTAGGCGTGGCCAGGACCACGAGTTGGAGCTTTATGAGATACTGCGGCGAAATTGCGAGGAACACCTGGCCCATGGCGTCCTTCGATCGATCAAGTTCCGTGGCGGCAACACAGATGTCGACATGCTGCGGAGTGTCCTCCAGCATTGGCGGGTTTGGAACAGTCAAATCGTGAGTTGAGCCGGCGATCCCCCGACTGACGCCTCGGAGCTAACGAGCCTGTGAACAGATGACGATAAGGTCTACATTCAGCTTTCTGGATCGTACTTTCCTCCTCAAGGAGAAAGGCTACCCTTCCATCAACGACATGACCATTTCTCAGTTCAAGAGAATGGCGTTTCCGTCTCGAGATGATCCCAATGGCCAGTCGCCCGGTGGCAGGGCACTACGGGGCATATACGACCTGATGTACTATGACCGACTTGGGGACGAGCGATTTGATGCTGCATTACTAAAGGATTCCATCATGATGCTTCACGTCTTCAACATCTACACCAAATACTTTGAACCCCGGTTCATCGAAATTTCAGAGCACTACTTTGAAGAATTCGCAGAGGAGAGGAGCGCGTCGAGTCTAAAGGAGTACATTTTGGCGTGCGAAAGTCTCCTAAAGAGAGAGGACTACCGCTGCAACGAGTACAACCTGGACTCGACGACGAAGAAACAGTTGCTCGACGCGGCGCACGGCATATTGGTCAAGAATTATTCCGACAAGCTCCTCAATGTTGAGAGCCTTTCCAAGCTTCTCTCCGACTACGAAGTGGATTCGATGAAGGCGCTCTACGATTTGCTGCGGCTCTCGGGTATCCAGAAGAAACTGAAGGAACCTTGGAGCGCATACATCCGGAAAACAGGCGCAATCATCGTTGCCGACAAGGAACGAGGCGATGAGATGGTGCAAAGACTCCTCGAGCTCAAGAGGTCCCTAGGGCTCATCGTACGGGACGCGTACGGGGGCGACTCGGACTTCGTTAACGATCTCAGGAATGCGTTTGGCGATTTCATGAACGACCGCAGCATCGCGGCGACATGGACCTCAGGGACATCCAAGGTGGGAGAGATGATTGCAAAGTACGTCGACATGCTGCTTCGAGGTGGCATCAAGGCTCTGCCGAAAGCGATGCTTTCGGACAACAAAGACCGCGCTGCGGCAGAGCAGAGCGGGTTGGCCAGCGCAGGGGACGAAGACGCGGAGCTCGACCGGCAGCTCGACCAGGCTCTCGAGCTTTTCCGCTTCATCCAGGGCAAGGACGCATTTGAGGCGTTTTACAAGAAGGACCTGGCCCGTCGTCTGCTCATGGGCAGGAGTGCCAGTCAGGACGCCGAACGAAACATGCTCAGAAAGCTCAGGGAGGAGTGCGGTATGAACTTTACTCACAACTTGGAGCAGATGTTCAAGGACGTCGAGGTGGCCAAAGAGGAGATGGAAGCGTACAAGCAATGGTCCGAAGGCACCGGCGTTGACAGAGCCCCTGTCGACCTCTCGGTAATGATCCTCTCGGCTGCTGCTTGGCCAACGTATCCCGATGTTAAGGTACACCTGCCGGACGATGTGGCCAAACAGATTGAGCGCTTCGATCAATACTATAAGAACAAGCACACCGGCCGGCTCTTGAATTGGAAACACGCTCTGGCGCACTGCACGGTCAAGGCGAAATTCCCAAAGGGCACGAAGGAGCTTCTCGTGAGCGCATACCAGGCGATCGTCCTCGTTCTCTTCAACGAGGTCGGTCTCGAGGGCTTTCTTACCTATGAGCAGATCTCGCACTCCACAAATCTCCAGGGCGGGGAACTGGTCCGGACGCTGCAGTCACTCGCGTGCGGCCAGTTCCGCGTGTTGACGAAGCACCCTAAGGGTAAAGACGTCAACCCAACAGACACGTTTACGATCAACAAGACGTTTGTGCATCCGAAGATCCGGCTCAAGATCAACCAAATCCAGCTCAAGGAGACCAAGGAAGAGAACAAGGCGACGCACGAGCGCATCGCGCAGGACAGGCGGTTCGAGACACAGGCGGCTATTGTGAGAATCATGAAGAGCAGGAAGGAGATGAGCCACGGCGAGCTGGTGGCCGAGGTTATCAACCTGACCAAGAACCGCGGGGCGGTTGATGCGGCGCAGATCAAGAAGGAGATTGAGAAGTAAGTTATCCCGCGGGGAGACACGAGAGCCTGAACGTCGCTAACCGCCAAACAGCTTGATTGATAAAGATTACCTCGAGCGCGAGGGCAATACCTACACTTACCTGGCGTAGACAGAGAGGTGCCAGTAGAGTTAGACAGACGTCGGACAAGGGGCGGTATCGAACTGCATGTCGGAAAAGGTCAGTGAACATGAGCATAATGAAATGGGTTCCGGATGAACAAAAACTGGAATATGGGCGTTGGGGATAATGGGAACTATGGAGTCAGCTTTGCCAATGTCGTGAGCATCATCATTCAGGCGAGGCCCAGGGCCTGGGTTACTGGGCGGTGCAGAGTGATGTGGCCCCTAAGACTTTGAGGTCGGAAAGACAAGCGAACAACCCCGCACTTGACTGCGAATTTGACGCGGCTCAAGTAATATAGTCGTACCATGCGCCCGTAACGGAACACACATACATTCTTCGATCCATATTCAGCATGAGCGTGGGACGGGAGGGCGCTCTCTCGGTGGCCAGTCACATTTAGTAATCTGCTAGACGTACAGCGTCGGTGAGCTCGGTCAGGACCCCTGCCAGACGGGCGGGGCCCTGCGGAATATCGTTGCACCTAGCGCATTGCGGGGTTCGAAAAAAGTTGCGGCGGTCCCCTCTGTAGCGGTGCGCCTGGGTCGGGGTCTGCCAAAATTTTGGGAGATTTTGTGCCAAAGGCGGTCGGCCAGAAAGATTTCCAATTGCAGATTCCCCGAGCAGCCTCTTTAACTCGCAGTTGATCGAATTCGCGAACCAGCCGCTCCTCCCTACGATCTGAAGTCGTAAAAAGTGCCATTTTTTTTGCTTGATATTCAACTTTTTTTCCCCCCCTCTTTTTTTGTTTTTTTCTTGTTTCGAGATACCCAGCACACAGACGTCCCGTCACTCGCAGCCGCCAAGATGCCCAAGTCGAAGCGCAACAGAGTGGTCAACCTGACCCAGGTGAACAAGAAGACGCGCGAGCAAAAGGACAAGCTCTTCGCCAACATCCGCGAGTCGGTCCCGGAATACCAGCACTGCTTCGTCTTCAGCGTCGACAACATGCGCAACAACTACCTCAAGGAGGTCCGCCACGAGCTCAACGACTGCAGGTTCGTTGTCTTCCGTCCCCAGTCTCCCACGGTCGTGCCACACAAAAAAAAAAAAACACCCCAGGGAACGCCGAAGCCTCCCGGCAAGAACCAAAATGCAATGTACAACAGGCTAACAGAGGCGCGCGCGCGCACCCCCCTACATAGACTCTTCTTCGGCAAGACAAAACTCATGGCCAAGGCCCTCGGCCAGGACCCCTCCTCGGCCGTCGCCGACGGCATCGACCGCCTGACCCCCTTCCTCGCTGGCACCGTCGGCCTCCTCTTCACCAACCGCGACCCGGCCGCGATCCTCTCCTACTTTGAAGGCGTCTCCCCCGTCGACTTCGCGCGCGCCGGCACCGTCGCGACCCGCGGCTTCACCGTCCCCGCCGGCGTCGTCTACGCCACCGGCGGCGAGGTCCCCGCCGAGCACGACGTGCCCATGGAGCACAGCATCGAGCCCGAGCTGCGTCGTCTCGGCATGCCCACGCGCATGGTCAAGGGCCGCGTCTGCCTCGGCGACGCCGAGGGCGGCGGCGAGGGCTACGTCGTCTGCCGCGAGGGCGACGTCCTCGACAGCCGGCAGACGAGGCTGCTGAAGCTGTTTGGCATCTGCCTGAGCGAGTTCAAGGTCCAGGTTCTGGCGTACGTCTTCATCTATCTATCAACACTGTTCTATCTTGCCCCAAAGAATACCATGGCTAACTTTTTCCCCCCCATCCGCAGATACTGGAGCGCCTCTTCGGGAAAGGTGACGGAGGTGAACCCCAACGCCATGGACGGCGTCGACGACGAGAGCGACTAAACCTGTCGGAAGCATTGAATGACCAGAGACAGAGAAATATACGGAAGGGGAAAGAAAGAAAGAAAAGCTTCTAGACTTGATGATTGCTTTCTGTCACGTAGGCCGATACCATCATGGATTTGCGAGGGTGGATTCTAAAAAAACAAAACTGACGGCGTTCCGGACGGTTTGTTTAGAGAGACGTTTTTCGGTCATGCGTCGAGGGACCAAATATTTTATCACTTTTTTTTTTCTTCTCTCCTCTCGCTTCCTCTTTCACACACACACACACACACACACACACACACACACAGTGTACACAGGAACATAAAAGTCCCTCTTCGTGGGGAGGCAAAGCTTTTTCTATACGTAAGGAATCCGGAGCGGGCAGGCTGTGTGCTCTCCGGTGACATGAAGCAAGGAGAAAGCCACCGTACGACCTTGTCTGCGTAGAGAAACGACAAGAGGTCCTCACCTATTGATACAAGTGAAAAAATGAAGATGAAAAAAAACCGTGGTACATGCCCTTTTTTGTTCCATATCCGCGTCTCCTTACTAAGCTCCAGGTCAGTAGGCACGGAGTCCCTTACCTCTGACCTTACCTGTCCAGTAGTGTGTTGAGTCGATTCGTCGTCTGGTCCTTGGATCCGGGTCGATGCCGCAAACGCGAGTGAGAAGGTTACCTTCGAACGAACTGCTGCAGACGTTCAAAGCATTTTTGGTAAAGCGCGAAATGCTTGTATGCTGTGGGATTCCGACGCGCCTGGTTTTGTTCTGCTTTGCATATACTTGCCCAGTGGCATGGGTTTAACTTGTCTTGGCCCGAATATGGAGGTACTGGAAAAGATATTGCGCCCGACACCTTCTGCTTACCCTCGATAGAGAAGGGGAAGGAGAAAACAGACAAACAGATGAGACGAGCGATTGGTCACCCACCGCAAGACACTGCGTGTCTCATCAGTAACGACGCAACTTCCTGGGGTCTTCGTAGCCGCCGCCTTCGTAACCACGTTTCCTGCTGTCATCGTCGCGAGGTCGGTCAAAGTCCCTGTCCCTGTCGCGTCCGCGGTCCCGGTCTTCTCTGTCGCCTCGGTCTCCTCGGTCACCGCGATACCCACCTTCTCCTCTGGGTCTGATCGGCTCCATGTTGCTTCCAGTTCTGCGGCCGCCGTCACGATCCCGATCGCCACGGTCACCGTGACGACCTCCATCACGGAAGCCACCGCCGGACCTGTCGTCAAATGAGCGGCCACCACGGTCAAACCCACCGCCGGAGAAGCTGCGGTCGCCTCGGTCACCACGGTCACCTCCGAATCCGCGACCAGGTCCTGAGGGGGCATCTCTGGGTGCGCCGTATCCGTTGGGGCCACGGTCACCACCTCGGCTGCCAAAGTCGCCGCCTCCACGGAAACCTCCGCGGCCGCCGCCAAACCCTCCCCTGAAGCCTCCACGGCCACGTCCTCCCTCGAAGCCGCCACGAAAGCCTCCTCGGAAACCACCGCCAAAGTTGCCACCAGGTGCGCCGCCCATTGGCCTAGCAGGAAGAGCCTTGGTGTAACCTCTGCCACCAAGACCGCCGCCCAATCTACGGGGCACCCAGCCCTTGACGGTGCGGCCTCGCTCGACGTCTACCTTGATCCGTCGGTCCTTGATTCGAATACCATCGCAGGCATCTAGAGCAGCTACTCACCAGTGCGCCAAGGCGCGCGTGTCAGTAAAACCTTAGCAATATCATACCTTTGCATCATGGTTGAGTAAAGAGAAAGAAGAAAACATGATTTTGAGATGGGCAATCTTGAGGGCCGCAGATCTCGGTGTATAAAGCAGAGCGCGGGCAAGCCTGAGGGCCTCGCGCCTGAGGGGGGGAAGGACTGGCGGACAAGCTATGTCTTGTCGCAAAGGGGTGGGTTTGGCGGTATTACCTCTCATATCTTTCTCTCGTTCAAATACGACGAAGGCGTAGCCGCGGTGGGGCTTCTTCTTCTTTCTGGGCTTCTCATGTGCATGAGTGTCAGTGATGATGCGAATCTGTTCATGTGTTAGTGATGGACCGGCAGGCATAAAGGGGGCATGGGACCCATACGCGCTCAATGGGGCCGAATCGCCCGAACTCCCTCTCGAGGTCCTGTTCGTTGGCCTCGTACGAGAGTCGCGCAACAATCAGGGTCTTGAAAGCGTCGCCACGGATATTCGGGTCTTCGTGTGGCTTGACTGGATGACGAAAGGTTTAGCAGAGATTCCTCGATGGCCGGCAAACTGGGAAACTGACAGTTCTTCGGCCCCTCAGTCTTCAGCCTCTCAACGGCGGCCTGTTTTTCGAGCTTCTTGCGGTCGCGCATCTGCAGCCAACTCTCAGTCGGTTTGTATTCGTCCGTTTCCTTGTAATTTTGGAGCGCAGGGAGGAATTCGGCGACGCCAGAGACTGGTAGGGTTCGTCGCGACTCGGGGGCATGGTCGGGAGGCGGAACCCATCGCAGCGGAGGGCGTGGCGCGAAGAGCGCCAGCAGGTTAGGGGGGAGCTTGTCCGTCATCGCGAGGGCGTAACTTTTTCAAGCCCCGGATGTCGCAGTCGGCGGCTCGGATAAGATGCGGCACGTCCGTTGACTAGCAATACATCGATCGAGCGCAGTGGGATGAAGCTTGAGAAGGGGGCGTAGCGTCGCGTCGATCCAGAAATTGACACGAGAGAGCTTGGGAAAGTTTGTGGTGCAGCCTGGCGCAGCCAGCGTCGTTGGTCCAATCAACCGTGGTTCAGCCGACCCAGTCCTGCTGAGGAGGTACGTACCGGGCCCAAGCTGCCACCTCAGGCTGGGTGCCGGCGGCCGGAACATCTTGCGTTTTCGCGCTAAGAAATTTCCCGCTCGTCCCTGAACAGGAGCTTCTCGTGATCAATTCCATCAATTGGATTCTGTACGCCAAGCAGGATACCATGACGATCAAGGCACTGAAGACAGTGTCTACCGGCCGTGTAAGAATCTCTACCCACAGAAATACTTGGGTCTCTCGCTGACAATCTCACAGAATGGCCTCGGCGCCTTCATCCTGCAATGCAGGAAGATGGACATCCACTACTGCGACTGGGCTGGCAGCTCCAAGGGAATGAAGTATGCAGGTCCCTGAGCATCAACGGCTAGAATATCTGCTGACACTTTCCCCAGAGGTTTTATCAAGTCGCAGCTCCCCAAGTTCGCTGCCGCCAACCCTCAGATCGAATTCAACGTCTCCCCCCGTCCTTCGAAGCACCCCATCATCGTCGGCCACTACATCAACGGCCGCGAAAAGGCGATATGCGTGCGGAACATGGAGCCCCTCGAGATCCTGAAGAAGGCGGAATTGCTGCGCGACGCCAGCGGAGAGAAGGTCAAGAGGGTGAACAAGCCGGTGACGAGCATTAACCCTAGTGTCAGAGGCATCTGGAGTCCTTACCACGGAAAGGGCATGACTGTATAAATACAAGGGGACAAGGGCGCCGTCGATTTGGGAAACGTGTAAAATTATGAACAGAGCAAGGCGTGTATAGGAGAAGACGGCATCTTGGATGCTTGTATCATACGAACAACTGGCAGGATGGAAAGAGGGTTCCATCCAAAAAGCGCTCGAATTTAAATCTCAACATTCACGGGGTCTCCGTCATGCATGTGGTGGGGGTATAATGTTCTTTTATTCTTCTCCGCGCCCTCTGGGCGCTACGGAGTACTAGTCTTCACCGAGGTTACCTTGGGTTGCTCCAGGCCCATATCGGCCAGGCTTTTAAAGTCATCATCATCAAGTATGTAATCATCCACGTTTACTGCTTGGCGTTGACGATGTCGACGACTGGAGACTGTCAGCTGCCTGCTCAAGATGGAAGGATGGGAAACACTCACAGCCAGGCTTCAGGGAGGCACCGCCAACCAAGAAGCCGTCAATGTCCTTCTCCTTGGCAAGGTCCTTGCAGTTCTTCTCGTTGACACTGCCGCCGTACAGGATGCGGGTCTCCTCAGCAACCTTATCGCTGACCTCCTTCTTGAGCCAGGCACGGATTGCGGCGTGGACCTCCTGGGCCTGGTCGTTGGTGGCGACCTTGCCGGTGCCAATAGCCCAGATGGGCTCGTAGGCAATGACGATCTTGGACCAGTCGGAGATGGCGGCCTTGAGGGCGGCCAGCTGCTTGCTGACAACGTCAACGGTGGTGCCGGCCTCACGCTCCTCGAGGCTCTCGCCGCAGCACCAGATGGCGCCAACACCGTTCTCGGTGGCGTACTTGGTCTTGGAGGCAACGACCTCGTCGGACTCGCGCAGGATGGTGCGGCGCTCCGAGTGGCCGAGGATGGCCCAGTTGATGTTGAGGTCCTTCAGCTGAGAGACACTGATCTCGCCGGTGAAAGCACCGTTGGGCTTGTCGAAGACGTTCTGGGCGGCAACCTCGACGTCCTTACGGAGAGAGTCGCGGACGAGCTGGAGATAGATGGCAGGGGGGGAAACGACGACCTCTGCGGGGTGAGCGTCAGCCAAGTTGCACCCCCGGTGAGCCAGAATTTGAGGGGGTTGCACGTACCAGTGTTGGGGTCAAGGTTGGCATTGTTCAGATTCTGGACAATCTCCTTGATGGACGAGATGGACCCGTTCCTGTGATGTTAAAGAGACAGTGCGTCAGTCTATTGTGTTTTTGGCCGGGACCCAAGGCTTCCATGTTCACATCCCCTCTCTACGGAGGTGCAGAGACGGCAGTACCCCGCCATTGGGAGAAGGCTTACATCTTGAAGTTGCCGCCGACGAAGAACTTGCGAGCCATGTTGGGCAATTGGTAGTGTCTGGTGGTTTAAGGGGGGTTGTTGGAGCGTGAGACGGCTGGGTAACTGTCAGGAGGAAAAGATCAGATCAAGGCTGGAGGTAAATGACGCAGGATGGGTTTGGAAGTGGTAGCTCGATCGTGCCGAGTAGGTAGTGAAAAGACCTCAGGGTTGGGTCACGTCGAAAGCTCCAGCGCGAGGTGGGCTCGTCCCATGGAGGGGCAGAAGGAGGGGGCCTACACAAGAGGGGCAGCAGCTGGTACCGCCGCTAGCACGCCAAAAACACCAGTTTACAGCACATAATCAGTAGTTCCGGTGGGGATCCGGGGGCTGCCCCGCCACTCAACCTACCTAGGTACTTAGGTAAGTAGGTACCTACCTAGAGGCTAGCAGTCGAGCTTCGCTCACCTGACGGTGTGCAGAGTGCAGTGTGCCGTGGGCTGAGACCATCCTCCAACAACCAGCGCACCTCAACAGTTTCCCCCCCCGGTGCCCAGTAGGACGGTTGCACTTCCTTTGGCACCCGAGGGCCGAGTTTCTTATGTGACAACCCAATCGGATGTCCGCTATCGTCTCTCTATGTATAGGCATAAGTGATGGGCAGACAGCAGGTGGTTAGTTTGAGGCTTCACTCGGGCACGGTGAGGTAATGAACCTCGCCAACCGTGAAGAAACCAATCCGAGACTTACTTCTCACAAATCCAGTCGAGTGCCAGAGTTCGCAGTCGAACGAACTTGGTCGACTCGAGATACCTTGACTCTGTTTGAAGATGCCTCTCTATTCAAGTTCGACGACATGTGGCAACAGACTCGGTCGAGTTAGTTGGAACCCTGTTTCTCCCGATTCCACGGCTATCTTGGTTTCCAGCCCCCATCGAACCTCGGTAAATCCGTGTAAGCAGCGTTTTCTCGGTTGCGGATAGCATACTAACAAGGAGTTGAACAAAGTGAAGATTTCGTTTGATACCGAGACCCCGAGTAAGTACTGTGCCAGTCTCGTCTACCGTGTCGGCAACCCTCCATGACGGACGTAAGGGGGCTCAACCGTCATATTTCCACAGTTTCGACAATCAAGATGCCGTCGTCGCACGTAGAAAGTTGCTTTGACTCTACCTCTGATGCGAAAAAGACGAAAGCTGTCATTTAATGCAACAGCTCCCATCGCCAGCATGCTTGCAGTTCTGAGTCGTCACTAGACAAGCGCGTCCCAGGACAAGTGGGTATTGTATTCACTCTGGGGCATCAAGAAGCAAAGCTATGATGGTGCTGTCTCAACCCCCCTCCCCCGGGCCAATTGCGACTCGGATCACAAGACCTATCCATGTTCAAAACCTCCTTCACTGAGGAGATTAGCAAGTGCAGGGTTGTGTCCGAATCCCACGCCTGCCATGGATGGTATCACCAGAGGTTGACGATCGGCAATCTTGCAAATCCTGAGTCTTCGCAGGAGAGCGCACGGATCACCATATTCGGGGGCTGCTTCCGAGTGATTACTCTCCTTTTGTGAGCGGCATCCCCAACGTGGGCCGGGCCGGCTCACATTGTTGACGGTGCTCGGCTTTCCCCGAGTCGCGCTGATAGGGGCGTCGTGCTAGGTCTGGGCCGATGGGTCGCGGCTCTGCGAAAACGCAAATTGTGAAACACGTTCGGATTTGACTGCAGTTTGCTTGCGAACCTGGCATTCCAGGTGTCCCAACGCCCCGGGTCTAACTGCAGCGTATAGCCCATAGTCTGTCGTTCCATGTCAAAAATAGCCAGGCGTTGTGGACCGACCTAAACTGGACAAGCCCAACGAGCATTTGACGTGACGGGGTTTGCTGAAGGAAGAGACGAAACTCATGCCAACTGCTATGCGCATTGGCCGCCCACCCACCTCTGTCTCTTCTGCCACCATCTTTCCTCCGCTGACCCTCCGCTGTGTCACGGCGATACCATGCTCGTGGAGACACAGTCCTACAAAGCAGCTCCGAAGTCGCCAAGGAATAAAACTCCACAGGAACGAAAGACCTGGAGACCGGAACTACACGGCAAAGACGAGGCAAATTGATTGCCCCTAGGGGCCGATGACGGTGCTTGGGCGTATCATGAGACCGCCGAGGCAAAGGATTCTTGGACGACACATATACAAGATGTGGAGGTCTCTTCGTAAGACGGGGGCTTCGAGTGTGATTGTGATGGCAACTCCCATCCGAATGTCTCTTCTGCATATCGCGCTATCGGTCATCCAAGAACTGTGTGAAACACGCCCAGTACACCACGTCGTATGCCACGCGAGACGTCTGGCCTTTCTAGAAGAACGCTATGTCTCTGTCCCTGTCACTTCATCGAGTATGCATCACAACTGATGAATTCTATGCGGGTAAGTCTATGAATCTAGTGTATGTCGGACGTCGCTATATTAGTTGACGATAAAGTTGGCCAGTCAAAGAGAGGGGGGGCAACGGGTGTCCCTCGTCCGGGGGGCGCAGCTCAAGGCCGGACACCAGTGGAGTCTTGATTCCATGGGCCAGTCGCATCTCTGCCGGCCCAAGCCAAGAAGCAGATCGTGGTGCCGAAGAACAAGGAGAGGGCTGGACTGGGCTCCTGGAGCGGTTCTTCTAATGACATCCCACTGTGTTAAGAGTATGACCGTGTATCAGTGCGACCTTGAGAGGGACCCCCTTGGAACTGACAGCGGGACCGAGCTGCGCGCCCGTGGGTGACTAAACCCCGGTCGACTTGTGTCAGTCCAAACACCTGCCCGCCGGCGTGTGGTTCGAAAAGAGATCGGAAATAGCAACTCTGGTCATACAGTCGTCGTGTGGGGGCTGACGGCGTCTGGCGTCACTTTTCAGGCCGCAATTACTTTGTGGGCTGATCTGTGGCAACTACCAACAAACATCGCATACATGACAGAGTATGGCTTCGGAGCAGAAGCGGACAAACGACAACAGCGAGCAGTGCATTTCATGTTTCCTGATGTGGGTTGGACGGGTGACACCAAGCAGGCAGCTCCAAGGTTCCCCATAGCAGGCGTCGTTTCTACGATGACCAATATTGAAGGAGAGAGATGGTGGCGGAGTAGGAAGATGGAAGATGATTCGAAAGCGCAAACGCCGGACTGGCAAAGTGCTTCCGAAAACCCTCTGCCAACTTCGAGGCCTCACGTCGCCATGCGCCACTCGGACCGTTCTCGTCTTCACCGCCAATAACACAGTGAACCTGGTGTATACCGTTCGTTAGACTCGGAGATATTTAACGGCCATTCGCAATGAAACGTCTATATATCCGAGGTGATGGGAACCACATCCTTCAAGGCCAAGACATAGAAGAGTGGTCGTTTCGGGCGAGGCTGTCATAAATGTCTCTTGTGGACTTGGCCCACATACGATGACCCCGTCTACATAGTATCCGTATAGGGTTCTCTAGGTAATACTATTACAAGGGTGTCGAAACAGGGGATACGACCAAAATGACCCCCCTGTTATTCAATGTCTTCTGACACGTCCTGTTTGAACTTCCCTCGTTCAACTGTCAATGCGTCGCCGCAACTGAGGATCCGTGCGTCCCGCCAAGCTCCAAACATGCTCCTCTGGGATCTTCGTGCGGGAAGACATGTCTCCTCCACATTAAGTCGTGCTGGTGTGGACTACCAAGTACAACCTTGAACACCCACCACCATTGCCAACGACACCATCACCGCTACCATCACCACCACCGCTATTGCAACCCTTCCCTGACAAGGGGAACGGATCGATCCTCCCAACTGCGGCTTGCTGTCAAATACAAGTCGTTTCCGGCCAGCAAATCGTCGGATCCCTGCCTACCCCTTGTTCTGTCATTCTCATGATGGCAAACGCCATGCATAACATGCACCATCATGGGTGAAGGAGGCCTGACGCCTCCCACAGCCAAGACCGGGGGGAGGGTACTCATCGCGCAGCCGTCTCGGGAGATACTATTAGTTTCCATCTCGATAGCAGCAATCGAGCCCGGCCATTTGATTTGAGTTGGGTCTGCAACTGGAGCCTCCTCGACCCGCCAAACGTACGGCTCCCCCAGTCGCGAGATCAAACAACAACAGGGCTCTCGCCAACAACGGTTCCTGTGGAGTAAACGCAACGGTGTCGCAGCATTGGCTTACGCAATGAAGAAAGGCGCGAAATCTGCTTGCTTGCTTGCTTGCCTAACCGGTCGACTACCTTCACACGGACGCTCAATTGGGTCCAAGGTAGCCTTGGGTCAACGTTGCAACACCGTTCTTCTCTTTTCAGCACTACACCCGTGGTGGTCCCGGGGTGGTGATCCATTGGCCAAGAAGAGACGAGACGACACGGCAACGCCGGTTCTCTCCTACGACCCCAGTACAAGCCGTCAGTGCGGCCGTGAGAACGTCTCGCCATCACACCAGTCACCCCGCAGCCCGGTGCCAGGGTTGGGACAGCCACACCATGGAGAGAAAAAGGATATATTGGGCCAGGGCACACATCGTTGCGCTGATGTCACACGTACAATATATGCTTTTTCATTGCCTTCGTCTAATGGTTTGGCTCAAGCACGGCCACCAACATTGAGAGCTTTCCATTTGCCCTTCTACCATTCCGCCCATTCCGCCCATCATTCGTCTACCGCGTACCCGGACCAGCTCCGTCAACGTGAAAGGAAAAGAATAAGGAGCAGAGAATCCCCAGACTTGCCCGGCGCCTCTGCTTTGCTGCGCCCTCTGCCGAATCTCGTGCCTGCAACATGTCCACACCACCGACGATATGAGAGCCCCGCCGGTTGAAGTCATCCTCAGTTGGCCACCACCGAACTACGACAACCCCGAAACTAGAGGCCCGGTCAACCAGATTATCGCCCTCGCCCTCCTGGGCATCTCCACAGTCCTTCTGGCGATTCGGATCTACACGCGTCGATACATTAGCAATGGCTTCGGCTGGGATGACATCCTTATTATCCTGGCCTCCATACCGGCCATAGGGTTTGTGGTCATCGGAGTCATCGCCTCGCAGAAGTTTGGCTGGGGTCGACATGTGTGGGATATGCCCCCGGGGATGCATACGGTGTCGCTCCAGATTGGTCTCGCAAGCCAGATCTTGTTCGACCTGGCTACCAGTTTCACCAAGCTCTCGATGCTTGCTCTGATGTACCGGATCGCCTGCGCGGCGTCAAACAAGTTGAGGACACTAGTCATGACACTCCAAATCCTCATCTCGGTCAACTGTATCGTCTTCATGCTGGTATCGATGCTGCAGTGCCGGTGAGTCTATCCCGGACGCCTCTGACCCCCCCCTCCTTTACTAACAACATAAGGCCCCTGCAGCTCTACTGGACGCTCTCGTTCAAGCCACAGAACTGTATCGACGAGGGCACGCACCTCGTGGCCGCAAGCATCATCAACACTTCCACCGACTTCTTGGTGGTTCTACTGCCACTCTTCATCGTACGCGTCGTCTATGCCGGCAAGCTTACCTCGAGGCAGACGATCATTGTCAACCTCTTGTTCGGTGCCGGCTTCATCGCCACTGCCGCTGGCGTGACGCGGACGTATTTTACCTTTATCATGACCACGACGCCGGATGCTTCGTGGCATGCCTGGATCAACTGGCTGGTATCTTGCATTGAGCTTTTCCTCGGCATCATATGTACCAGCATCCCCGCCACCAAGCCCTTCTTCAACAAATACGTTCCGAAGCTGTTGGGCACGGCGCGCAGGTCGAGGTTCAGTGGCCGCGGCGGCGCCGCGCTCACGGAATCGACCACCAAGGCTTCCGCTTTCACCAGTCGGGCCTCGAACGAGTCTGTTGTAGGGGAGCCCGTAGCCTCTCCGGCAGAGTCGAAATCCCCCGCGACGAGAGGTTTCAGCGAGGCAACGCTTAACAAACCTCTGCCGGCCGTGGCGAAGTACCACTCGGTTTACACCATCAACATCCAACTCGACGAATCTAGCTTGGGGCCGGCCGACAGGACGCGCGCCCCCGGCGGTCGAATAACAGAACAGGCAGACAGAGCCTGGCGCCCACCAGCGAGCAACTTCAGCCGGCCAAGGAATCTCCATGCCCGCTGCAGCTCGGACCCGTCGAGTCAGCACCGGTTCAGCATCTACGGCTCGGGAACAACCAGATCCGAAAGCCGCAGCACCAACACCACAGCAGGCGAGAGCAGCCGCTACAGCCATATCCTAGACGACATTGAGAGCGTATACCGCCACAGCATCCGCGAGCCCGACGAGGAGAGGGCCTACAGCCCCCACGTGCGGCACAGCTACTCGGCGGTGCCCGAGCCACTGAAAAAGCACGGCAAGTCCGTGTCTGTGAGCACGTTCAGAGGTTGAATGAAACGGAAACAAGAAAACTATGTTATTTACAAACATAAATGAGAGGGGAAGAGGCATAGCATAGCTTTCGCAGGGGGTAGCTTCCTGCAGGGAGGGGAGGAGAAAAGAGACAGAGAGAAGGAGGACATATGATACGCCGCTAGCAGCGGCCAGTCCCCTGCATTTTACTTGACTCTTTCGGCCAATTCTTTATATATATATATATACTATGTATCTTTTATAGTTTTCAGGGACCTGCTCGGGAGCCGAACCCGAACCTTGAGCAATGACATTCACGACCAGCAATCAACGCAGAGTGTCCATCCTCGAACAAGAAGAAGCCTCCCTGGTCCGAAGTGCTTATCTCAGCGTCCGCCCTCCCATCTGTACATCCTGCTCGCCCCTCGGATATCCGAGCTGTAGGCATCCCTATCGCCCTGAACTCTCCCGTCTCTGACGAGTCGTACGGATGTTGGACGAAGGGATCTTTGGCTCAAACCTTGTCCCGTCGTCCTCCGTTTCAAACAGCACAGAGAGAGAGAGAGAGAGGGAGGGAGGGAGACGACAGAGGATCGCACCAGGGCACACCGCCCTCACCTGACGGCCGGCAAGCGCATGAGATGGTTTCTGTCGTCCCTTGTGCCGCCCACACTATCAGCAGAACATCAACTTCTAGCCCCTCGAGGTCATCGGCCGCCGGCGGCAGTTCAGCAGAGGGGAGCAGACAGGCAGAACTTCCAGGCGCCAGTGAGCTCGCAGACTTGTTCGCCCTGCAATGAGGCGGAACGCACCATGCGGCGCAGTCGACAAGAAACGCGGCGGCCAAGCCAAGGCGGCTTCACTCTCGACGCAGGGCGAGCGACCGGCCCGCTCGTTGCCTCCCCGGCGTTGAGATGAATCGGGCGAGCAGCGCGAGGCCGCGCGGGGGTCGAAAGTATAAACACATACAGAACACGATACGAAATAAAATAAAATCAAGAAGAGGAAGAAAAGGGCCGATCGGACCGCTGCAGAGCAGGTCCGAATCCGGACGTCATCAGCCCACTCGCCAAGCGGTTCATCAATCAAGCCATTGCGGGTGGGCGTGTACAGCCGCTTGATCTGGAGTCTCTCTTTCCCTTTTTTCCTGTTCTCTCCCTTCTCCTTCTGTCCTTCCCAGTGAAAGAAGGCTTAGCCGAACCCCCACACTATGCCGATGATCATACCTTCTTCTTCTTCTTCTTCTTCTTCTTCTTCTTCTTCTTCTTTTCTTTTTTTATCCCCCGGGGGACGAGAAACTGGGGCGTGCGTGTCCGACCACCCCCCTACAATTTGAATAAAAAATTAAATAAAAAACGCCCGACAAGGCTAGACGTCAACATCAGATGGACCCCAAAAGCCCACGGGGAGGTCGCTGTCAGCGGGCACCAGGCAACCTGATCTCATCTATTACCTCTCGGGGCCTAACAAGGAACTGGAAACCACCAAAGAGGTGGGTGGGAAAGGGGGGAGGAGGGGTCCGCCATTACTATTACAGTACAAGTCAGACCGGATCTTGCTTTACCGCATCTCCCAAGAGGGGGGAAGCAGAGTCATTCACCACGTCCCCAGGTAGACATGTCGGTTTACAGCAAAACCAGCCTTCCGCAAGTTGTTGGCAGAACATACCGGTTCTTGAAAGGGAACCTCGTAGTCATCCGCTCGAGCCTTCGGACCTTTCCTGCCAGGGGGGGGGGGGGGGGGGGAGGGTTCCGAGTTCCCAAAAACTCTGCCATAGGTAACTTGGTCCTTTTCACCCCTTTCACCACAACAACAGAGTTCACCATCTCCTGATTCTTGTCTCTTAGCTTTTGCTGTTCCTTCTTCTCACTGTGCGGCCGCCCTGCCGCGACTCGGAACCCTGGCCTTGGTGTCGATGGCAGCGGCGCACCGCAGCAGAGCCCCCCCCCGCGCATACAATGGTTGAATTTCTGACCCGGGTCCACGCAAGCCCGTCTGCGTCCTCTCGTCTGCGTGCCGGTCTTTGGCGGCCTCTGCCGCCGTGCTCTGTTTGATAACGGTTGCGTCCCCACAACCGGGCATTTGTCGCATCTTTCGCTCGAGGAGCCGCTAGACCCTGCCGGTTGGGGGGGGGAAGGAGGCGGGCGAACAGAAAGGTCTGACGACAAGCCTCCCAGGGGGCGTCAGACCCCCCCCCCCCCCCCCCCGAGCTTCGTCGTGGAAGTTGGCCGTGCCGAGAGGGGAATGCCGAGAAGTCTGCGAACTTAACCCAAACATAGAATGGATGGCGTCCTCGAAAAGAGAGAGAGAGAGAGAGAAAATAGCCGTGACTCCCCCTCATCTTTCCTCTTTTCCATACCAATAGCCGAGCTGAGAACTACACACACACACACACACACACATGCTGCAAAGCCGAGAACGTGAGAGTTCGGCCGGTGTCAAGGGATTCTACCATGGCAGCCCACCAGCTTTGGGCAAAGGCCAGGGATGAGCCTTGTACCCTCTCTCTCATGTGGAAGGGGCGGGGTGGGGGAGCAGCCTCACTTAAACCTCACCACCGACATTTTCCATCCCATCGCGACCGCCTGCGAAGCTCGCTCTTTTTGCCTTTTGGACCTCTTACCCACCCCCTCATTTCATTATGTTGACGTGTGTAGTATTGCTGCCAACGCTGGCCGGAGGAATCACGGCCACGTACTCGGGACCGAAGAGGCCGCACGCTCAAGGCAATGGGCCTCAAGGGCGAAGAGACGAAAATGCACGGCATCACCTACCCTATGGCAGTTACCCGCCCCCGCCCAAGGCTTGATGCGGCCCGTTTGAGGCTATATACAATCTCATCAATGGGACAAACACTCCTGGGTACGATGGTTAGCAGTAGTAGCAAGCTAGATTCGACACATCGACTAGGTTTATAGTTTCCGAAGGGGACCTCAGAGGTTAGCACCGGGGAGTTTTTTTTTTTTTTCCAATTTTTGTCAACTGTTTGTTTTTTCTCGCTCTCCATAGCTATTCCATCTCCTTATATATGCTTCCAAATCAAAGTACAAAATCCAAGTTGCTGTTGTTCCATCCTCGAGTCTGTGTAACTCGCCACTATCTTTCGTGGCTGGGCCTCGTTCTGTGAGGGTTTCCTTTCCAAAACAAAATACAAGTTCTGTTGTGTCGAGCGTGAGCTCTTACATGTACCCTCTTCTGATACATCCCGCAAGGTTGACTGAAAAAATAAAAATAAACATAAAACAAATGTGCCTCGCCTGGTTGACCGGCATTCTTCCTCTTCCTTCCTCTTGCCGCGGCTCGGCCCTTATTGGAGTACATCTCATAGCTCGCGAGTCTCCTGATGGCGTGTCCATGGCTTGCTTCCTATCCTGGATGTGTACTTGGCCGGGCGGCTTGCGGATAACGTCCGTAGGCTTTGCGGCGGCTCATCCGTGGGAGAGAAGGGTGTTCTGGAACACACGCGAGTCCCTCGCGGTAGTGTGATGGCTCCTAGTGACTAGCACTGTCCACAATTTAGAGGATCAGATTGCTGTCGGAAACCAAGCTCGATGCGCTTGCATCTTGAGCTGGTTAACCATTCTGGTGTTGAAAGAAACTGAAGGGTTCTGGCGAACTTCACCCAGATCAGGTTTTGTCGTCTTGTAAAAGAGCATTGTGGGCTCTTATGGACCGAGGGAGTTGCTCATCCGGCCTGGACAAAGTTCTGGAGGAAGGGCATCTTGGCATCCATTGGCTGAGACGGGCTCAGGTTGTGTCCGATCTTGCCCATGGCGGACAGGTGGTTTTGGGCGTCCTGAATGAGCTGGACGTTCCTGGTGTCCTCGGGCTGGTTGAGGCCACGGACGATGTCCTCGAGCGCCTGGCGGTGGGCCATCCACTCCTCGATGAGAGGCTTGGAAGACTGCTCCTCCTTGGCAGCGGCCTCCACGGCAGCGGCCTTGGCGGTGACCTTGCGAGAGGCAGGGACAGGTCCGACGACCTTGGGGGCATCCTTGCGCTTGCGACCCTTGGAGCTCTGCTGTCCGTTGCTTGTGCTGGTGGGGGATCCAGGGACTCCATTGTCGTTGTGGACACGGCGCATGTGATCCTTGAGGTTCCACTGGCGAGGGAATCCATTGCCATGCATGGCGCGGTCGCATCCCTCGTAGGAGCACAGGAAAGGCTTGTCGCCGTGGCCGTGCATGGCGTGGGCCTCACGCTCGTGACGGAGCAGGCAGGCGGTGGAGGAGAACCGGGCGTTCTCGCAGGAATCAATCTTGCAGCGGTAGGGCTTCAGGTGGGAGTCCACGAACTTGCTGTGAAAGGGGAAGGGCGGTTAGTCGCGTGGGCGGGGATGGCAAAATGTCCAAACAGTCGACTCACTCGTAGTTGCACTTGAGCTTCTCGGGCTTGTGGTTGCAGCTGGATTCTCCCTCCCACGGGCAGTGGAACAAGCCATCGGCTTGCGGGGTCGCGTTCTTGTACAGGGGGTGGTCCCGTGCGGAGTCACCCTCGTTGGTAGGCCGGCGGCTGGGGAACGCAGGGGGCAGAGCGGCATCGCCGACGATGGTGAGGACACTTCCGTTGAGTTCGTCTCCCATGAACTTTCCGTGGGCGCTGTATACAAGTGTCGAGTCAGAGGCTGACTCTAGGCTAGAGCAGCTGATCTGAGGAACGTACCTTGGAGACTGGCTCTGGATAATGGGGGAGACGTGCTCCGAGTGAGAGGGCGAGGACATGAGTGGGGCAGACAGCCACGAGTCCTCAGTGCTGCCGGCGGGCGACGACAGGTGAGACTCGGCGGGGCTGAAAGAGTTCCACGAGGCAGAAGGAGAGTGAGCACCCAGGCTCGAGTCAGGGTCCAACTGCATCTGAGCAGGCACGACGTGCATGTTCAGGTCGCCAGACGAGATGCCGTCGGGGACCATGCCGAGCTCCATTGAGTTAAACCATTGCGACGAGACGGCGCTCGTGTCCGCGTCCAGGAAGTAGGGGTTCACGTCCATCATTTGGGCGCTGTGTTGGGGTCCGTTGAAGATGACGGCATTACCTGTGATGTCCATGGAGGACAGCTGGGCAGATACTTGAGACGACGCCGCAGAAGTCAATCTGGGGCGGGTCTTGGGAGATGTAACCTTGGAAATCCTGTGCTTGCGGCTTCCGGTCGAGCTGCGCGAAGTCCCTCTTCGCATCGACTCGCCGCCAGCAGGCACCACGGTTGTGGTGGGAGCGGCAGTAGCCCACTTGCTATGCATGTCCTCGGTGGCTTGGCCCTGTCCTCGGGGCGTGATGTGACCATCAACTTGGAAAGAAAAGTCCTCGGAGTCTCCCGGGTGGGTAGATCCGTTGTCTGAGAAATCTTGAAAGTTCTGTGCACCTTCTCCTGTCGTTTCCCACGAACCACTCAAGGGGTCCGATGGTCCTGTTTGAGAAGAAAAGGAAAACATTCCTGTGGGCACCATTCCGGCTTGGAAGAAGCTGTAATCGCTGAAATGGGGGTTAGTGTGCTGTTTCTCCACTATTCATATATGCAACGCAAACAAGAAACAAAAAGCAATCAAGCCTGGCACAACTTTGTTCCTGTAGCACAGTGTTAGTGGTCGTTGCTCAAACCTGCAGAGGTTTGGGGTTACGAGTTGACAGACCAGGCAAGCACAGATCCAAGAGATCAGGCCAGGGAGACGGTTCCGGGGTGAGGCGTTCAGGTAGTAGGTCCAGGACGCTCCAGGGGACAAGACAAATGAAAGTTCTGGGCGGCGGCCAAGTAGGCCCAAGGCAGTGTCGAAACTATGTTTGGCAGCACGAAAGACTCCAGATAGTGGGCAGTGTGTCATGGAGGTCGATCTGGACGTATGTCGGTTCCGCTTGTCGTCAATTGAGGATGATTCCATTGGTTCGTGAAGATTCTCTTCGGGTCGGTTAAATCCAGGTTTAAAGTCGGCGCAATGTTGAAACCATCAGAACAAACACAAAGGAATCCCATCCTGTTTTTGGAAGCTGATGTCCTGTAGAAAATCCAGGTCCCTCGAGCCGAGGTAGAAGAATCGAAGCAAACGGAAATCCACGTCATGAACAGGAGCCAACACGCGCAGGCGTGACGAGCCTTGGTCCGGAGGCCAGTGCCAAGACACCCAGTGCGGAGCTTAAAATAAAGCTGTAACTGGGTAGAGCAGAATCCAGGCGGGAGAGAAGGTATCCATGGTAGTCCATCCATAATCGAGGCTGGGCAGCCTCCCCCGTCTTTGGAGACGGCCAATGTCCAGGGCGATAAATATCCATGTGTTTCATCCATAGGTAATCAAGTCCGACAAAAAAAAGAAATCCAGGGTCGAGTAAAATATCCAGTGGGAGTTCAAGTTGTTGCTTGTCTCGGAATTGCTCATGGTCGGGCAATACTCACTGTGGTGAGAAGTGATATCAAATTTCTTTGTGACCGGTCTGGTGCGACGGCAAGAAGGGAAAACCCTCTGCGCTACGGTCTCCTGTCTCCAGCGGGATGAAAATGTTCCTTGTGCATGGGTCCTAGGGAAAGTGTCCTGGAATAAAAAAGTCCGGCAGAAATCCTGGATTGAAGTCCTCGGGTCGTTGTCCTGTGGTATCAAGGCCTCCTTGGCCGGAAAAGATCTGGTTGGTAGACTCGAGAAGAAGAAACAGCAAAACATGATGTGCTCAATACATGACTCGGGAAAAACAAAACAAAAATGGACCACCCTGGGAACAGAGAAAGAAAAGACAATACCTAGAAGGTGTGTGGACGTCGTCCAGGTCAATAGAATTGTAGCCAGGCATATCCGGGCGTTGAACAACAAGGGCAGTCATTGATTCCTTGGATTGTGTATTCATGCAAGTCCAGGGCAAGTTTGATCAACTCGGCTGAGTTGTGTCGTGGTGGAGACCAAGGAGAGGAGCAAACACAGCGGAATGACTTGTTCGCAACGTTCCTATGGAATGTGTCGAGTTTGGTGTCGAGTAGGATGATCCTTGGGTGTGGCAAGATGTGTGAAGACCTTCTTTGAGCTTCTCAGTAGGGCTGATGAAAAAAAGAGGGCTGACGGGGGAGGGATGTTGGCGGGTAGAAGAATAGAAAAAGTCGGCCAAGGTTGGGTTGCCGGGATGATCAGCAATGCAGAAAGGCAGAAGAGTTGGGCAGGAATGTATCGTATCTTGCGGGTTGGGCTGAGAAAAGAAGAAGAGAGTAAGACGTTGGGCAGGGAGAGGGGGGGTCAGCGGGTTTTAATGTTGCAGGATGAAGCGAAGCTTGGGCTTACCATTCCAAGGATACCAACGAACGAGATGAGGTCCGTCTGCGAAGGGGGGGGCGTGGAAGGGAGGATGGCAGGTGGAGACTCCTACCACGTAGTCGTGCGTGGCCCCCTGCTCTCCTACTCTGCTAGCTGGCAGCAAACCCCTGCTCCGAAGCAATGGGCGTCCTTGGTTCTGCATGACAGGGCGGCAATTGTGTGCCAGAACCAGGGCTATCACAATCAATATTTGTTGCCGGCTTGCGCTTCGTCCACCACTCATTTCGAGCCAGGCCACTCTCATTTCTCTGCGCCGTGCTGTGTCCAGCCCTTGACCAAAGCCCCCGGGTTCCCGGACTCCCTGGAGGGTCCTGTTCGAATGAATTCATTCAGGAGCCGTGGAAACAGGAAATGCCGCGACGTCGTGTACCGTCGTATGCGCCGTGCTATCGGCCGTCACAGAGGCCGCAGGTGCCAGGAGTCGAACCTACATGGCGCTAGCCAGCTGGCCTCATTCTACCTACGCATTTCATAGGCCCGTTTCGAGCGACGGTTGTAAGTGACTGGTCCTTTTCCTTGATTTCCCTAACCTTTGAGTTGGGTCCCGGGTGGATGCAGACACGACGTCCCGGGCCTATCGCCGTGCGCAGAACCAGGTGGCCGTGGCAGCTGGAGGGATCATGGCTGCAGCGACAACACATCCGTGCAGACCATAAGAGCAACCGGGAAGACGCAGCCTCGAGAGGAATAGAAAGGGGGGGGGGGGGGGGGGGCTGTCCTGTTTGTTGACTCGCAGCCACCTCGTGCCTACTATCCCCGAACCTTCATCTTGACCACCATCTGCACCATGCGTCGAAGCTGCTGCTCGTCCCATCTCATCGAGAAATGTTGGCCTCGTTCCCTACAACCCTCCCCTGGACCATCCCTTTTCCCTTTCGCACAGACGTGAGAGTCTTCCGGTTCCAGTAGGCGTCTCGAGCATCATCGAAGTCATGGCGCGATCTTGAACAGATGATTTGATGCGCATGAATCAACATTCTTCGTGGCAGGATCGATACTGCCGCCTCACTCTCCTATCAACCCAAGCCCGACTTACGGGGAGGGGAAAAGCACTGACAGCAAGCGGGCCGGCTGACGCTCACTGTACTGTATTTGTATTGTATGTACCGCAGCCGCCGAGCAGTCGGAACAGCGGAAGGGCGGGTTATCAGCCCGCTCGTCCTGCACCCTCGTCCTCACCATCTCGTGTGATTCCCTTTTCACCTTGTCGGCGTATGCTTGATTGGTCTCGAGTGCCTCACGTGTCGATGAGGCATAGGCCGTGGTTGGCGAGCCGCAGTCGCTGACACCAAGCGGCCAACATCTCTCCATGCGCAACTTTCGCGCCATCCACCAACCAGCAGTTACTTTTTTCGTGTTCGATGTTGACTGGCCCGGGTCGCCGTCGCAGACCGGCCGGCCACACCCTTCGAGACAAACGAAAGGCGCTTCGCGAGGTGATTACCCGGGTCACCGCCAACTGGGCATGCTTCTGGCGGAATCGGTCCTCGCCAACCGTTCGCAACGCCCGTCATGATAATGCATGTGTATTGCATGAAGCAACATGCAGCGTATGCCCCGGTGGTCGCTTGAACAACACCACCCAAGTCATCACGCCAGCTTGTCCAGTCCATCGTACCCTGGGGCGCCGCAGGGGTTTGCTGCTTTTTGTTTTTTTTTAATGCGATCACGCGCGTCTCATTCGATCGCTACCAATCGTTCCGCATCGCCCGCGTGTCGTCTGGCCAAAGGATCCTCGACTTCCGTCTGGTCAGAGGAGCAATCCGACCTCCACACCGATCTAATTTTGACAGCAAGGGTCTAACAATGGGGTGAAGTCGTCGGCCTTGACTTTCAGACCGACATGAGGTTAAGACGCGGGGCACCAGTAGGCTTTGGCAGTTGCCTGCGGAGACGACTGAGGGAGGGCAGCTGACGTTGACACGAAAACACAGGATGCGGGATGAATGGAGAGTGTACTACGGAGTAATTAGCTATGTAAGGACGTGAGACGATGCATCCGTTTCTGCGCGCGGAGCCCACACCCATTGTACAAGTACAAGGGACGGAAGGAGCCTAGGCGTTATACGAATACACAGACGACGGGCAGTCGAGATGAAGAACAAACTGCTTAAGAGGGGCTCTTGCTTCGTCCGGTGCACTTTCTCGGATAAACTACTACAGGAGATTTAGTCACCATTCTGCTGCGCGCTAGAAGACCCCTCACTCACGTAATACCTGCTATCTACGGAGTACGTACTCGCGGTACCTACCCTGAGTACCTTGGCACCTGCCTACCTAAGTTTAAGCCAGAGAAGGCCAGCTGCCTGCGCACATGACGACGACGCCAACGACAATCAAGACGACCGGAGGAAGCCACGCCGTCTCGGCCACTTCCCTCAAACGGCCCGCCCAACGTTCCCGGCTTCTTCGGAAGACATGTCCGCACACTCAAGCCAACCCGCAGCCTCAGACCACCACCTCCCCTATCCGTCCATCTGCAATAGTTATAGCAACGCTGCGCTTCCAAAGAATTCCCCGAGCAACGCAACTCACTTCTCGCGGCCTCCAGACAGCCTTCATCCTCGCTCCCGCCAGTGCACGTGATTGGAAGAACACGTTGTAGGTAACCCTTTCCGTCCCTCTACTACGTAACGTTAGAAACGTTGTGCAACCCATCCGGGCCGACAGAGCCGCTCGGCTGCTCCCATCCCCCCCGTCGAGCTGCTTCGTTGCACTAGCGGCGGATGCTGCTTCATTACTCGCCCATGCCCTGCCGAGACTTCCACACCATCAAACCTCTGTCACGCTGGTTCCCTCGGCAGCCGGTAAGATGGCCCTCGAGTCGCCGATCCCCCCTAAACACGACATGAGGCAATCCGCAAGGCATGGCGATTTTTATGCCGACTGACATCCTCGCGTCAGCGTCTTGCAGAGATATTAAAAAATAAATAAGTAAATAAAAATGCACGTATGTACAACAGCTCGTGTATTAATCGATTCATGCGCGTTTAGGATAATTATGCCCAACTCAGTATCCGTACTCCTGCCCATCTTTGCCCTACTGTGGTTCTTATACATTGAACTTGGGCGAATTCGGGGAAGGAGTTCGTCCCCCTGCTATATACACTACCCTGCGTTTCCCACTCCACGATTCCTGGGATGTGCCAAAGCCCCTCATCCGGACACCGGCTAGGCTTTGGCCGAGTACGCCTGCAGCCAGAAACCCAGGGAAGCATGACCTCTCGCACAGCACGCTCAGATCATGTACTGGTAGCCGCCCTGGTTGAGGCAATGGCCAAAGCCCTATACTGCAGGATTCTCGGTGGGCGAGCCGTTCGACTGCCAGCCGCCGTAGTAGTCGCCCGCGTTCCGGCCAACGCGTCTACAGGTGACCGGGTAGTTCCTCTCGCGCTGCACGTCGCTGTACACCCTGTCGTTGGCGGTGGCCGGGTCGGGTTGGTAGTAGTCGGCGAGGGTCTTTTCCGGGCCGTTGTAGTTACGCAGCCGCCCGGCCTTGTCGACGGCCGTCACATACAAGCTCCTGTCACCCGACCCTCGCAGGATGAAAGCCGTGTCGATGCAAGCCGGCATGCTGCTCAGGCGGCAAAGAGCGAGGGCTTCATTTTGAAAGAAAAAGGAAAAAAGCCAATGAGGCGAACGGATTTCTTGACCGGTAAATGAGGTCTTTGAAGCTGCTTCGGTTGAGATGCTGTGTGTGACGAGCTACAAGTCCAAATGCCCATGACGGCAAGCTGTTCTTATAAATGGTCATCGTAACATCTTGACCTTCGCTTCATGAAGCCATGCATTCGCCGAGCACATATTGTATGGGCTCGGGCGGGAAGGAGTCGATGATACACAAGTTGGTGAAAAACTTCGAGACGGAGGAGTAATGGTTTTGGTATCAAAGCCATGATGACTAGGGTTGAGTCAGACGACCGGAGCATTTGAGATTTGGATCTCCATTTGAGGACCGGGGTTACAACATGTCGGGAATGTGCTGCCAGTCCGAGTCTGTACTACGTATGATGGGTAAGTATAAACTCCCTAGCAGGTAGTGTGGAGTTGTGACCCGCGTACGAGAGACTCTCACTGGCCAGAATTATGATAGATGTGCACAAGAAGCTCAAAGTTCCGTACCGTCGCTGGGATAATCAAAAAAGCACGGCCACATTTACCTGACGAGGGGGTTAAACTTTGGCCCGATACCGTAGTAGTCAAGGCGACCATTGTGGGGGGTACCTGACCTGACCTGATCGATGCCTCTGACCTGACCAGACATGATGACCATGCACGCACTAAGCCTAAGTAGGGTTAGTGGATAGGGTCAGTTAGGATTCGGTTAGGGTTGGGGTTAGGATTCAGGTCAGGGATTAGTTCAGGTTATGGAATATCATATTATTCCAGGCGGGTCTAATAATGTGGTCAGGTCAGAGGCAATGGTCAGGTTAGGTCAGGTACCCCCCATAATAGTCGCCCTACATGTAGTCTCAGCGACTCCTATTGCTGTCAAGTTCAGGTAGGCACAAAAGTGGATCATGGCAGGCATGCAGCTACTCGAGATCTGATACTATTGTAAACCCTACTAAACTATAGGAACGGACCTAAGCATCTAGAACCTGTAAATACCACAAGAGGCCATCAGTCAGCCACAATTACAGTAGTCTTAGGCTAGCCCGTCATGTGTAGGCACAAGGGCCATTTCTCTGCGTAGAAAGGAGAGCCCGTCTGTTCCTGTAACCTGGGCAGAAAGATGACAAACCTACCTCCCTTGACCGGCCAGAGCTCCCAACGCGGCAAACCGTTCGTCGAACATCAAGTCTGGAGACCGAGAGGAAATTCATATAGATTGCGAAACTGCTGGGCGAGCTTAACCTACTACCAGCGCCAGCCTGGCGGCCCTCGTGGCGCCCACGCTATCCCGCGTCTAGACTTCGTTTGCCTGAAGGGGGAGCGAAGGTAGTGCCGGCCGCCACCAGAACAGGTCGGCTGGCTTCTGTGCGGCGGCTACACCCATAGTAAGGTTTCCTTAAAGGCGTTTCTTAAAAAGAAGTTGACTATGAGAGTACATGTAAGGCGACCATTGGGGGGTATGTGACCTGACCTGACCATTGCCTCTGACCTGACCAGATCATTGAACCTGCCTGGAACAAGAAGATATTCCATAACCTGAACTAATCTCTTACCAAAATCCCAACCCCAACCCTAACTGACCCTATCTACTAACCCTACTTTGGCTTAGTGTGTGTATGGTTATCTGTTAGGTTAGGTCTGAGGCAGGTTGATTGGTCTGTGACGCTGTTGAACTAGACGCTGTTGAAGTAGGCGTCTGTGAACTGACGGAAGCATGGGGCGCTTAGGAATCGGGGCAGTGGCTTATTAAGGACGTTGTTTCTAGCGACATAGCGAATGACAGCGACGGCAGGCGAGCTGTCTTGCCTAGCACGACCAGCCATCTGGACCCAGTTAATGAGATTGTATGGCGCGCTGTAGTAGACCATTAGGGACACCTGTCCGTAGTTGAGGCTAGTGCCAAAAGCTGACGCGGCAAACATGATGTGATCAGTCTCAAGCCATGATCTGACGGCCTTGTCCTTGTCCTCTTGCGACATCTTTGAGTGGTAGACCTGCCCGACTTCTTCTGAGGCGAGACGTTCGGCCATTTCGATGGCGCGGCAGTAGATGACAGCCAGGCGAGGGGCTTCTCTCGAGGCTTCTTCCACGGCCGCCTTCAGAGGCAATGGTCAGGTCAGCTCACATACCCCCCCCCCCCAATGGTCGCCTTGACTACAGACTCGTTGACTATGTTGGCGATAGGGACAGAGAGAGCGAGGCGGCATGCTGGAGCTCCAGGCGCACATGGTCCCCATCTTCCGTTGTCCGCAACAGCTCCATGATAGATATCCTGTCATTGCTGCATGGAAGAGTGCACAGCAATCAAGAGGTTCAGAACTTGTACATTTCTTCCCCCTACCCATCTCACCGAGTCCCTCCTCAAGAGAGGTCAAGCACCCGGCCCTGGAATTCCCAACCCGACACTGCATTCTCCCAAATATCATGCAGTCTCCCCTCGGCGTCTGAAGCTTCAGTCCAAGCGACCTCCGCGAGGACTGCCTTTGCCGCTTGCCAACTGTCAAGCTGCATCACACTGCTTGCCAAACCCAGCTTCGACGCGTACACTGCCCTCCACTTTGCGAGCTGCTCCCTGCCCGTTGCAGTGATGGGTCTGCCCGTGCTAGCCACGGCAGCACCAAACAGGACACTCCAGAACCAGAGACTCCGACTGAATGTGCCGGCAATCATCTCCTCCTCCTTGTTGCAGACATCGTCAATGAGCTGCTCCAGCAACCACACCGTCAAGACACAGTCCATCTCGTTATCGTTGACTGCCATGACGAGGTAGAAGAACGTAGCGATGTAGCTCGCCCTGCTGCTCTTTGCGTCGCCGTTCAGCATTGTCGCTATGTTGCGTTCGGGATCGAATCCCCGTGAGAGTTCCCAGTTGAGGTTCTTTGTGTAATCCTGCCAAAGCCTGTCCGTGGGAGTCTCGTCCCCCTCCCACCAGCCGTATCTCGGTGCCTGTCGCGGTGGCAGGCTCTCCATGTCCCACAGTGACGTGAACAGCAAGGCGATGATGCTGGGCTGGAAGTCAGCACTGATGGCGTCGTGCATGACGCTGACCTCGCCTCGACGTAGACGATCGCCGGCCCTATACACAACGTATCAGTATGCCTGGTCTCTTACGCATCGCGAAAGAGACATCTTACATCTCCAGCATCCGCTGTGCCAAGTTCGACCTCATCAAGTTGTAACCATTTTTCCTGAGCGTCAGTCTGCGAAGACCCCGCAAGTGTTTTGAAGATGCGTCCAGATCGCCAACGGCACCCTTTGCAAGCTTGGTCAATACAAACGTCAGGACGAGCTGCTGACGGCAACGTACCTCGGTGAGCGCTAGCGTGGCTATAGCGAAAACGGCTGTGTCACTGACGCTTTCGGCAGACTCGAAGAGCTGCTGCTTTGCGAACTCGTATGCCGCTGTCTTGTGGTAGAGAAAAGGTACTTTGACCTGTTCAAGTGAACCAGTCACCCATGCCCACTGACAGGCCGCAACAACCAGACACCCATGGAGAAGGCCCGGGTGTAGCAGCGTCCTTTGGACACTTCTGCGTGTCAGCCTCGCTATATACGACGGGGCGAGGCGATCAACAACATACCTGCACAAGTTTTGACCCCTCTCTACTGGGGTCTGCCCCCTAACGTAGAAGGTAGAGACTGTGCACCGCATCAGTTTGGTCCCTTTTTGAGATGGCGTTCGCGCTGCTCACACTGGTGCCATAGCCACTGAGACATGGACGACATCTGGTAGTCAGACGAAAATCCGGCGAACGGCTGATGTGACACGGCATTAAAAAGAGGAGCCGTTCCCTCCGATGTGGTGGATTCGGACGGGGCCCGGGACTCATGCTTGGGTTCTGGTTCTGGGTAAATGCAATCCTTGCCAGTCTGTAAGCAGGTTGTGCTGCAAGAGGTGTTAGCCACTAAGCTGTGACGGAACGGGGCCCGTGTTGATTATAGCAAGACTCGTCCAAGATTGTCAGAGGCAACGGCCGGGGGAGAGGTCAGAAATGAGTAGGATAGAGAGATAGAAAAAGAATACAAATAGAGAAGAAAGCATAGCAAAGAGTGAGGTACATACCACAGGGGCTTGCGCTCGTCACAACGAACATGACGCTGTTTACATATCGTACAGCCATTCTTGCTCCGACGGTGGAACTTACGGACTCGGTTCTTGGGCGGCGCCATGGTCACTCGGCCTGCCGGCGCTTCGGCCTCAATGGATCTCCACGCGGTCACCGGTGTTCAAAGCGGCGCCGAGTGACCATGCTTGATGCGACAGCAGCTATGCTATTCAGGACGGGACTGGTCTTGCAGGTGCGCATTAGATCCCGGAACCGTGAGCCAAAGCTTGTAGAGAATGACTAGTCCTTCGGGGTATCAAGTATAAGAGGAAAGGGAAGTAAGGCGCATGTGGTTGGAAGATTGAAAAGAGGAGAGGAAAAAAGATGTTCTTCATTTCCAATCGGGTTGTTTGTGACGATAGCGATGACGATGATTGGCGCAGTGTGGGAGTTGCTACACGAGACATGCATGACGAATCGTCCAATGAGATAGGAAGGAGGTAAGTGGGTGGGTCCATAAACCGGCAGTTCGGACGGACTAGTCTCTGCTTTTCTCCGACGAGAAGTGAGGGCAGGAGAAAGACCGAAAGGGGAAGGGGCGATCAAAGGAAGCAGCAATACAATAAAAGAAGGAAGGAAGGCGGCAAGCGTCAGCCATAATCCGAACTTATCCTAACCAACCAACCAACCTGCTTCATAGAACATCACGACATTACTCGCTGGTGCTCTCGCCGACGAAGCAGGCGATTGATTGCAGAACCGACCAATTTAACTCATCCGAGTCATCCTTTTACCTGCACCGAGCATCAACCTTGTTCTAGCTGCTTCGTTAGGCCACCAGACCTTTCTTATAGCAAAGCTTGGAGAGTGTTGTCCTTGTGACCGGCATCGAACGTTTGAAAATGCTTTCGTGGCCGGACGACCTTGATCTGAGCCGACATCCCGAGCCAGCTAGGATTGGCCCATATTCCGAAGATGCGAAGACGCATTGACAACTCGGTGAAAGTGACCGGTCATGCTCCTCCGAATCGCCAGATCTAAAGTGGGACACACCGGCTGTGATTTCGGCCTTTTCATGCGTATTTCCGCCATGCGCATCATCCCGGACTCGTCAATGCCCGGAAACATGGAGATCCCAAGACTTTTGGCTCCTGCGTTTCGGCTAGCTTTCATCACTCTGCTCCGCTCCGGATAGACCTCGTCTCGATGAAGCATGCGAAACGCAATAAACAGCAAAGCAACCCACCTTGGCTCAATGCACTGAGAGCCTGGAGCCCTACCTACCGACACATGCAGCCGCCTCTGCGTGCTTGAGCAGTCACGGGATGGAAGCATATCCCATCCACACCAAGGCGAACCACGGAGAGGGGCGACTGAGGCTGTACACTTGTCTACGATGACAACTAGTAACAAGTGACGATTTCCATCTCAAATCGACAATATGATCGTCCCGCAGCACCCCCACAAACCATCGCTTGAGACAAGCTCACCAAGCGACGAAGTAACCCCTTCTTCCTCCACCCATCGGCCTTGGATCAAATTTCTCCCCATTGACTACACCCTGAGATCGAGCAATCTCCCCACGCACATGATGCACAGATATTATAGCGATCAATCCGGCCACTCTATGTAGCTCGCCCTTGACGTCGGTGCATGGTCAAGTCCGATCAGTTGAGGTTCTCAAAGAGAGTTCCCAGGATACTGGGGTTAACCGAGGCGCACGTCATCCCGCTGATTGGCGATGGACGTTGGAATGACTAGGTAGGTAGTCGCCCGCAGCCAGCAAAACGGCTGGCTGCGCGCCGTTGGCCCTCACGCCACTCAGGGCCTTGCTTCCCCTCCTCCCCAACCCAAATCATCTCCAACCCCCATCGACTTGTGCTCCGGACAAAGGTTGACGGGCCCTGGTTCCCTGCCCCAGTTCAAATAAGTCACGCCCAGCTTCACGTCGCTACGTCAAGGTCGGGTCAATCGGTACTTTCGCGAATCATGGAGCTTCTTCCAGTCACCAAATTGGGCCTCATTTCCAGAAGGAAGGAGGAGCCAGCTGTCAGCACCGTGAGGCGTCCACGAATCTCACGACGGAGCACATCCCGTCGCCGCCCGGCATGATTGGCTGACGCCGCTTCGTCCTCACTGAAGATATCACTGCCAGGAAGCTTGCAAGGTAGGGGTTCTGATTCGATAATGCACAAAAGCAACTTCACCTGTCCAAGTGGGCATCAAGGCATGGTTGGGCACGTACATTTCGCACCTAGCGCGCGTTCCCTCATCGTATCGGCCGTCGGTATTTGCTTGTCCAATTTGTGCCCAACCCGGCGTGCTGTCACCGCTTCTTCCCCACTAGGTACAACCCTGCACAAATCATCCCATCCGGTACCGAAGAGATACTCCGACTTTTCGGGCAACAATTGTCCTGCCCAGCAACAGAAAAGTTTCTGTCACAGCCCAATCGGTGCCCTATTCTACACAACTGGCTCCGTTGTCCGTCAAGAGTTGGCACATCCAATGGCTTCTACACGTCAGCTTGTACGGACCAGCCAGACAAGTTGTCTGTTCTGGGGTATTCCCTGAGAGAGGGGCCAACTGTCAGAAAAAAAAAATCAGCTGGCATCGCACGAAAATAGAGGGGACCGGAGGGCACCAGCCAGCCGAGGGCACGCTGATCTCCCTCATCACTCGCGTCTTGAGCCCACGATCCATGGTACAAACCTGGCTGAGCAGAGCTAGGGATGGATGCCAACTGGTCTTGGGACGCGCACCATTAACCAATCTATTCCAGAACGCCCGACAGACGAACCTTCTCGACTACGGCGCTTGGCAGTCACGTATCCTCCAGGCCATGTGGCAACCATCCGCTTGAAACCAGAGACGTCTCCGTGGTATCGGTCATTGGGGCGAATGCAAATCTTTACTCGAGTCTCGCCGGCCTGCGTCTTTCCTGGTCCCTGTCCTACCTGCCCTCCGCCTCGACTTCCCAACGAACCCCATCTTTCTGCCGTCTTGACCGGGATCAGCCATTTTCGCCGCCTCAGTGCAACGCCCCCCCCCCCCCAACGAAGACAGCCATCGCAAGCAGACATAAATGCCTCCATTCCGAACTTAATCACCCACTGTCAGGATCCTGCTCGCTCCCCCATCCTCGTTCATCCTAGGAGCTTGTTGGTTTCTTCTTTTCCGTTTTGCGCCAGCAGAACCAGACATATCCCACTAACCCCCTAGGGTCTCCCACATCAAGCCATCCCCGGCCATCTTATAAGTCAGTAAGGTGGCAGTCGTGGAGACGAGCTGTTTCTTGGACCGTTCTCCCCCAACACCCACACCGCCCTTGCAACGACCCGAAGTTCTTCAAGGGTGCCATCCTAGAACAAAGCCATTCTGTTATCGTGGATTCCCTTGTGTTTGAGCAGACGTCTTGCCGCATTTTACCAGGAATACTTGGCCGAAGATCATATCCCGAGGACTCTTTCCGGACACCCAGGGCTGACCTGCCCGCCTAAGGACTATTCTTATTTCACGTGGCTTCCGTCCCTGGACTCTTTGGAAACCCTCCAAAGCTCTGCTGCTTGATTTTTCTTATTTTCTTTCTCTACCGTTATGCCCCCGGAAGAAATGGCCCAGCCGGACTTTGCCTACAGACCATCAACCATGTCCAACGGACCGTGGAACTCGACGCGGAGGTACGGTCCGCCCTTTTTGTTCATTTCCTGAAGCCAGAGGAGGGAAAACTGACTAACGAGAGAAGTTCAATGTACAATGATACATTCCCGCCCGCTGGAGGGTTTGACAACAACTATTATCGCTCATCAAGGTAAGAACCAGACGTCGAATTAATTTTTTTGCCTTTTCTTTCACCGAAAGGAGCAAGCGAGTAACACCGTTCCTTTCAAAGCGTGTCTGCATACTCGCCCGGAGCCAGTAACTACAACCTGCCGATCGGAACAAATGCCCATGCTCCCGCTGCCGCCGCCGCCGTCGCCCCTGCGTACGGATCGCGCCCGGCTTCTAGCACATACGGCACCAGTGGTGCCGCTGCTGCCTATGGCTCGTACAAGAGTACGAACTCCCAGGCGTGGGACCACCAGGAGAGATACTCCCCAACGGACTCGGTCGACGACATTATTGCATCCCCAAACCTGTCTGACTACTCCCTCGAGAATGGAGCCGGCGCCACACCCCCGAGCAAGGGAAAAGTGAATGGGAAGGGTCGGCCCCAGCGTAGACCGTCTAACCGCGACGAATTCGACGGCCCGCATCAGTTTCTCGCCCGCCCGCCACCAGAATACATCGCCATGCAAGAGCGCGAACTACCTCACCTGCCTACAAACCTGCACGTGCAGGAGCAGGACCTGGTCCTCACTCAAGTAAACGACCGCCTCTCGCAATGCGCCTACGATTTTGTTGCGAAATACCAGTTTCCAATTCCCTTGACGCAAGACATGCGACCTGTAGAGAGGCCACAGGACCGGGAATGGACCGAGTGGGTCTATCTCTTGAAGCGACTGGCAACGAAGCGCCGTATCCCGGCGCGGGTGCTTTACAACGGACAGATCAAGCAGTTTGTCACGATCCTTGAGAACTCTTTGGAGATGCGGCATGCGGCCAAGCACCAGAGCCGACCATTGAAGGACGACCGCAATATTTTACAACTCATTTCGGCGGGCATCCAGGTGGCCAAGATCCTCAAGGACGCGAGCGCTATGGACTACCTCGACCGACTATACGTTTCTACGGAGAAGCAGATCCAAGACCGCGCGGCCGCGCGGTTCAGAAGCTAAACTGCTTCCATGCCTCTCACGTTACATGCCCAGATCGAACCCCGACAACGACGTGGCTCATACCCAGCCTCGACTATCGTCTCGGTGAACCGGGCTTATTATGATGAATCTTTACGGACCTTACGAACTTGAAAGTTATGGCAGATGGGCGGAATCCTTCTCGCTCTTTTAGAAGAGAGCTCAAAGAAGACTGTAGATGACTATGATACGGACCTCGGGGGGAGTAACAGGACGACAGGATCCCCCCAAAAGGCACGACGCAGGGAGAGAGAAACACCGCAGGCTAGCCTAGCTCAACCCTCCGTCGCTCGGCAAGCGAGCTGCGTCTTGTTTTGTATTTTTGCACTGGCAGAGAGATGGTAATGTTGCCCAACCCGTTCGGACGGAAGAGACAGAAGAGACCTCTTTGTTGCTATTCCGAATGAATTTCTTTTTTCGCATATACCCTACTTCCCCTCCCACCCCTTTTTATGGATTGGTTTCGCAAGCAAAAAAGGGAATGAGCATACAGGGAAGGAACGGGCGCTACGGGTTCCTTGGGGGCAGGGTGGAAATCGTCTTTGTACATCGTTGTTTGCCTTTTTTTTATCTTTTCTTTCACTCGGCTTCGTTGTTCCATCTCTTGCACTGCCATGGCGTGTTGAAGGAAGGGGGGGGAGGTGGCCCTAGAGTCGTTTCAAAGTGTCAAATCCTTTTATTATTCTTTCCTCGGCACACTGCGTCTTACACTGTGGGAGAGCTATCGGCCGGCTGTTTGATACTGGTTTGTGCCATATCTGTGCGTCTGCGATTGCTTGGGATTTGCGATTGTTTCCTGGGCGAGAGGGTAACTCGGGGCATATTTTGAATCTAGCTCACCACCTCTTCTCTATTCGAAATAGGTTGTGAGAGGCTATAGATGAATCTTCAGCAGTTTGGTGTCAGTGGCCGGCCCTGTGCTGGGCTCATTCCTTAGCACCAAAGAATTCCATGCAGTATCTCATTCGCCCGTGGGCGGAGATCCGGTCCTTTAGTGAACGTCACGACTTTGGAGAGAGGCCCTGCTCGATGCACACTGGTGGCTCGCCCTCTGGCACTAGGGAGTCCCCTTCCGCACACGTGGTCTGGGATTTCAAAAGATCCCAGTTGCTTTGCACTCTGGCACCGCATCTTGGTTCATCGGGGCGTGGCAAGAGCCAGTGCTGCCCCCTCGCCCAACGGCGCTTAGATTGGGCTGAAACGAACGGTGATCATCGGCCGACATGTGTCCTGCTTGCGTGCCTGACGGGGTGACTTGGGCTGGAGCAGTGTCAAGGGTGACGACGATCAACTTGGGGGGCTCGACTGCACCAAGGACAGGGAACGAGAGCCGCAGGTGGCCTGGTGCGAACTGTGAGGGAGGGGGGATGTCGCATCCCGCTGGATGGGTCCCCCGGGGAAGGAAGGATAAGAGACTGGGGGGCAAACGGTGAGCACCGGGGGGAGAGCAAGAGAGAGGGAGAGAGGGTGACACGCAGTAGATGCGATATGCGGCCGTCGCAGTACGCCTCAGGACGCCGCCTTGCTACTTCATTCTTCAGTTCTGCCGCCTACACGCAGATGCCGATGATCGCGCTTTTTTTTTTGTTGCAGAAAGCAGGTTCCCGAGCCTTATTCGAAATGCAGGTGGGTTTTTTTTCCGGCTGGAGGCCACAGTGACTGGGAACCGGGTTCGCAAGGGAAGTCGGGTTCTGGCCGAGCGTTCGAGGGCGATGGAATGAGGTTTCGAATGCTGGCTGACGATATATTGAATAAGCAAAAGCGTGTGGCAGGCAGGGTTGGGTGGACTATGTAGATGGTGTGTGGTCATGGCTCACTTGGTATGGCTGTCCCAAAGCCGGTGGAAGGTAGACCCAAGGAGGAATATCGGGGAAAGAATTCGGTGCAGGAGTTCACCCACGGATGTGGCGCTCACTGGGCTAACCTTGACAAAGTTGGTACGTTCCATTCTTGGTGTGTGGTGAGGGTGTCGTGCCAAGCAAGATAGTTCGGGCTCGGAACTCTGCTTTGTTGATTCGACGTTTGGGAGCCAGTTTCGTGTTGAGTTGGGTCACGGAGATAGCAGCGTACGGCACTTAGGTTGGCCTGTTGCTTCTGGATAGTCTGCCGGTGATCTCATACAACTTGAAACGTTCCGAGCCGCTGCCGGCGTGCGGTGTTTGCCGGAGGGACTTCGCGGCGGAGACGGGGGGCAGACTGGCAAGCACGGTAGGGTTTCCAAAAGGAGCGGAGCGGGTGTGCCATCTTGCGCGGCAGCTTTTACCTAACCGGGAGCGGCGGCTGGCGTGGTCGTCACTTAGCTTCGACACCGAACGAGGTTCGCTATGTGGGCTGGGCTGTGCCGGAGATAACATGTATTGCTACATGTAAAAAAAAAAGGAGTGTGTCTCGTGCGTACAAGTCCTACTCAAGCGCTGCGCGCGTACTAAACCTTATATTGACGGAGGATGCCACGAGTCACTCTTGCCGCACAAGGAGCCGAGTAGGTTAAGTTTATTGTACACTAACGTTGTACTTGAAAGCACTGGAAGGAAGAGGTTTTCCTCGAAGAGTTTGACGACAGACACTGTCGCCGTCGCACTTGCCGTCTAGGTATCGAGGCTGAAGACCAGGCAGGGTAGTTCCTCCAGAGACGTGCTCGGGGAAGGTTCACGATGGAACGCGGTGTTGAGGGCACGGGATATGGAGGGTTTGGTTTGAGTCAAGATCCGATGAGGGCTTGAGGTTACGAATGCAATGACACTGATATCGATGGGGAGCGGGATGAAACCCTGGTCGATGTTGGATAGTCGTCGATGGGAGAAAGGTATCTGGGGCTCGGGCTGGTTCGCTGATGCGCGCGCATCCGTCGATCTCCGAGATAGTCGTCAGAATTTACAAGATAAACTATCTTTTGGAATGCAAAGGGGGTTGATAAGCCGGTTGGAGTCAGGTCTCAGTTCCATCGATCCAAACTAGGTTGGCTGCAGTTCATCGAAGAAGGAAGCAGGGAGCGCGACCCATATCGGCTCGTTAAGGAGGGGACACCGGATCCTTCTTGTCTCCATGCCGAACCGACAGGACATTCGAGAGGTCTTGCCCTCCTCGCCACTGAACCACGTGCGTTCGCAGGCACCGAAGGAGCTTCGGTCACCCGGTGTGGGAGAGGGCGTTCCCGCACCGCCGACACCCGGTGAACGGCCGGTGATGCATCGGGCTAGCGAGGCCAGCGACCAATCAACGTAGATTATTGAAGCCCGCCCTCGGTCCCAGAAAGGGTTTAGCGAGCTGAGGTTGGGAGTTCGGAGGGGAGCGGAGACTGTAGTGTTTCTGGTCCAGCCATTAGTATCCGTACAGCAGCTGCAGATCTAAAAGGACTGCGCAGATGGATGGATGTGCAGCGGCGCAGGCATGGGGGTGACACAGCCGTCCACTCGTATTCATCCTGCTGGCCGCCCTTTTTCGTGCCCTTCTCCCATCGTTCCCGCTTTCCTGCATGCCTTTCCGAGCGGTAAAGAAGACGGGGCAAAAACGGACTGTCAAATTGACGACTTCTCGCTCGAGTACGCCCCTGGAGCACTTTGGTGATTGATCCCCTGTTTTCTCTTCTCCTTTTCTTTTTTTTAGTATTGAACGACGATTACAACGAATACGACGACGACGACGACGACGACGACGACAACGGCGACGACGACAGAAACGACAAGGACATACCTAGCGTTGGATTGGCCCGACGAAGTCACCCCCGCGCGCCAGTGTCTGGAATTCGTCAGCACACACAGTCCTCTGTCTCCCTTCGGCCAGCAGGCCATCCGACGTCAGAAGGAAAACAAGTTCGCTTCGATTTTTGATGAACCAAGGTGTTCCTAGCTCTTATCAACTCGGATCAAACGGCCGCTTTCAGAGTTTTTGGTGCTTTTCCGACTCAACGGCGAGGCGCTTCCAGCTACGATTCGTACGTCGCCCGAAGCAAACGTAAAGAAGAAACAGCCGCCACCAACTCACGCACCGCCGCCCGTGATGGCGTCCGTTTCCTCGAGAGGCCCGACGCCTCACTCCCCTTACGACGTCCAGTCCGCCGCCGACACGGACGAGTCGTGGCAATACCTGGACTACGCCTCGTACCCGGCCTCAGTCGGGTTCCTGCCTAGCCCGGCCAGCACAAGCTTAAACGGCTATGCCGTTGTCGGGCACCGCGTCAGCCCAGACCCGGTGGGCCTGTCCCCGCTGAACCTCGATCCCGACCCCGACCAGTCTGCTTTCTCCGCCGCGGGCTTCCCGGACCAGCCCGAAGCTTTTGCCGCCCCGGCCCCGTCCGCTAATGATCAGTTCGTTGCCTCCGGCCAGGAATCGGACTTTTTGACGCCGCAGGGCTATCTCTTCTCGGAAGAGCAGCTCAATCTGAAAGGTGAGCTTAGTCCTCGAATTGCGACTCGTTGTTTTTGCGCCACCCAACTAACTGGTTGCTTCTTAGATTTGACATCCTTCGTCAACTCATTCCAGACGAACGGGCCCCCGATGGGGCTGGAGACATCTCCCCAAAACCAGCAGGACGGCATCGATCTCTCACAAATATTCCCACCTGATGCGAACCCGGGCCCATGGAGTCCGACGAACCTCAAGGTCGACAATGGAAGATCCGTGATCTTTATGGAGGACCTCCCTTCCTCATCGCAGGGGTCCGCAACAACGAGCCCGCCTCACTCGAACCCGACCTCGCCTGATATCAAGCACGAGGCTGACAAGGTCACCGTATCCAGCCCCATCCGCAAGGTCATGGCCGGCAAGGTGGAGAAGAAGACGGCCGAGGCGGCGAGCAAGTTCGTCATCGTTACACCCCACTCTATCAACGCCCACTCGGGCCGGCCCAACCCGTTCGAGTGCTTCGAGGCCTTGAAGCCCCAGACACGCGGGCGCAAGGGCCCGCTGGCCAACGCCACCAAGGAGAGCGCCCTGAAGGTCCGCCGCCTGGGCGCATGCTTCTGCTGCCACAGCCGCAAGGTCAAGTGCGACTTACAGAGGCCGTGCAATAATTGCAAAAAGCTCGCGGTCCAGGTGCCGCAAGTCCTGTGCTGGCAGTTCGCCGACTTCCTCACCGTTCTGTTCCCCGACTTCATGCGGAGCCACTTCCGGAAAGACCAGATGTCCCGCTTCATGACGGAGAACGTCGATCTCGACGCGGTGGAGCTGGCGCCCCGCGAGATCGAGCTCTTCTCGGGCCTGCCGGCGACGCTGAAAATCAAGGCCAGGTTCTTCAAGCCCCGGACCGCCGACGTGCAGCAACATTACCATCTGCACGTGCAAAGAGACAGGGTGGACCTCCAAGCCAGAGGCACGGCCCCGATGGTGTTGGAGCTCGACTCGGTATCTCAAAGAGAGGCTCTGAGGAAGAAGGTGAAGGAGTATCTCGCCGAAATCGCTGCTGAGCCCAAGTACGCGAAATCGGTGACGGAGTCAATACGGCACACGGAGCTGCCGAGGAAAGTGTTGGACGTTGTGCATCAGTATGCCAGCAAGTCTGATGTAACATATCCCCTACCCATCTTGGCGCGTCCGCTTGCTAATACTGTCCACAGTCTACAATGGTCAAGAAAGCCTTAGCGATATACGGCGCCCACTTTGTCATGACCCGGCACCTCTGCATCACCCGGCCGAGCGTCGTCAGCCTGCAAGACTCGGGTCTCGTGCCGCAGGAAGTGCCGTGGGTGACACCGCGCGTCCTCAACCGGCAGATCAAGGCGGTGATTGACGAGCTCTTGATGAAGGACATGCAGCGCCTCTTCGAGTCCTTTTCCAAGTCGCTCAAGCCCAAGTCGCGGGCGGAGTGGGCGCCGTGCATGGCGTCGTTCCTCGTGCTCTGCCTGTTCATGGAGTCACTCGAGACGGCCGCCGACACGTTTGTCGTGGCGCTCAAAGAGATCAGCCTGCGCAACCACACGGTACCCGAGTACAAGCGCGAGGACGCCCTCAACATCAATCGGGAGGTTGAGAACATGCCATTCAAGCAGTTTGCGTACCAGTTCCATCATACCTATCAGACGCACAGCCGTGACGCATCAACGAAGCCGTTCAATCCCATGCTGGACAACTCGTGGGCAGAGCAGGGCGATCTGGACGGGCCGGCGATGGAGATGGTGATGAGGCTGAAAGAGTTGATCCAAGGCGATGATAAATGTAAGGCTTCCCGAGGCCCCCCCGCCAGTGGTCAAATCGTTGTTATTGACGTCGTATTTGCAGACACCGAGTTGGACAATTTGGCGAAGGACCCCATTCTTCCCAGCAACGGCGAACAGCACCCGTTCCCCCGCGACGTTTCGGTCAATTACACCGGTCGACTGGTGTCCAGGTTCTTGCTGTCATTTCTGGACGAGAAGTACATATTTGGCGAGAACACACTTTGACGAAGTTGATGTTATGGCATGCGAGTTTTTTTTATGGAGTTAAGGTTCCGAAACGCGCCGTCAAATACCCTTAGGATTTTATCGGGCAGTCAATGGCCCATAATCACGGATGGGATGAATGACACTGGCATAATGGATGATGCTCATAATACGCGCACAAGGGAACACACCAGTCGCAACTCGAGCGAGAGAGACGTGATATGTTTGTCCGATTTTAGTCCTGGAGCCACACATGTTCTCAATGGCATCAGGGTGGAGCGGACCGGTTGTCTAGACCGTTGGTTTTGTTCTCCCACTCGAACGATATAAAAAGTAAATGACACTCTCGCGTACTGAGATCGCGAGGTGTAGGTAAATCGTGGGGTTTGGTCAGTCGTGACCGATGTTGATGACGACAAGACTCTCCGGTTCTTCGCGTGCATCCGCCGCCGTTGGCATCGGCACTTGCGCAATGTTCCGACCGACGGCGGATTGCTTCAGATTCGACGTGAGCTCTGTCTCGCGATGTTACGAGACAAGTCTGACGCCAGTAGACTGGAAGGACCATACATAGGAATCCATACCCCGATAGGGAATTAGGGGGTTGCAAGCGAAGTCCGTTTTGGAGTGTTGATGAAGGACGGAGAATGAGGATGAAGAGGGGAGGAGCGCGAAAATATACTTTCCCGAGAAAAACAGGTCGGCTGGGAATGTGGAGACGGACCTTCCTCAATCACGGGTTGACGAGGTGCTAGCCCTGATTGGTGCAAGCGCGCTTAGGCAGCACTGCTTACTAACCAGGCCACCAGAAGGCAACGACATCTCTCGCAAACTACTTAGGCCGCGGACCACGCTCCGCCCGTTCCTTGTTTCCCCTTCTTCCTCCTTACACACTTTGCACCAAAATAATCAACCAAACACCGACGTACTTTTTCCAGTTGTGTTAGGTCAGTTTGCGTGCTAGAGGGAAACTGGGCTGTGCCTCCCATCCAATTTTCTCGCGTTCTGGTTCCGTCAATCATGGCGGTGCACTTCACCGAGAAATGTCAGTGGGGGCGTGATTTCCGACATATAAAAAACTTGTTGCCGTGACCGTTTTCTTCCGTCTTGTGTCTACCTACCTTACCTACCCGCCTACCGTAGGTATCTATCTGCCTGGTAGGTACTGCCCCCCCGGCATGCCTTGCCGGCCAGTATGAGTCAGCCTTAGGCGATCGATCAGAAATTGATTGATGCCTGTTGCACGTGCCCAGGGTTATCAATGTTGCTCATCCGAGCAGTGTCAGATCCCGGCTTGGGATTCGACGTCTCTCTTTCATCATTATTCCGCTTTCCTATCTGCCCCAGCAGAAGGGCGCATCTGAGCCCTCGGCGTATCCTAACAAGGCGCAACCACCCCCCCCCTTCGAATGGTCCTTTTTGCCGACAAGCGTGAGTGCGCGCTCTTTTGCAATGGATGCCTTGGTTAGTGACACACACGCGCATGCGCAAGGCGCGCACATGTCAGACCCGTGACTCTGAAGTCTCCGTCTCTAGGGGGTTTTCTAGTCTTGATATTGCACTGCTTTTTTTCAGGCAGCTGCCCCCTCCTGCCTGGAAAACTGGGGACCCATCTGGATCCCCATGCCGGTATGACACAGGCAGTACACGGCCCCAGCCTCCCCCAGTCCGCAAACAGCATATCATCTCATTGTGATGTATCTCGTTGATTCTGAAAGGGGAGTACCTATCGCACTGGGGTATTTTGCGTTGCCAATGTCAGTACTTTTGATCTGACTCATTTGGTAGCGGATGGCCTCGGTCTGTCTGCCTTGCCGCGGCGGGGTCCAATCAAGTCTGGAGGGGTTCGATATCAAACGTTAATTCAAGGCATCCAGTCCAATTGCACCTCACTTTGAAATGCGCCGGCCAGGAACGAATCAGATCACCTTAATGCCTAAAATTCCGGAACGTCCATGGGCTGCGCAATACAAGGGTAGCTGTATTGCACAAACGCGCGCCATAGGCTGTCACGGGTTTCTAGACTTGTATGTGGCGAAGGTGCCGTTATGGTTTTGAAGTTCGACATGGCTGTGTGAGCAGGCAACGTGCCATGGCTCGAGATTGGACTAGGCGGAAGTTTGAGGCATTGTCTTGTCTGCCTCCAGAGGCATATTGTCCTGTCTTGAGTGTGAGTCAATTTGAGGCCGTGAACCTCATTTCAGGATATAAAACCTTGGTTGATGCCTTGGACTCCTGGACACAATCCGCACACACTCAAACCAACACTCACACGCCTCCGTCACAAGACACGCACTGCCTTATATTCCTTGACTCATCCAGCACTCTCTGCCAACTACCAACGCACCAACACACCAACAATGGTCTCTTCTACTTCGACTGCCTACAAGATGTACTCCAAGAACGGTGACGGTGATTCCACCACCTATCCCACCGACCCCCGTAAGTAGTTGCCAACGTACGAGTAATTCTATCTGGAGCCTCAAGCACTAACCTTGGACAGTTCCCGGCCGATAAGTAGCGCCTGGCGCAGGCCGACACAGGTCTTGACGACAGACAAACATCTTATCTCAACGGCGTTTACGGGAATCTACACATCATAAAAACACGGCATCATACAATACGAGCATGTCGTTCGCCACGCGGCCTTCAATTGGCTCGGTCCACAATATGTACTTTTAGAGGGAGGGAAATCATGCGGTTCATTTTACAATGGCAATACTCCGGGCATAGGGCTGAAGGTGGGCAGCAGACCAGACTGCATCGGAGTGACTGCCTGAGACCTGAAGCCAGCCTGATGCGGTACCTTGCATTACACCGCGGCGTTTGATATTTGCGGCACTATCTATTGGGCAGTGAGCTCATGTACTGGGGGGTGTACACTACAAACAAGAACTACTTCCATCATGATAGGGGGTAGTACGGGTGGGACTTAACATGCACATTCAACCACTCTTCATGCAGACGAGGGTTCTCTTCAGTTTCTTTCTCATCCAGTGACCAGCCTCGCCAGCCAATACCAGGCGTCCCTCATCCGCTTTAGGCAATCGTGACATGTCGTTTTGGTGGTAGGTCTACGCCCTTCGGGGAGGGGACTGAGGGGTGGCGGAAGCGGCTGTGGCGGGATCTCGGGCCAACTGGTGTCGTCCGACGAATTCTTGATGACAAGGGGTTGCGGTCGTTTGGCGGTGGGCTCGGGGCGCATTTTATTTCTGGACTGAGGCGTGCGTGGGATGCTTGATGCCTTGTCATGGAATACACCAATGTCTTAAGCGTCGAATCGTGTCTCGTTTTTAGTTGAATAATCTGCCGATGTTTTGTGAATGCTGCTTAGTTGCCAGACAAGCCGTCTTGTTTTATACTAAATCCTGCGCATCAGTATAAAATTTCCAGTTCCGTCAAATGGTCATGTGCTAAGTTTCTGGAAGTATCAAGCAAAGATTTATAAGTTAGGATATTGCTTGGTCAATCCAGAGCCACCAGCGATCAAGCCCGTAAGTCCAGATGACCTGATCACTTGCTTCCGTAACGATGCCATGTGCCGTTAAATCTTGATTAAATCGGCGTGGGGTGCTCATTTGGGTGACTTAGGGTTTCTAGAAAATACTCCGAGTCTCCTTTTGTTGCATGTGCTGCCGTGAGGGGCAGCAGATCGTGGCAAGGTAACACCACCATCACCTTCCAACAGGGCCGGGCCGACCCAACCCAAATCTGCGGAAAGCACCCCATTCCAACGTACCTTGTACATATGCACATGATTGTCGTATTTCCATTTCAAAGAAAGATTGGTTGCCTTTATCTCTTGTTGCGCCGTAATCAAGCGGTCGTGCCAACAAGAGATGCAGGTAGCATACAACCAAGCATCAGTATGCGGAAATATTTCATCAGTTGAAAGAGATCAAACTCTATCAAATGGGCCATGGGTTCCATCGAAAGCTTCCAGATTAATTGTAAAAAGAATTCTTACAATCACTTGATGAATATTCTCTTGTTCCACCTCCAACCCTCCTTTGTGACTATGTCACTAATGCCCCCTTTCCTGCAGGTTGGTCCCCCGCCTCTTCATGTTAACCAGTCACAGTTGAGACTAATATAATTCCCGGTTGTCTAGAGGACAAGGATGGAGTGCCTGTGGGTGTTGCACGGTATAGTTGCCAGCCGTGATGGCGTTGGAGCCTTGCAGTGACTGCCACCCTCCTGGGTGGACGGCCTCCCGCATGCAAACAAGCATATGCCACAACGTTGCTCATTGCCTTCAAAAACCGATAATTTCCTCTCCTTCCACATTCTCTCATTCTACTTCCGAAAGATACCCAGGATATTCTCTCGATATCCCGCTCTCTACCATCAATACCAAGGAGGCACAAGCAACCTCCCTCAAGCTTCTCTATTCATCATGGACGTCAAGGATGTTTCTGAGGTCGAGGAGTTCTCGGCATACTTCAAGCAGCTGCAGATCACTGCGGAACGGGCGAGGAGCATGAAAGGACGAAGTCCTCGTGATCATCCTTCACCTGCGATGCTCGTCAGCGATTTCAACATGGAGCGGGCCCGGGCTATGATGGAGTTGGCCATGGAACCTGGGAAATACTACATCAAGACTTCACAGATGCCCCCGGCATACCTCCCATGCACCCGACCTACGAACGAGCTCCAGCCCTTGATGATCTCCAAAATGCGGTTGGAGGAACATCACCGTGGTACATATATCCTTGTCCGAACCATGACGATGCCCCACAAGATCAACGTCGTTATGGCCATCGTGGAAGACGAGGAGGGCACGGCGGTTCTGCTCCAGCTTTACAACCAGCCAGAGGAGCCAGAGTTCAATATCGAAGATATCCTACCGCAGCACAGCGTCTGTCTCATCAAGGAGCCCTTCTTCAAAAGGAGCACAGACGGCAAATACAGCTTGCGAGTGGACCATGTTGGAGACTTCTGTCTGCTTGCTAGAGACAATGAGCGCATCCCAAACCGATGGAGATCAGCACTGCGTTTTGTCCCTGACTCGGAGAATATTCGATCGCGCGGAAATGCTGCGGTCGGACAAAAGAAATGGGGAAGAGCAGAGAAGCTGTGAGTACGATGGCGTAGAATTACCGTCGGCACCAATGTGACCTGCCGCTAACTCAAGGCAAGCTATACTGAGGCAATCGCTGCTGCTAAAACACCAGAGCACAAACGCGCGGCTCTTCTCAACCGCTCACTAACTAATCTGCGACTTCAACGACCCGAGAAAGCGCTGCTCGATGCTGTCCATGCCCGCAGCGGTGACACTCCGACCGAGAAGGGGCTGTTCCGGGAAGCCAAGGCTCACTATGCACTGGAGCAGTTCGGCCTCTGCGCCGAGAAGCTGCAACAAGTTCTGGCATTGAACGCCGGAAACAAGGATGCAGAGGCGGAACTTGAGCGGACCAGACGCAGGATCATCGAGCAAGCGACTGGGGACTTCGGGTGGAAGCACATGCACAAGCAGGCCAAAGAAACCCCCCCAACTATCGACTGCGCGACTTACTCCAGCCCTGTCGAGATTCGCGACTCCCCCGGACGTGGAAGAGGACTCTTCACGACAAAGGCTGTCAAAGCTGGAGAGCTGCTCCTCTGCGAGAAGGCCTTCTCGTACGTCTTCGCCGACGAGAATGACCCCGCCGCTTCCAAGAACCTGAAGATCTTGATGAACGTGGTCTCAAAGAAGATAACAATGGGTGGGCAAGCAACACTCATTTCCACCGTCGTCCAGAAACTGTACCATAATCCCGAGGCCGCTTTGCGCTTCACGGAATTGCACCACGGAGACTACGAGGTAGCGAATGCCTCTCAAGGAGAACAGGTCATGGTTGATACGTAAGTGAAGGTTTCGTACCATATGCTCTTTGATAGCACAGCTGCTGACATTCTCATAGGTTCCTTGTCGAACGTATCATCAGCCTCAACTGCTTTGGCGCTCCGCGAACGACCCTCGAGTACTTGGAGAACAAGGAAAACCTACGTCAAGAGGACAAAGACCAGACTACCTGCGGCATCTGGACCACAGCATCCTTCATCAACCATTCCTGCATCGGCAATTGCTTCCGCTCCTTCATTGGCGACATGATGGTCGTGCGAGCTGGCAGAGACCTCGATGCCGGCACCGAATTGCTGTTCAGCTACCGACTGCCCGAAGAGGGAGCAGACTATCAGGCCACCCAGACTGGTTTGAAGCACTGGGGTTTCATCTGCCGTTGTGAACTCTGCGAAGAGAAGAAGGCGACCTCGAAGCCAGTGTTTCAGAAGCGCCAGCGGCTTGTGCAGGACTTGAAGAGCTCAATGAGAGCCTGCAGAACTGCAGCCCATGAGACCAAGGTGCTCAAGCTCCTTTCCCAAGTGGAAGACACCTACCCCAATGGTAAGGGAACGCTGCGTTTGGAGACCTGGGAGACCTACGTCGTACTGGGCCAGAAGCGCGTTGACAGAAGGAAGTTCGTCCAAGGCCTCGAGTTGATGGTCAAGGGCCTCGAGGCCCTCGGCTTTGAGGTCGTGGCCTACCCCCTTGGAAAGGCCTCTGGCAAGCCAACGCTGGAGATCAAGAAATGGGGCCAAGCCAACAAATATCTCGTCCAGGCCTTTCTCATGATGTCCCACACTTACGCAAATCTTGCGCCCGAGTTGTGCCGGGTCGCAAGAAGCTATGCTGAGACTGTGTACGCTATCACGTATGGAGAGAAGGACACGATCGGTACCGTATTCGAGGACTTCAAATAGTCGCGGCGTCTAAAGGGGGCTGCAGAGGGGCGTAGAGGTTGGCTGTTGCTCATAGAATAATTGGGTTTGGCGCAGATCTCGGCTCTCGTCAGTCAATACCTAGGCTAGGTAGCCAGGCACTTCTATAACTCAGATATTGGGATCACGGTGAAGCCAACGATGGACATTTCTCCGCATTGATGCTGTTGAATGGTTGGTTAACTGTGTATCCATAGCTTGTTGCTGGTTAGGGCGTTGAGAAGGTACCTCAGACAGAGAAAGACTTCCACTTGATACTCTGTCCCATTGTACGTATGGTTGTGACTTGTAATGGGACACTACAGTACGTTATCCAGGCGGTCCCTCTTAAGGTCGCACAGGTACACAATGATAGGTGTAAAGTTACCTTGCTTACTTAGTCAAGCCCGTGCTGATTCTGCTGTTACTGTACTGTAGCAGGTACGTATATTTGTTGTTGTTGTATCTAACGCCAGGACGTCCCTATTTAGGGCAAAGGGCGCCTACTGCTAATCCTAGGGCTTACGTTGCCTACATACATATAGAGTGGTATAGGATAACAGTGCTATAGGCACAGAGGGTCCTTTTTGCCTTTAGGGGTAAGAGTTTAATCTAGTGCTAGTTTTAGTACTAACTAGTGCCTAAGGCTCTAGCATAATTTTCCTTATAGGAGTAATATTAAAGTGCTCCTGTCTAGCACACCTTTAGGACCTAAGCCCCTAGCCTGCCTAGAGCCTTCCTTTCTTATAAAGGTCTATTAGATATACTTTTACTTAGCTAGATTCCTTATTATTCTTCTTATTAGTACTAATTTATTTAAGTTTTTACTAAAGTAAATAATTATACTAAGAAAAACCTTTATAAAGAAAAAAAAAACCTAGTATAGCTAGTTAGCTTATATAGTAATATATAAAGTAAGGGTTATTATATTAGCCTAAACTCTCTAGAAAGGCTTTTAGCTTGTCTCTTTAGTATAACTTATTTATATAAAGGTGTGATAGTAAAGAAGAGGTATGTTATTATAGTAGTGTTAAGAATAGATTTTACTAAAAGAGACTATATTTATGTACCCTATTAGGGATATAGGGCGTCTTCTATACGTTTTTCTAACAGAGAGGTCCGTGCACCTATGGGTTAAAAAATAAATAGAAGGGAGAGTTGGCAGGTACGTATAAGTACCGCCTAGGTTGTTGGTAGGTACCTCGGCACCAGGCCTTTATAGCGGGTTTCTGAAAGTTACGGAAAGCCCCCCCCTGCTCAAGTTTAATTGCTAGCATCGCGTTATCGTAACCCGCCTCGGACGCGTCAAAAAGCCCACAACTTGCCATGGAGCTCTCATCGCCCCTGTCGGACGTGTCCGCTATATCGTCTCCAGCGTCGTTTCGGACTGCATTCCAGTCACCCGATGTCGCTCATGCAAAGAGCGCAACTGGAACTCCCGCACAACTCAAGCCCATGTATTCCCCCGCGAGCCAGCTCCCTCGCGAGCTGAAGGAGCACTGTCTAGTTTACTTGGAAGAGCATCTCTGTATATTCGCATCCCGCCCACAACCACGGCAACTCCTGCTGACAGGCATCTAGACAGTGGCGCGCTCGGCCTCTATCATGGCCTCCTCACGGCAGGCCACTCGCGAAAGGACAAAGTCAAGAAGCCTGTTCATGTCCCGCCGCCGGCCCACCTCGCCCTCCTCAACACGCTGGCCATCCATCCGAGCCACACGACCCGAGCCGCCGGGTCCGAACGTCTAGAGATCGGCTCGCAGGCGCTGGCCTACCTGCGGAACCTTCTCGGCATTGCCGGCCCCGTCAATGCCGGCCTTAGGGATGCGTTCCAGTTCCACGGCGCACAATACGGCCGCCGGAATCGATACCACGAAGAAGAGGATGTCGACCTCGAAGGAGACCAGATAGCCAACAACAAACTCGCTAACGAGGAGAGCATATGGCACCGCGCGCAGGACTTCTGGTCCGTCGTGGGCTGGGCCTTCAACTGCAGCAGGATTCACCCCCATCGTTGGCGCTTCTGGAAGGTCTGGCTGGAGTTCATGCTGGACGTCCTCGAGACCGACGTGTATGAGCGGAAGCGCATGGACGAGGACGCGCTTACCTCTCCGCAGGAATGGGCCAACATGAGCGAGTCCATCCTGGTCATGTATATCCGGCAGAAGACCGACTCCGGCAGGGGCGCTCTGAGGATGATCCTGCAGGCCGTGTTCGCCGATGGCTCTACCTCGTACATGGCTAAGTTTCCCGAGGTGTTCAACAAGGAGACAAAGGGACTCGCGAGCGACGACAAAAAGCGCAAGCGAATGGCCACGCTCGACATCGAAAACGACCAGTTTGGCGACTACTTCAACGACCCGACAGACTCTGAGCCTTCGGAAACGGGCTCGCCTGGAACATCGCGCACCTCGCGCACACCGCAGACCAAGTCCGAAGAGGCCATTGTGCCCGTGCTGGCCGAATCCATGCCTCTCCGCCTGCGGTTGATGGAGCTCATGTCCGAGGTTGCCTACAACCTCCCGGAGACATTCATGGACCACAATGATTACGCGACGGAGCTGTGTAGACTGCTCAAGCAGCAGCCCCTATCGTTCTTCCATCAATTCATCACAGATATGAACGTCTACGTCCAGCGCTATGACGGTGCGTTCAAGATTGACCTCCTGACCATACAGCTGGATCAGCTGCTTCCCAGCGGATACGTGGATCCTAGGAAGGTTTGCAAGGGCGAGAGCAACGGCATCGTCATCAACGTCGACGTTCTGGAGCAGTGCTACCTTGGTACGAATGCTAACACCATCGACCCGGACGACAACGCCAGGGTGGCGCTGATCCTTGAGAGCCTGCTCCACATACTCCCCGCGGAAGGCATCAGGGAAGCCAGCGACCGGCTCCGCGAGGCGACGGCCCAAGGCATCGAAGCGCGCGAGGCGAAGGCCAAGGGCTCAGGCAGGAGGGGCGCGACGACCGCGACCCGTACGGGCCGCGGCAGGAAGGGCCCAAATGCGCGGGACCTGCTTGCCAGGGAGATGATGGACCTAGCGGGAGAGCGTATGTTGCTTTACATCGACATCATAGCCGCACATACTTTTGATAATGGTGAAGATAAAAATGATGAAGGGGACCATATCATGGAAGACTGAAAGGGCGTTTTCGCGAGAAATCTGGGGGAAATTGCATTTGCTACAGAAGGGGAAAATTAGGCGTATACAGGAAGATACCCATACTCGGAATTATAGAGGATCGGAAAGGAAAAAAAAAAGCTTTATCTACTGGGGATTCATTTGTCCCTTCTGTCGTGTGCTTTGGTTCCCTGATCATTGGGGGACGACAGCTATACAAGTCATAATTAAGCAGGGGTAGCTGATTTCGTGGGAGCGAAAAAAAAAAACCCTCTAGAAACCCCGCCAAAGTTTGTCACTCACTTGGTCTCTCGACCCTACAACCCAAGAAAAGCCGTTAAAACGTGACGAGCACGAGGAATCATAGAAAGCCAAAATGCCGGTGAGTGAGAGAGAGAGAGAGAGCCAATCGAAGGAAGCCAACGGCGCAAGTTCACTGACACCCGCACGATAGTTGATCGTAGTGTCGGGCCTCCCGACGTCTGGCAAAACGCACCGCGCGAAGCAGTTGCAAGCCCACCTCGCCTCCCGCATCGCGGCTGCGGCCGCCTCCTCCTCGACGCCGGCTGAGGGCGGCAAGCAGCCACCGTACAGGCTCCACTACATCTCGGACTCGACCCTCTCGATCCCGCGCGACGTCTATGACCTCGACCCGCAAAAGGTGCGCGCGCACACGCGGTCGGCCAACGCCTCGGAGAAGGACGCCCGCGCCGCCGTCTACGGCGCCGTGAAGCGCGTGCTCTCGGACCGGGACATTGTCATCCTGGACGGGCTCAACTACATCAAGGGGTGGCGGTACCAGCTGCACTGCGAGGCCAAGGCCGTGAAGACGCCGAGCGTGGTGCTCCAGATCGGGTGCGGAGTGGATAGGGCGAGGGGCATCAACGAGGAGAGGTTGAGGAAGAGGAGGAGAAGAAGAAGAAGCGAGGGCGAGGGTGCCCCTACGGCAACGGCAGCGGCGACGGCAATGACAACAACAACAGCGCCGGCGATTACGACTACGACTACGACCACGGGGACGGCGGAGGACCCCGCCACGAACGACAGGACAACGACAGACGCCGGCGGTGGGGAGGAGGAGGAGGAGCCTTACGAGCCGGACAACTGGGAAAACCTCGTGCTTCGGTACGAGGAGCCGAACCCGATGACGCGCTGGGACAGCCCGCTATTCACGCTCATCTGGGACGACGACGCCGCGCAGGCGGCCCGGGTCTTTAACGACGTCTGGGACGCCATCGCGGGGACCGGGCGCAAGGCCGTCAAGCCCAACCAGGCGACCGTCCAGCGCAGCCGCGACGCCGGCGGCGACTACCTGTACGTGCTCGACCGTGAGACGCAGGACGTCGTCCGGCGCGTGCTCGAGGCGCAGGGCGAGGGCGGGGAGGATGGCGGGGAGGTCACGGTCCCGCGCGGGGCCGCGGGGGCGGGAGCGGGAGCGGGAGCGGGGACGGACGAGGGCCTGGTCGTGAGGCTCCCCGGACGTAAGGTCGGGCTGCCGCAGCTGCAGAGGCTGAGGAGGGCCTTTGTCGGCCTGAACCGCGGGGGCATCGGGCTCGAGGGGGTCGGGAGCTTCAGCGTGGAGAGGATGAGGGAGAGTTTCGTTGGGTACCTGAACGATTCGTTCGACCAGGAGGGCTGAATAAGTGCGGCGTGGGAGCCGTGCTGGCACCTCGAAGGTTACTATACAATTGATACCCCCCCTCCCGCGCGCGTTCCTTTCTTCCTTTGAGATTGTTCGCAAATCAACGCGCAAGAATGTTTCCCGTGTGAGGCTCTCATGAGATCATGCGCCAAGTATAATAACAGTAAGGCACGGCGGCTGGTCTGGCTCGCCATTTAGAGCTCTACCTGTTGTCACCACCTCGGCAATAACCCCTTGTAGGCACACCTGCCTTGGTGTACAAATAGTGACCCCCGCCAATGCATTCTGGCAGGCAATAGGTCGTATGAAAGCAGCCGGACTTGATTGGGGCATTCGCAACTCGCATTTCATCATTCATTCAGCGTCTGGACCGTCATGGTCCAGGCATCGACGGCAAAACAGGCTTGACTGTAGCTCAGCGACGCCGATCTAGTGGGAAATGCCGTAAGCCTCCCGGCCCGCATCGTCCTCACGCGCATTGGCAAGCCCGTACAGATGCCGGGTGTTGGCAATGCCTATGCGGCTATATTGCCATCCCACTGTGGATGGAAACTTGGCGTGGAAATGTGGCCAATCGCCCACCAGGAGGGACACAACAGAGGACGCGTGGTGCCTGTGGCGCGTGGTTATCTCTACGAAAGCCGGTATTTGGTTCTCTTTCGGGCGGAATTGCTCGTTCTCCAACACCAGATCAGGAGATTACTGCGTCACCCCTTCCCTTGATTGGCACAGCTGAGGGGTTGGGGCGAGGGTCGACAGCACACGGCTCGGGAAGCCTGAACAGCCTTGGTAGAAGCATATCTCAGTGAAACGAAACTGGTGCTGGAACGACTTGAAGAGCCGCCCGGATTCCGAGCAAGGTGGCGGCCCTGTTCCGCAGTCCTGGGTCAGGGCAGATGCGGCTCACCAACCGGATAGCGCACGAGCGGCCTTGAGACGTGTTTCCGCGGTCCGTTCCACGTCACGTTTGGGACAGCCCAGATGAGCAAGACAGCAGCATCGTCGGGGTGCCGCAACTTCCTCAGAGCTAAGGACCTATTCTCGATTACGAAGCGAAGAGAGCAGATCGGCCATGTGCCAAGGGAGGACAGAAATGATGGAGATGGGGCCATGATGGGCTGGTCAAAGTGCACCTCGGATGGCTAGAATGTGAAAGCGGAGAAATGGCCAGGGATTCCCAGGAGATGGAAACGAAGGCGCCGGTGTGGCATAGCCTAATCACCATGCTGGTGGTTGACAGTGATGCGACTCAGGGTACGTTTGGCCAACCTTCCTCGAAAGGCGGCAGCTCCCGGAGGCGATACAGGTGGTCGCTTGCTGACCGGTGCACATGCGTGCCGATCAGGGAGGGGCCCGTTCAAGTGAGACGGCCACTTTGCCGCCGGCCTCTGGCCATCCGACAGCAGAAAAGTTGTCTGACACAAATGAAGTAAAAAGAAAAGAGATTGAATAACAAATGAATAAGGCCAACAAGTCATGTACCTTTGAATGTGAACTAACACGATGAGGGGTCTCAACGTGGGTATTTGGGAGACTCGATAGGGCAACTTGTGAGCGGGCCGCTGCGGCAATCTCGACGAGAGTAGGGATAAAGCAAGCTCTATGGTTGGATCATACTGCTGACGTCAGAGCGTGGCACGAAAGGCGTGTACAGATGCAGTTCGTCTGGAACAACGTCAGATTTTACAGTTGGACGGGAGGATTCAGATACTCTTTGTGGCGGCGGTAGCGGCAGCGGCAACTCTCCCCCAAGCCACGCCAGAGAAAATAGACAATGGATGGGAATGAAGGAAGGGGAAAGAAGAAGGAAGGGACGATAGAGACGGACGGGAGAATCGCCAAGCCTGTGGCCGGCCACGAGCGATAAGCTTTGCCAAGAGAACCAAAGCCAAGACGGGCAGGTGTGGGAAAAAGGCCGGGTGGGACTGTGGGTTTGGGTTTTTGGGTTTGGGGGGAAAAAGTGAAGTACCTACACTACGAAGCATGGGGACTGGGGAGGAAAGGAGAAGGGAGAGGGGGGAAAGCCAAGAAAAAGTTCAAGCCACCCGCCAGCCCATCGTCGATTGCGGGCCAAGGAACCTACCGGTACGGTTAAAGAAATGAGCAAAGCAGGGAAGGTATGGATGGATGGTTGAGTCTCGCGGGCCAGACCACACACCTGCCTACCTAGGTAGGTACTAATACAGGGCACATCCCATATCCAGAGCACGCCCGGACATTGAGGCGCCTGCTCGTTCGCCTGCAGCTGCAACTTTGCGTTGGTGCTATATGTGGTAGCATGTGCGAACCTAGACGATATTTATTGTACATTGTACGACTGTGGTGGTCTGCGGGGTTCGATGCAGCCCACACGGTCCGAAACCGTTCATTGGCTCAGGTAATGAATGGTATGGTGTGAGGTAGTAAGCCAACATCAGGTTTTGATCTGAAGGTCACCCGCCTCCCGAGAGCGAGTTTGTGTGGCACGGCTTGCACGGATGGGTCTTTGACAGGGCATGGCAGCAGCGCTTGCGTAGGGTGCTCTGCAGCAACGTACGATTAGAAGTTAGATGTGGTCGTCGCTTGTAGGTGGTGTGCCTTGTGTATACTATGTATATCGACGATGCCACGGACGACTCGCTGGTGGGCTGGTTGATGACCATCGACGTGCCATTCCCCTAACCAGCTCGACAGCGAACGCTTACCGAGTATCCGTAACGGCTTTTGATTGAGGGGGAAGCGACGACCCAGTCAAGGTGGTAGGCACAAGATTGGCCACCCAACCCCTACAAGCCATTTGCCCGTTAGGACGTTGGTCCGCGACCACGGGCTGCATGTGATCCGTAATTCTGGTTCAGGATGTGCCCCCATTGGACAACACACGAACAGATGGGGGTGGGCCGAAGGGCGAGAACACGTCTCCCCCACACAGTGCCGGATCCTTCCATGGGCAGCTCCATTCCATCATTTCCCCATTCAGGCCAGTGGCCGTCGAAGCAAGGCAGGGCAAAAGGTGGCTAGGCTTCTTTCGGGCAGCGGACGCGTTCGCAAGGCCTCTTCTACATAGTAGTCCACCTTTGACCACTTTACCCAGATGGTGTCCACCGTCGACAATATCCAACCGTCCAACAGACCTACTACCTATGTAGGTAGGCATACGCAGTATACGTGACCATCACATCATGCCTGGCTTTTTCCACCAGAGATCCAGCGGACGTCGCCCGGTTGTTAGGCGCAGGTCGGGGACGGCGACTACGGGCGGCACAGCAGCACACACCAGTTTTTAGAGTTGGCGGAGCCACGATAGACGAGGATCGGGTTGATGTCACCGCTTCCCCTCAAACCCTCCTTCTCAAATGTTTTTGTTTTCGTGACTTCAGCATTTTGATGCGACGAGGGTATGCCAAATTAGAATAAAGTTGGGAAGGGGACGCACACTTTGTCAGCCCTTTCTTTTACCCTTTCCTTTTGTGTTTCAAAGAGCCAAGACAAAACGCCCTGGGTCCAAGGGACCGATGGCGGCCGTCTGAAATCCCGTCCTTGATCAGTACGACTTTCGCCTTTCTTGTCTCAGGGCGTTTTCCTCGAGGCGCGGTGGGGGCCTTACCACTTTCCGCTTGTACGTGCACTTACTTACTATGTACGCGTGGGCACAGGCCATGTAATACATAGTACTGTAGCCCGCTCAGTCTTCGTAGCGTTGGGCGTACTCCGTACAGTGTCTCAGTTATCGCGGCAGTACGTTCACGCCAGTAGGTTACGTATTCCTGCGGTGCGTCGCGAGGGGAAGAAGAGAAAGAACAAGAAGAAGGCGCGAAGGGGGAAAAAAGAAGAAGAAAAAGAAAAGGAAAGACAGAGCTCCCCAGCGCGTCCTTCACTTCTCAGTACACTGGACAAATACTACTATCTGCAGACAATACCTAGGCATACATTCGAACATTCTCTCTTGGACGCTTTGGGTGCCGTCGCGATGTCATACCCTCCAGTCTTGGGAACAATCCTCTTGTCAAAACGTGCTCGAGCGACAGGTGACTTGCCCACTTGCCAACTTCCCCTCCCATCCTTTGTCCGATCTCGATGGCTGGGTTACCGAGGGCTCCAGTGAAGAGAGTCTTTGCCCGTCTTCCTCTTTATGCGATAGGATTGGACCTTACTCTCGAGTTTCTCGGTTTCTTGCAGCCTTGCCCAGGTACCAGGGGATGGGCACCTCACACTCTATCACGATAAAAACAGCAGCTTCTAAGTGTGGCAAAACTTTGGAATTGAGCTTCGTGGCGGTAGGTACGGATCAAAGATTTCATGTTGAATGGCGTCCGGGCATTGCCATGCAGCCATGGAAGGACCCTTCTTCTTGGTCTCCGTAGATCGCCCCCGTCTGGGTCCGCCAAGCTGTCAGCATACGATCGCGTAGCGTCTGGAGAGCCGGTGCCTCTGACTCGGTATTGTACAGTGAGCCGACTGTGTGTCCCAGATGGAAGGCACCGAACTCCACTCATCTCCGTCGCCTCAACCATGCACAAGTAGTTGTCGGGTTAAGTTCGTATCCGGTAGCAATTAACACAGTTAGCGAACTCAGACGGATGCAGGGGTGTGGGGTTAACATCCCAGCGCATCACTACAGTGTGATCTGCCGTCCTCACACAGTTATCCGCTGCCGTCAGCACCACCCCCTCAGAAAGAGAGGAGAGAAAGTGATAGTGTGTCGCCGCTGTTCTCCCCGCTCTCCCATATCCATCCGCGTCCCCCCGAACAGTTAGTCCAAAACACTTTCGAGACGGTCGACAACTCCACCACCACCAACAGCAAGCGCCAGATTTGGACAGCCCGATTCCAACAAAGCGCCAAAACATACAAGGCGCTACCTTACCGGTCTACTGCTGATGCGTCAGGCCCCCCGAAATAGTGAACCGGTCTTCTTCCCTCGGCCTCCTTCCCCTTTTCGCCCTTTATTCAACCCCCCCAAAACCCTCCTTTCCTCCCAATAATTTCTCGGCGCCCAGCCTGCGATCCCTCCCACATCCCCCACCCACAAGCCTTCTTGGGACCTGTTCTCCATCATAGCCACCGACGATTTCTACTTCGACCCGGTTTATTAACAATTCGACTGTGCGACCCTTTGTCGCTTTTTTGCTCATTATCGGAGGATTTCTTGAATAATAGATGCTTCGTCCGCCGAACTCCGCGTCGGTTCTCTAACAGCCTTGTGCGCGGAATTCAAAACGTCCCGGACTCGTGTCCCTCGACTCTCGCTGCAGCCATCCGCCCGACCGAGTCTTCCCGAATATCCGCGTCCCTCGACATCGACGACAACGGCGACAACGGCAACCCCGACGTCACCGTCAATCGGCACTGCGAAACCACCGACGACTGCCACGTCTATTCGATGGCGAGTGTTCACGAATAAGAGGAAGCCTCTTTAGATCCTCACCTGCGGCTGGCCGCTCTGTTCCTCATCGACAAGCATCTCGACGAGTAGGCGCCGCAACCATGAGTGACAGCCCTCTGCCCTCTCTCGGGGCTGCTGGGGCCGCCGCGGCGAAATTCATCTCTGCTGCACCCATCATTGTCGCGAATAATGGCGCCAACTACGAAGAAACCGCGACCGGAGGCGCGGTACAATACAACGACCTGCGTGACCCCTTCTACGCCTCCATTTTCCCCGTCTGCTACGCACTCGCCGCGACGACAGTGACGGCCTACATGCTCGTCATCATGCTTTTCATTACACCTCGTTCCTTTCTCGATGGTGGTGTCGTGTACTTGGGTCGACGCGGGTTTACCAGTGGTGGAACATCGAATGGAATCAGCATTGGAGGACGACCGTGGCTGCAGAAGGTGGCCGCGGTAACCGTTGCAATCTCTCTCACAATAGCCAGCGCCGACACGTTTAAAGTTGCGGAACAACAGTACCAGTGGGCAATCCAGGACGCCAAAAAGATGCAATCGGAGGTCCTGGACGGCACCGAACTAAAGGTCATTCGCCTGATCTCCGACACATTTTTGTGGCTGGCGCAGGCCCAAACTCTCATCCGACTCTTCCCGCGCCAGCGGGAAAAGGTTATCATCAAGTGGACTGCATTCGCGTTGATCACCTTGAACCTCATCTTTAGCGCACTGAACAGCTTTCAATACCCCACCAGCGGGAGCAACGGCAACGGCCGTCCTCGAAGCTTTGTCGACGCCGTTCCCGCTCTCAGCTACCTATTCCAACTCTCCCTCGGCCTTTTGTATGCTGCTTGGGTTATTTACTATTCGCTTATGAAAAAGCGATACGCCTTTTATCATCCGTTGATGAAGAACATGGTTTTGGTCTCTACCCTTTCCCTCTTTGCCATTCTCGTCCCGGTCTTCTTCTTCGTGCTGGATATGGCACAGCCCGACTTTACGGGATGGGGAGACTACGTCCGCTGGGTTGGTGCCGCAGCTGCCAGCGTGGTGGTTTGGGAATGGGTAGAGAGGATCGAAGCGCTGGAGAGAGAGGAGAAGAAGGACGGCATCCTCGGGCGCGAGATTTTTGACGGAGACGAAATGTTGGAAGTATCCGCCTCTGAGTTCCCGTGGCTCAGGAGAAGGAAGAACAGGAACGGCGGCCGCGATGGAGGTGACGGTGGTCAAGACGGCCCACAAGGTGGTGCCGGCGCTCAAGGTCCCCCTGCCAGTGGCAGAGCCAATCTCTGGCCCGGCATGACACAGATCGCCTCGAGGTATCGCGCCAATAACGCCAACGGTGAGCCGAACAACGCTCAGAACAACCAAAGATCCATGGGTGGTCTCTTGCGCCCGCCGGTGTGGCCTTCTCGACCTGCTCCGGCGGTAACTCCCGTGAGCCGAACTGATACAGCAAGCGCGGCGAGCACCGTATACGCTGTCAGATACCAACTGCCATCGGAAACGACCTCGCGCACACCAGAAGCCCCCCCTCTTCAGGTTGCTAATCAGCCTCAACGTAACGCCGCAGCCGCCACGGCCAGAAGCCACTCGGCATCTTCAAGAAGCGAGCCAACCTCCACTGACGAGGACGCGTCGATGGCAGCGCCCATTCCTAGACAAGCTACTCACAAGGCTGTTGAAATTGACACCGAAGCTCAGGAAGAAATTGCCGCAAGAGGCAGAAACGGATGGAGATCTATTGTTGCTAAGCCCCTCTTCCGACGGACCGCTCGCGACCCGCCCGCCGAGGTGATGGCCCATGCAGAGTCCAAGTCAGAGACTCGTAATGGCCATGATGATACTGAAATATGGGATCTCCGGGCTCGTTTGGAAGACTTTGCCGCGACACAAGTCGAAAAGATCAGAGAAAAGATGCGCCCAACCCCCGAGACAGATAGTCTACCAGTGACCGTCATCCCGGCGCCGCCGAGGCAAGGTACGGCACTGGCTGAGGTGCTCGAAGAGAGAGGTCAAGAATCCCCCGAGCGTGCGGCACTCGACAGGACAGCCAGCAACTACTCATACCAGTCACGGGACGCGAGCCAACCCGCAGAGTCGGCCGCGTCGCAACTGAACAGACCGCCACTCTGGCCTGGCATACGATCTCAACAACACGAGCACGAGCCTCAGTCCCCCGGACCGCCTTCCCACGGTCGGCGACCGGGGGATGACGTGGGCCCGCCGCCTACTCTCTGAACGATCCCATCCAGCTGAACGAGTTTCTTTGTCGATCTTAAAAAAGCGATAAGCGTGGCACCATTAGCCTTTTTTTTCTTCTTCTACATCTTCTGCATCGGAAGCGAGCGTAACGGCGCATCACCAAGGGACGGGGACAACGGACGGCTCCTACGCGAGCTTTGGGTTATTTTTGATCTGATATTTTATCCCCCCCTCCCCCAACACCAAACTATCTACATTGCGGATGGGGCGAGACGGATATGGGCGGCGATGCCTCCCACAAGGCAGGGGGGGAACCAAAAACTTTATCTTCTGCGAAATAATGAGAGGGGCCAATGTACGGGCACCCGTGTATATGTTTGGAACGAAGGGGAACAACAGCCATGCCGGCGACGCAGGCTTAGATGGGCGTTTGAATGACTTTAATTTCTGTAGGGCAGCAGTCACACTTCAGATGACCATGCAAGGGGAGATGGGGAGGAACGCAGGCGAACGCGCTAGGGAATAGGAAGACCTCATGTGTGCGAGGACAGCAAAAGGGGAAAGGGGGATGGTTGGTGGGAGGAGATACCAAGACGCTGTCAGAAACGGGGGATGGACATGAGGTGGTGAGAGGAAGATTTAAGCGATAGCCGCGCTAGTGAATTCAAATCAGTTAACATTCAACCACTTTACCTGCTGCTGCCTCTACTACCGCCTGCCTGGCTCGATGCTCGAGCCACATGCGCGTAGATTGGGATCATGCAAGACTAGCAAATTACAGGGAAAGGCGTCCGGCTGATTCAAAGCATCGTGTGATTCGGGCAAGTCTTTTGACGGATACGCACAAGGGTTGGCTAGGTATCCTGCCAGACAGACGAGACGACTGAGTCTTTTGTCCGCGAGCGGCGGCAGTGGTTGGCGGGCGGCGACACGCAAGCGGCGTCGCTGACGAGAGTGTGGGACGATGCTCGTCAGTCTCCGTGATGAAGGCCCTATGGCGTCTGGGAGGGATGTGCACTGCGTGATGAGAAGAAGTCGTCGATGCGCCGCCCCCTCGTGTGAGTAAGTCGGGGGGAGGGGGTGACTGACTGACTGACTGACTGACTGCCCCGTCACCCGCGGGCGTGGCAATCTCGATGGGTTCCAGAGGGAAGAAAAGTGCTGACTGAGGATGAGGAGAGTGGCCCCAAGATTTCCGGACAGCGAGACGCCGTGCAACGCGCACGGCGTCCCCGTGAGTCAATAGTGAGTGACGAGACGAGACGCCCAATCTGGGAATGTCGACGGCAGCGTGGAAGCGGGCTCCGTCTCTTCAGTTCTATTCCGGAAAGCTACCGGCGGCTCGGGAAGGGAAGGCAACAATGTCAGGTACTTACCTACCTTGACTGTAAGAGTCAAGGTAGGTAATTGGAACGGCTGACAGGTGGAGATGGCGAGCAGGCACGCGGGTAGGTTTGGGGGGGGGGGGGGGGGGGGGGGTGCGCGCACCGGCCTCCTGGCTCAGACTGGGGTGGTGGTTAGTTTGTCACGGGAGAGAGGTAATTGAGATCTGAGATATGAGAGAAAGGGCCGTCTTCTTCTTATTCCCCCGTCATATGCTCGCTCTTGCCACTGTCTCGATGGAGGTTTTCTCCATTGGTGATGCAGTAGCTGCTGTGGATGGGAAAAGATAGCGATGCGGGCTTTTTATTTATTTATCAAGGCAAGCAAACACATGCGACGTGAGGCGGGCGATGCATGAAGGACGATGAAGCTGATGATGATGCAATTGGGGCTGTCGACACATAACAAGGCGCAATGAAAGATGGTGGAGCTGTGATTCTTGGACACCATTTCAGAGTCAACCGAGGCTGAGAACTGGCCCTGAATGCCACACCATGTAATTCAAAAGGAGCCCTGTTGACAGATTGTAGCGTGTCCGAGACCTCTCGAATGTCGAGCCCCCTTCACCAGGAATGAAGCCTCGTGTCGGTCGGCCTTTGTCCTTGTTTATCGGCGTCGATTTGGTGCAAATCACTAGAATCTCCGTAAGTGCAGACTCTGGTGAATGCCACGTCCAACGTCGATCGCGTGGTTGACTCGACCGAGTCATCTGCAAAGCTGCCAGCTCACAGCTCCAGTGCATTAAGTTCCGAGACAAGACGCAATTGGGCTTTGTGAAACTCGGGCATGAGCCGGAGGCATCTCCTCCTCTCGTTTGCATGCCATGGCGCCTATTGCAGGAAGGGTGTCCCTTGCTGTGTTGTTGATATCGTGGCAAAAGTTGGGCGTGAAGTGTATGGTGGTGGGTGTACGGAGTATTGTAGTGTAGGTAGTTGGCAAAGGTGGAGAGAGGAGGACGACACGTGATAAGCTACCAAGTGAAGGGATCCCATGCAGCGCCGGCGCATGAGCTGTGCTGCCACTGCCACGCTGCACTGCACTGCATGGCATGGCAAATGAGTCCAGGCACACGGCGCAGTCAAGATGCCCAGGTGGTGACAGTGCAGGTCTCCTGCAGCGGGGACATTGAATGCAAGATGAGGTAAGGCTGGCTGGCTGTCTGGGGCCTGGAATCAAAAGCAGGGGGTGATCACGGGTACGATGGGGCGCCCCGAGCAAGCGTCCTCCCCCCCCTGGCAGACTAACCATCGCTACCAAGCACCCCATTGTATTGTTGGCTCCTTAGACTCTCGTGTGATTGGTTTGTGGCGTTTCTCTGGAGCATGTACTCTGTACGGAGTACAGGTAGGTAGGTAGGTGTGTACAATTTTTCTTTTAATTTTCTTCTTCTTCTTCTTCTTCTTCTTCTTCTTTTCCCCCCTTGTACGTCTACGTGCCGTTCCCTTCGTTTCTTCCCGTGATCTTCTACTCGTGGACTAACTATACCTGCTTGATTCCTTCTAGTTTGCATTTTGCAATTTGCACTTCGGTTCAATCTCATGGCTCGCGACAGCCGTGCGTTTGTTTGCTCATTCCGTCTTCCTTCCCCTCCCCCCCTACGTGTCTGATCCTTTGTGTGTTTGGACTCATCTCCCCTGCGGACTTCCCTCCTCTGCTGCTGCTGCTGCTGCTGCTGCTGCTCTTTGACCGCATTGCGGTTGCAAATGAAAACCAGACGACCGCTCTCTCGGTCAGACGAATGCCCGCGGCGAAACACAGAAGACTAGACTCAGGGAACAACCTTGACCTCCGTCCTCAAGTTTGATCCCAGCGGTGCCCTTGCTCTTCCACTTTGCCAGCAGCTCCTCTTGCTCCACCAGCCCGCCCTGTCTTTTTTCCTGCCCAAACTTCCACGATCGACAACGGCCCCCTGACCTTCTCGACGTCTAATAAACCGATCCATCCTTTTCAGCCCACGACTTCCTTGTCCGGCTTCCCATCTCCGCACCCGCCGAAAGCTTCCAAAGCCAAAGTCGCCGCCTCTCCATCTCTTGCTCTACCCAGTAACTCGCCCGTTTGTCGTCCTCTTACCTCATTGCGCCCATCATCCCGACACCCTTCCTCCGAAGCCCATCTCCTTTAAACGACCCAGAACGCCTGCAGCGGCAAGCTTCTGATACCATGGCCGACTCCGAACCATTTCCTCTTCTCAACACCTCCCTCGACCAATTGCACGCCGTTGTCGACTACTCCCCAAACCCGTCTAGAACAACCACGGCGACAAGACGACGAAAGTCAAGCGCACTTGGCCAAGACATTCGTGCCGGCGACACGGGTCCCGCCCTCGCAACCTACGGCGCCATCGACGGCCCCGTTGCACCCGTAATAACCCCCTCCCGTCTCTCCTCTCCATACACCTACCCGGCCTTGTTCTACAGAGACTAAGCTTTCAGCTGGGCTCTCTACAACTGCGCGTATAGCATTGGCTGACAAACTGTCCATCACTTCCAGACCACACCTACCAAACGTCCCTCAAAACGCCGGCGTGCCCGCGGCGGCTTTGCTCGCGTTCGTCAGGCCATGACTAAACGCACGTACCTCCTGCCTGCCCTTATCATCGCCATTACCGCCGGCCTCTATGCCGTCAACCCCAACAGCTCGAATCCAATCCATCGCTTCATATTCCTTTCTTACCGCTTGCCGCCCGATCCTGCCAGCCCTGGTGCCCCGGCTCAGTATGGCAAGGGTCTCTGGGACGTTGCTTTCGTTTCCTTTTACACTGTCGTCCTGACCTTCACTCGCGAATTCATCATGCAGGAGCTCCTGCGACCTCTAGCCCGCACCGCCGGTATTCGATCCCGGGGTAAGCAGGCTCGCTTCATGGAGCAGATGTACACCGCCATCTACTTTGGCTGTCTTGGTCCCGCCGGCTTATACGTCATGAGCAAGACACCAGTCTGGTACTACAACACGCGCGGCATGTACGAGCACTTCCCGCACCTGACACATCATGCCGGCTTCAAGTTCTATTACCTCTTCCAGGCTGCGTACTGGGCTCAACAAGCAATCGTCCTGCTGCTGGGTATGGAGAAGCCTCGCAAGGATTTCAAGGAGCTGGTTGGTCATCACATCGTCAGTCTTGCCTTGATCGGCCTTAGCTACCGCTTCCACTTTACGTACATGGGATTGGCGGTTTACTCCACACACGACATTAGCGATTTCTTCCTCGCAGTAAGTACAGCCCCCCTTTTCAACAACACCAACCCGTTGAAGAGACATATCAGTCACGGAATGGAGAGAGGTCACTGACACGTTTTGATAGACGTCCAAAGTACTCAACTACATCGATTCCCCGATCGTGGGGCCTTACTTCTTCCTTTTCATGTGCGTCTGGATTTACCTACGTCATTTCATCAACCTAAAAATTATCCTCTCCCTTTTTACGGAGTACACTACTGTCGGCCCATTCGTATTGAACTGGGCCACTCAGCAGTACAAGTGCACGCTCTCGCAGTACATCACTCTCGGCCTTCTTGCGTCCCTCCAAGCACTAAATCTTTTTTGGCTGTTCCACATCTTCCGCATCGCCTACCGCTTCCTTCGCTACGACATCGCGGAAGACGATCGCAGTGATGCCGAAGTCACCGATGCCGACGATGAAGCCGAGAAGAAGAAGAAAGCCTTGGCGGATGAGAAGAGCAATGGCTACGCTACTGGAGTGAGTGACAGTGCGCTTGGAGCAAGGCCTGTCAATGGCCATACGAGATAGAAGGCCTATGACAGCGATACTCGACCAGGCGAATCGAGAAGAATCATAGTATTGACGTTTCTCGAGCTCACAAAGACATTCGCTTGTACACCAGCGTTATTATAACCTACGGCTATCTAGAAAGATAGGGCTGAGGCATGTCAACAGACATCCACATGCTACGATGGGGATTCGAATGTTTTCTGATCACGAAAACGCATAGTGGCTTGGTCACTGCCGAAATAAGCAAAACATTCGCATCACAACACGTTAGCTGGGGTCGAGCCACTGACTTATTCATATACACCAAAATATGGCGGTCATGAGTCATGGACATCAGCAAGTTGGAGGAGGTCAAAGAACACTCAATGGTCCACACCGAGTTGTAAGAGGAGGCAAGGTCGATGTTGGTGAAGCGTATGGCATTCTTGCCCGGCTACAGGCGGGTCTGCGAAAAAAAAAAAACAATTCGCATCATCTGCTTGGTTGAGCGGCACGCTGGCAGCTGAGACTAGGGCCCCGAGGTGGAGGGGTTGCGGTAGAGGTGTGAGTGGGGTGTGAAGGTGGCTGAAGTGAGATAGGTGCGTGTGTTCGTGAACGATGACGGCGTGTCCCCCCCTTGCACTACACGAGTTGGAAACCTACCGTCTCCGGCTCGTACAAGGCTCCACGCCCGTTCAGCTCGTGTAAATCTCACGCTTGCGAGACCCGAGTCCAGATCACACGTAGTCCACCTTGTATTACATTCTGGGAGCGTTTTGGTTATGTGGAAAAAGAGGGTTGCAGAGTGATAACGTCAGATAGGCACGGTGACCGGCTTAGCTCCCGGCAGCAACTCTGACATCTGAGTGGGTTGGGTGTGGGTGGTGGAAGTAGAGGTAGATCAAGATCGGTGGAAGAAGAGTCAGGGGGGGGCGGCTTTGATTCCCACTCCCTCTCGATACGGGGTCGCTCCCGCCGAAGCCCCCGCATGTCCGGAATGGACAGTCAGGACTTCAGTTGGCAGCTTTAATGTTGCGCCATACGAGAATGCACAACCAGGTAGATGATACTCGGTAATGAAGAGAAGGCCTGGTTAGCGCCATCTATCTGCCCGCCATACACACGCACCACGAGTTTTGCTTGTTGGCTCTACCGCCGTCCAACGAGTGCTGGCACCATCCACGCTGGTTCGGCGTACGGAAATGGGTCTTGTCACAGGTACACCACGAATCAAACCCGCTGCTTTGTAGTGTGTCTCTAGCATTGAGCAAATTGGATCTCTGGCGTCGCAAGACATTGCGCGCGAGATCACTACCGTCTATGAACCTTGAATCTTCAGTTGCCGCGAAGCCATCATTTTGTAGCCGCCGCCCCCATATCACAACCAAGGAAGAGAGGAGGTGGCTTTGTCGAGCCAGCCACCGTGGCACCACTTGCCTAACCGCCTCCCCGTCCGGAATCCAGATAAAAAAGAAAAAAAGCAAAGCAATGGAGACTTTCTAATGGTTCCTCTGCGGACACATGATCCGTCTGCACCCATTACGTGTATTGCAAGGGTTTGCCGAGCCAATATCCGTCGAAAATATAACTCCGCCACTCCCCAGCCATTCCTCCTCCCGAATGATCTTCGGAAATCCAACCTTAGAATCCTCCAGGCCAATTGGGCCCAAACGAAAAATTTCGAGCCTTATCAGACGTGGGAAATCTGATATCTGAGATGCAATGCCGAACACGCCGCCCATGGTAGCAGGTGTGGATGTGTAGTCGAAAGCAATTTTGCTGCTAATAGAGCCCATGATTTAAAGGAGAACCCTGAATCCTCTTGCCTGCTGATGATGATGATAATGATGATTGAAAAAAATCCCTTCTTCTGTTAAGAAAGAGACCAGTCGCGTCTGGCTGTCGCATACGCAGGTTTCAAAGTGAAGGCCAAATAACTGGCAGTCATGGGGAAAAGCATTGTGCGTGGGTGCGTGTGTGTATGTGGCGGCGATAGTCAAGAAAAAGAGTGCCCCTTACTGGCCAAACCAACCGAGCCAGACCCAAGAGACCTGTTCTCTGGGGTTCCGTTTTTTGTTATACTCCCGAGAGTCTTTTTATGGTTTTGCGGTCCCAAAGAGACAAAGCGTGAAGAAAAGCGTATGTGTGTGTGTGAACTCCAAACTCCGAGTCGCCGGTTTGATGCAATCTTAAGCCGTGAATCCGTTGTACCTGTCGTGAAAGGCGCATGCCTTGTGGTATTCATGAAGGGAAAATGTGCGGCTTTGCTATGAAGAGCCGCATATTAGGGTGTAGTGAGTAAATGTATTATTTGCGCGTGATAGGCAGTTGTCCAGTTAGTGTCGACCATTATGACCAGAACGATGAGAATGGCCGGAATGATCTGAGTCGTTGTGATGACTGTGGTCGGACTCTGCATCGGAGCTATTGGAAGAGCTGGATGAGTCCTCTCCAGTGGTATTGGCCTTGGAGTTGTTTCCTGAGCTCCCGGGTAGAATCGTGGATGAATCAAGGCTATTGTAGCCATCTGAGTGCCCGTCTGTCTGCTTTTTGGAGACAATATTCGCCTTTCTAAGGAGTTTCTGTGCCTTCCTACTTGCAGCGCGGGCCTTTTCAGCGGCGCGTTCTGCCTGCACTTGTCTCTCCCACATCGAAGCATACTGTCCATTAGCAGCTACCAGCTGATCATGTGTACCCTTCTCGGCAATGGTACCGTTGCTGAGCACGATGATTTGGTCAGCATGCGTGATGGTAGACAACCGGTGTCTGTGTCTCGTGTTAGTATTGAGGCTTGCAAGGTCAACAGTATAGGGCGGCAATAATACGTACGCAATTATGAGCAAAGTCCGGCCCTGGCCAAGATGTCCAAGTCTGTCCTGGATCTGCTGCTCCGTGTGTGCATCGAGGGCTGATGTGGCCTCATCAAGCATGATGATTTTAGGATTCTTAAGGATCGTCCGCGCAATCGCAACTCGTTGTCTCTCGCCACCACTGAGCTTGAGACCACGCTCGCCAACCTTGGTGTTGTATTGCTCAGGAAATGACATGATGCGATCGTGGATGCTGGCGGCTCGGCAGGCTTCAAAGACTTCCTCATCGGTGGCGGCCTGGTTGGCGTATCTGAGGTTGTACATCAGAGTGTCGTTGAACATGGTCGTGTCCTGGGGAACAACGCCAATGAAACGTCTGACGGAATCAATAGTAAGGTCCTTGACGTCATGGCCGTCGATTTCGATGCTGCCGGAAGAGGTGTTGTAGTACCGAAACATCAGGCGGAAGACGGTCGATTTGCCACCGCCGGATTCGCCCACAAACGCGGTGGTGGTGCCAGGCTTGCATTCAAAGTCGAGGTCCCTGAGAGCCTTATTCTTCGGGTCGTAGTTGAATGCAACTTTGTTCCACCGGATGTTGCCATTGCATTCCAACAAGGGCTGGGCCCCCGGCGCGTCAACAACCGTCGGCTTGACCTTGAACAGCTCCAAAAGACGTTCGCCAGAGATCATTGCCTGTTGTATGGTCCGGTAAAATGACCCAAAGATGTTCAGGGGTGTCTGCAGCTGGTTGAGAAACGTCATGAGGGTCAGGAATCTGCCAACATCCATGCCCCCCTTTGTCACCTGGTAGGCGCCAAAAACCATAACAACGCTAAAACCAAGCATGAAGACGCAGGCCTGGATAACATTCATTCGGTTCACGCCCCAAGTGACTTGCTTTTCAGCGTCCTGATAGGCTTGGATGGCGTTCCGGTAACGTTGGAACTCCCATTCCTCCGCATTGAAGTATTTGACCGTTTCGTAGCTTGTGATCGAGTCGTTCTTCACGGCTTCTTCCTCTCTGTCGGCATTGCTCATGATTCTTCGCTGGTCTGCCCTGGTTTGCGCCATGCGGATGGTCAGGAACAGATACCAGAATGTCAAACAGCTAACAATGGCTCCGTAGGTTGCGTCAAAGAAGTAGCAAAAGAAGCCAACAGCCAAGAACAGGTCGGCAATCATGGGAAGGACTGAGAACGTCGCCTGCTCAAGGAAGGAGTTGATTGATGCGCCTTTGTTCAAGGCTGACAAAACCTCTCCAGTCCGCTTTCCAAGGTGGAAATCAAGGCTGAGGGAGTGGACGTGTTCAAAGGCTGCCGATGTCAAGGCCCTGTAGGAGTTCTGCGAGATTGGCACCCATAGGATAGCACGAATCGCATCCAGAAGCATGCCTGTTCCTTGCATCAGTCGGAGAAATATGAGTAAACCTAGGACAGCCCATGGCGCTTGCTGGTCTGTCAGTTGCCTAGTAAGCCAACCAACAACCACTGGGACAAGGACGTTGACAAGACGCTGTCCTGCCAAGAGAAGCACGCAGATGGCGAAGAGAAACTGCAGATGCGGCGAGCCCTTGGGCCACTGGTACTCGAAGAAGACCTGGTAACTCCTCACATACTCCCACCAGCTCTTATGAGGTGCTTTGTCGGGTCGATAGAAGCCGGGCTCCTTGTAGTCCTTAGAGCCAAGAGCACCCTCAGCTGCGCCATTAGTGTTGCCGGCAGTGCTCCCATTCCGCGAGGTTCGAAGCGATCGGCCAGTTTGACTGCTGTAAGACATTCGATGGCCGTTGACGCCATTGAGAAGAGGCGTCGTCTCCTCGGCACGTTGCGATGAGTTCTGCCCCTCAAACTTGTCTTCCTTTTCTTGGGGTTTGCGGAGCCAAGCTGCGACGTAAATGCCAACGAGGCCAATCATTAGAACGATACGAATGGCGCCGAGAATGATGTCCGCCAGGGCCCACTTGGAGACCTGTGGTTGCTGGACCTGTGTTGCCTTTCGGTTGGGGTTTGTGACTTGGTGAATGGTGCAGATGCAGATGATCAGCTCGCCAATAAGAGCGAGGCACCATGTGATGAAGTGCGCGATGGTCGGAGCCTCGTGCCATTCAATGAGCGTGGTGAGAAGGTAGAGGTACAGGTTTGGCGACGCAATCAGGTAAACCTGTTTCCTGTTAGCAAAACTTCCGGGTGGCAGGAGAGAGCTGAACATGGCGTACGATCATAGACTGCGAATCCTTGACGACATGTTCGATGCCTTCCAGCTCCTGCATGACATAGCTGAAGTGAGCAATGCCATTGGAGACAAACGTAAGGAAGACGGCGGCGGAAAGCCACGTGAACCAAGTCCTCGAGGTTGGAGATAGAACAGGTCCGTATCGTAGGCGTTCGGTTTCATTGTCGCCACGGCGCTTCTTCTTCTTCGACACGGGCAGCCGTTTGCCGCCGGGGCCCAGAGCGTCTGCGCCGGCATCGTCGTCTTCTTCCTTCGGTGCCGTCAGGATGCTGTAGGTTGCGGCCGAGGCAACGAATACCACCAGCAATATCAAGGGGTAGTAACATAATGTCTCGTCGAGCAAAAAGCAGGAGAAGGCGTCGGTTTCGACGCAAGTCGCATTGGGTTTCGGACTCGTGCTGTTGTCGAGCCGCATCGGCAGCGGCGGCTTCTCAACACCGGCCATGGTGTGTGGACTGTGACGGAGGAAAGAAATCAGATGTCAGAGACAACGACGAGAGTTGGAGGAAGGGAAGCAGCCCCCCTGCGTAGGAGAGGGAAAGAGAGAAGGGAAGAAGAGAAAGGGAGGGCAAGACCAGAATACATACAATTCGTGATCCGGGGGAAGTAGGATGTTAACTTCACACCATTGCCAGAGATGCCACTTGCGCGTTGTATACGCAGGTCGACGCGGCTTCCCGTGGCAAGTTGGAGGCCCGGCACCTCTATACGTTGCAAGGGGAGTGGGAGTCCACAGGAGCGATGCAGAGAGGCACGAGATCTCGTTTCGGGACCAAGATGCTGGAGCAAGGCACAGACGACTGAAGACGCGAGAGGCCTGGTAGGCGATTACCCGCCCGTCTAAAAGGTTCTGGGTCTGGCTCTGGATGCAGGTGGTACCGGGGGGAGGTAGGGTCGAGGGCGCTGCGACAGGGGGGTGTCGTGCAAAGCGTGCGTTCCCAAAGGCTCGTGGTGCAGGGGGTGCAGGTCGAACCCACAGGACCACAGGGCGGTACAGAGAGGCCCTGTTCAGTTGGAGTAGTGGTGGTGGGGTCGGCTGACTTGCTCAGTGGCGAAAAGCCGCTCTGAAGTCCCTGGTAGTCGAGTCAAGACTTGTCAGATACTCGGCGGCTGAGGACAGGTGGGTCGGTATTTTTCTGGCGAGGTGGGCTTGAATGCAAAGCAGAGGCTGTGCCCGGATCGGAGAGGCAAGAACGACGCGGCCCCTTGGGAGCCGAGGGGAGTTGAGCCGGCGGAAGCTGAATGCTGGTGCTGAATGCCTTGGCCAGGTGGGCTCAACTGGACCTGGGTTCGCCGCAAGAAGCCGAGCGAGACTTTGGACGGAGGGTAACCAAGGAACAGAAAGCTTGTGACCGGGAAAGAGTAGCGAGAGGCCTCGGGTTGGAATCTGGGGGGGCGTGACACGGAAGAGGTATCCGCTAAGTATTTCGATGGGCGATGTACGCAGGCAGTATCTGGAGACGACGCGGTAGACGGCAGCAGCTAGCTAAACTAGGTGCTGTTTTTTGCCGACAGCCGGGGGTTAGTACCGGATTTTCCTCTTGGGGATTTCGTCTCCTCTGCCTCTGGAACGAGTGACGACAGAACCTCTCGTAGGCGAGAGGTGTGGTGAGAAGACGGGATCAAGGAAAAGGAGAGGGAAGAAGAATAAAATAAACCCCTGGCAGGTCTCGAGGTATGTAGGAAAAGACAAAGCGTAATAAAGAGACGACTGGGGGGGGAAAGGTTGGGACGGTGACGATGGTGATTGAAGGAAGAAGGGGTGTGATGGTGGTGGAGGGTGGGAGGGATGATGACAGGAAAGAGCCTGAAAGCAGGTACAAAGTACACTCACTACTGCTGCTGCTGCTGCACATCGGCCACACGTCGAGGTCGAGGCAGGCACGGATGGCCCGAAGGAGTAAGTGCGACGACCCAGTCCTGCTGCCACAAGCAGCTGTCATGTACAAGTAAGTAGGTACCTTGTGTACCTTACCTACCTTAGTAAAGGTGGGCATGTAGGTGGATATGGAGGTGGGCGAGTTGGTTCGTGTAAGGCAAGGCAAGGAGGGAAGGAAGGTTGGGTGAGGTGAGGTGGTATTCATGGCGACGGCAGGCAATGTGTGTGGGTATTGGAATGCGTGCACGTAAATGGGCAACTTACATTTGCGATATGTCAGTGACGGAACTGTTTGGGTCCTCTTCCGTTTGCTAGCAGGCGTGAAGCCTGTGATGGGAGCAGCTACAGAAACGAGCATGCAGAGAGTATCGTGCCCGTACTGCTGTTGTAGCGGGCAGTAGTGTAGTAGTCAATGAGCGGTGTCTGTCTGGCGCCGTCTCCTTTCAGCAGCCAGCGAAGACAGTGAGTGGCTGGCTGACCCGTTGTCAGTGTGCCAGCATATAGTATACCTTGGCAACAGCGGCAGCGGCAGCGGCAGCTTGAACAGGTTCGTTCTCACGAAAGGCAGGTAAAGGGAAATAAGTAAATGCTGGCCAAAGGGTTCAAGCAAGTGGAAGAAACAAATGAGAGTCTGGCATCCACACTCGAGGGTGAATGTGGGGATCCGTCTCGGCTGGTTTGCGTGAGGAGTGGAGCAGGGGCTGGGGGGCCGTTGCTGGTGGCCGCCAGTAATGTCGAATGTGTGGTTGTTGCCGTCTCTGTTGTTTTCGACGACGATGATGGTGGTGGTGGTGGTGGTGATGGCCATGGACTCACGGAATGATTGCGAGCTATCGACCATGTACAGAGGTACTTGGTTTATTGCGGCTAGGCTTACGGAGTACCTACCTACTATATCGGCGAGGTATCTGTGTACCTATCTATTACAATGGGTGACAAGGTGGACCTGAGGGCAGAGGTACTTGTTCATTGTCTACCATGGTGTAAGTCAGATGTGAACGGAACGGGAGCTTGCAGCTTCTGGGCTGAGTGCCAAAGGGGGTCTGGACTCGGTTGATGGCTGGAAACAGGTATGCATTTGCCAAGGGTCCTGTTGAGCGCCCTGGTTAGTGCCGGGGCTACTCATGCATAAGATGTTGCTCGGAGTGGTGGTGTTACACGTAGCGAAAGCACGGAACATGGGGATGGGGGTTTGAGATGGGGGGGGGGGCGCAAACGGGGGATGGAGATGAGTTAGGCCCCCAAAATGGGGACCACGTCCAGGGGGAAAGAAGGAACGAAACCACATACTACGCAACTCCCCTCCCTCACATATCTAACATGCATGGAAAGCGAGGAGAAGCTCGAATGTCGAGGGCGACAGGCAGCCCCTGTGGAAGAAGAGACAAAGAAAGGAAAGGAGAAGAAAATTATAGCGGAAAAATCAAATCAGACGATAAGCATAAAGCACACACACATACACAGCCCAGAGTCCAATGGTGGTGCTAACATCATGGAGATGGAGGGGTTCGATGGATGATGCGCCAGGGTGGTGATAGCAGGACATTCATTCGATCCCAAATGGCTCGTGTGGGTACATTGTACGCAGAATACACAGGACGTGATGTCTTGTATCTGTACGATGAGGAGTATACTGTATTGCAGACAGTATCATCAACAACTGTGCTTCCGTTTTATCACAGGCAGAGCGGAGCGGGGCGGGTAGGGTGAATGCCGGATGTTAGGATAAAGGAACGAGGGATAAGAGATGAGGGAGACGTGACGATGGTGAGGGATATGGAGAAACAAAGCATGTTGCTCACGGAGGGGCCACCTAACCAAATTGAATCGGCAGGTTGCAGAAGTGGCCGAGCGAGGAATCAACAGGGCGACATCGAATCGAAGATTGCAACGCCCACTATGTAAACCGACCCTTGTTGCTTGTAAGTTCTGAATAGAGTCAAGTGCGAATGCACACAGAGCTCCAAGGTCAGGACCTGCCGGTAAGCTGGCTACAGGCCATTCGCTCATTGCTTTTTTATTGCCTTTTATTCTCCTTATTTTTTTTAATGTATTATCTGCTGTTATCTTTTCTTTTCACGCTGGAATGGTCTCCAAATGGGAGGTGACTCCGACTCCGCGTCCGTGGCCTCTGTAACTGCAAGGGATTCCTGCCTCTCGACCCGTCATGGCCGCAGAGCTGGTTAATTAATTAATTGCGCGGGCTGTGCAAGGTGGTTCCCGCCGTGCAGCTTACGCACCTACATTTACAAGCAGGAAGCAAACCCTTTCTTTCCCTTTCAACCTGACCTAGAACTGGCGTTCGAGTATGCGACGGACTAAATTGAATGGGATGGCTGAGCGGCAACGGGCAACAGAACCAATCGTTGATGATCCCTGCCCGACTCCTGCTTGCCTTGGGCCATCTCTCCTTCCTCCGTCCTCTGTTCTAAATTATCAATGTCGTCGGTTTCTTCTGATGTATTCCCCCGCGCCCTAGCATCTCCGTCCGCAACTGATGGCCCCAAGGCCACTTTGACCCCGCCCGTGAAGATCACCGTCAAATAATGGCTTGAAGCCCAGTTCCCAAGTTGCTGGCGGACTGTCGCCTCGCCTCGACTATCGTCTCGACTAACACCCTTTATCGCTGGCTGTCAGGTCGACCGCCCTTGATCTTTGTATCCGGCACTTGCGGAATGTCATCCTGCTCCATTAGCTCCACTCCTCCCGAACGATCGAAACGCTTGTTCAAGGACGCCCGAGCGACGGCGCAAGGACGAAACACATTCAGACAAGCTTCGGACTCGAACAACCAATACGCCCACCACAAAGCCGTCTCATGCTCGCTCTCGAATGTCGACTTTTTGTGCTACCACACCACCACCGGCTGACCAAAGAGACTGGTGCTGTCTGTCTTCGGCCGAGATGCCCAACGACTACTAACGCAATGCCACCGTCCGCCCGCTTGTCAGCCACTCCAGCCCGCTCTATCAGGTTCACCTAGGCGAGATGCAGCCTCCGATCCGCCGCGTCTCCCTCGTGATGGGTGCGACCTCCTTCTTCTTTTCGGCCCCGGCTCAAGCCCGTATCCGGCGTCACCACCCGTCGAGGAGGTTGCAAAGGAATCTCGAGCAATCGCGGCCTGGTCGCTCAACTTCCGAGACCCCTGACGTCGCCCGCATCTCTATTGTCACTGCTTGCCATGTTGTAGTGCTTGATATCAACCCGTGGTTGGGTGGTCAGAAGCTCGACCAAACGGCTCGCATCCAGGCCCCTCTCACCGCTTGACCTCGACCATCGGCTGTGTTAGCAGACGGAGGGGACAGTGACTGCAGCCGCAGCTTGCATGCCACCGTGTATGCACGCACGCACACTCCAGACCAGCAGCAGTGTGCCTACCTTCCTGGGGCTCCTTTTCAGGAGGACAAGTGGATCTAGTTCCGGCAACCACCTGCTAGCAGACAGGCTGGTACACCCCTGCAAACTCGACGGCTTGGATACGGTGTGCTTCTGGATGTGGTGGGTTTGCGGTTGCTCTATGGTCAGAGTTTCGAACGCTTCGCAGCACTGGATGGAACGCAAACCAT